ATATTTTGGACGGATCAGCCAACCACATGCAAACGGTTCCTTACTGATGTATCATTCAAAACCCCCTGAGATAATAACGGTGGTAAGAGTGTACCTGCATTGGCCCCAAACTTGGAACTCCTGTCCATCTTTCCCTATTTTTCGTTTTTTCCATGGACGATCCCTACTCCATGGAGGAGGGCTCATCCCTTACACACTCCCACAGACACAGTAACAATCAGCCGGTGCCAAGAAATACCCTCTCAGACTATTAGGCCCCAGGGTGCAGATCGACTCCGCAGATAGAGATGAGCGAGCTGTCACTTGCTGAGACTGGTTGGGCCCTGCCCCACGGGCCAATGGCTTGCAGGCTTGCAGCAACCTTGGACTGAGTCGTTGATCGCGCGTTTCACGCCCCTCGAGCTGCATGCTTCTAAATATATTCGGTTAACTTGGTTGGAGAGGTTGGCGGCTGTTTCCACCACTGCGCTCCATGGGGGGATTAATTTTTCTCCTTGTATAAAGAGGGGGCTGATCCTATCCGGGGTTTTCGTTTTGACCTTCCTTCCTTTCTCCCTCCCCCTTGGACCTTTAAATCGAGTGAGTCTTCGCACGATTTTCCGGCCTCGTGCTTGTTTGGTATGTTTGCTCCATTCCAACCAACCTCCTCCAACCCTAATTCGACCCAAGGGATGACCCGACGGGTCATGATGATGATAGTGATGATAATAAGCTAACCAGCTGTCCCGATAACTAGATACCAACCATCTGCTTACCGATCTACCCACTCCGTCTCTATCAATTCAATATGCGTTTCCTCGCTGTTTTCGCTCTCATGGCCAGCGTCGCTGTCGCCAGACCAGCTGAAGCCAACATTCAGGCAACATGCATGGGTGTATGTCTCCTAGTCCTACATTCACTGGCCCTGCCCAATCTCTGTCATGGCGCTTGCATACTAATATGATCGGAAAATGCAGGTTGACAGGCCCTGCACTAATGCCACCATCGGGTCCTCCTCCTCGTGCTGTGTACCTCTCCGGTGTGGAAGTGACTCCGTAAGTTGCCAATGCTGTCACGTCAGGAGCAAGAATGGCATGTGGAGATGAACTAATACCATTGACAGGTGTGCCACCACCCCTGGTAAACATTGTGAATAACGCATACCACGACAACCTTACTTGCACGGATACATCGGATCTATAGAATGGATGTGTATCGAGATGGAGTGCGGAATTGAATTGAACAGGAGTCATTACCTTTGTATTTACTACTTAATACATGTCAATATATACCTTCTTTGACTGAATAGATTTGCTATGAACATCGCAGAATACGAGAGAACTTGAATTCAGGAAGTATTACCTTGTTCTATTAACACAGGTCGCAAATGTGAATCAATATGCAGTCGTCACATATAATAACAGCCCATCGCGCTGGCGATGCTGGAAATCCTTTTTTTTTTGTTCACCGATCGCCAAACCCATACAAGCTCTTCCTGCAAAGTCACCCCCCGGAGAATATCATCGTACGTATTCCTCTGCATTTTATCTACTATACCCTCACCTCGTCAGTCTAACGTCGACGAGGAAGTGCCAAATCTACAAAAGGGACGTAGCACCCACGGATAAAGTTGTGTATAGTATGCTCACGCATCAAAACCCGCTCCCAGAGCCAGCTCTGCATTAGCTTCCAAGATACAAGTGTACCAATCAAGTTAACCAACAGGTGATCTTGTATGTACTTGCCATATGCATGACCTCACCGAAGGAAAATTGACCGAAGCACAGATAGATGGCTTTCAACCGCCAGCACAGTCTCAGGCGCAACTACCTGTCTCAAAACACACAGATACCAGCTCTATCCAGCTCCTCTAGACCCAAAGAAAAGACCTTAAACCCCTATCCTAAAGTTCCAGGGTCAACGCGCCCACAAGAGAACCCTTTCGGACTCCCCTTTCGTTAGAGGGATTTTAAGCGCCCCAAGATGGCAAAAGTTTAAAGTAAAACGGGGCCAAGGGGCATTCATTGTACACGCACCTGCGGAAAGTTACTTTCACAATTTAAATAAACGGCGGGCTAAACTTTACCTACGGCTCCTATCCTGGGGATTCAATATTAAGCCACGTCATAAAAGATAGGAGGTGACCCCAGAAACACGATCTGCGTTGCTTTGTCAATTCCGAATTGCTTATCTTTGCTGTAAGGGGGGAGATCAATTCAGGCCCACCCCTGCTATTGACGGAAGACAACGTAATCAATCTCTGTGTTCCTTTCTTTCTTTCTAGGTATGGCCTATGTATATTACCTCCTGGACATCCCTTGACGGGGGTTTTCGACTTTTGCTCGGAAATAATCAAGAGAGACGCGAACGGGACTACTAACTGAGCACAATAATATGACTCGTGTACATATATGGATGGTACAAGCTCGGTCGTCCCGGAGCTAATCAGGTGCTTGACGATGCTTATACATTATTCGACAGATAATCCCCACTTAGCACAAATGCAAGTGGCGTTAGGTGCATAAGTCGAGACGATGCATACGACGTCTGATATCTGGAGAGTGCTAATCATTAAGTACCCTGCGCATATGGGTACTATTCATGTTTGAATGAAACTGGAGTCGATGGATAGTACACAAGAGCAAGACTCCCGGCTTGACCTTCTTGTTAAATAGTTTGGATCTTCGATATACGAAGTGACTCGCGTTAGCGCGGTATCGAATTCGACTCACTCATCTTCAAGATGAGTAATTGGAAAGCTGACTAGAAGAAACACTGCCGCTGATGTGGTATCTATGTCAACCCACGAAGTTGATTCTTTTGACTCCAGCCATACCTTATTCCATGTTCTATCATATACATAAGGACCATGTCTGACTCACATCAAGGCTCCTCAAAAGGATCGGATTAAGACGAACGGGAAGCCCAGGGTTAGGACCAGATTCCCAGAATGGGGAAGCACCGTTTCCTGACCCACCAGCTCCAACAAAGACTATCATTAGCGGACCGGAGTGATTGACTACAGAAACGCCTCATATATAAAGGATGCCACAGTCTAGCACGCTGCGCTGTCCATCAGTGAATGGAACGATATGCACGCGCCTACCCCGTACTTGATTCAACCTACCAAGGAATCTATTAACACTTCTGTAGATCATCAGAAATGGATGGATAATCAAGAAATCCAGCGCGAGAATCATATGCAAACCTGTCAGGAGCGAGGTATCAAATCATCCAACCTCTATCATCTATGCCCCTATAATGGGGTTACGATCGATAGGGCTGATATCACAGACAAGGCCCCCGGACTTTCGACGATATATGGCTCGATCACATCGCGATCTAACGCAGAAGATGTACGGAACATTGGGTAGGGTCAGATGGCGATTCCCTATCCGCTTTTCTAGGAGTACGAAATGAGGTCTTGAACATGGCAAGCCCTACGCAGAGCGCGTGGGACGCTCTCCTGGTCTCATGTGCCCCTACACTGTTTGTTAGTTATCTCACGCCGGTATGCGAATCACAGGGTTACTTAGGCTCCAAGCCATATGTAACCTAGATCAAAGGTCTTGGGGAACTACAGTAGCACTATGAAGGGATACCAGATACCAAAGCTGTGGCATCACTTGTCGTACAGCCACACAAAGCAGTGCAAGGCCTAATAGGTCCTCCAGTGACGAGGGCTTTATTCCAGTGGACATCAGATAACTTCGTCGAAGAGGATCTGAGAACTCAGCTCTGGGGCTCTTGATTATAGAAGAGCTCCCTAACTCAGCCTATACCACCGCGAGAATTATTATGATGCTCAGTGATAGTTCCACTTCCCGAGACTATCATTAGCTATCTATATTAAATCCATCTTTACAGATGTCAACCCACTCAAACAACCAATCAAGAAGATATTAACCAATAGAGCCTAACAGTGTCACCCCATTGCTCTGTGCCCAACTTACCTGAAATGCCCTACTCCATGCACCAGCATTTCAATACCTTAACTAAACACCCAACAACCAGCGGGGATGTCCTAAAGGGAACCTCCGCGTAACCGCGATTCGCGCGCTCTAGCTCAGATCATATTATCTTCACACACACTGTCTTATCTGAGACGACTTCAAGCAGTTGTTCCACTGTTCGCTTCTCGATTCCAGGCGTGTTCGCGGGCACATCGCCGTGTGGCCGTTTGGCGATGGGCAATCGAACCCCTTGGATAGATGAGTTATGGGTTGGGATTTGGAGGAGGTCCCCAGGGATATTCATACTGGATTAGCATCCCTTCTAAACTTTGACACAGGCACCTACCAGATATATATTGTCGGATGTTGAGCTCCTCAGGCACCCCAATATAACATAGTCCAGTATGCGGACGACAAACATCTGATTGTCACGGAAACCGCGAGCATAACTCCTCCAACCGAGGATCAAGTGGTCTTCGATCTGGAAGACGAAATTGAGGAACCGCGGGTTCCAGGACCTCCACCTCCCACCCCCCCCCCATCATCGGGGCTTAGTTACTGTATCCTTCCTTGTTGATAGGCCTATGCTTGTGATGGGTCTGTTGTTCCCGATGGGAAACCCCATCAATCAACATCGGCGGAGGTTGGGGGAGGGGACGGCATAGTTTGTTTCGAGCTGTGTAGAATTGGGTGAGATCTAATGAATCGCTGTTAAGAACGGAGATGTGGAGATGGAGTTGGTTACTCTGATTATCATATGTCCGCGGGGTTATGCTTCGAGTAAGAACATGTATGATGTCAGTGTTTAGTAGCGCTTACAGCCAAGGTTGTCGATGGTCTACTGGAGAATCTTTCTAAGAGCGAATCCTACAAAAGATGGGAAGATCACGGCTACCAAGAGACAGTTACAGATCATATCATAGATTAGCACATATACAAACAAAGAAAACAGAATACTCCAGGAGATCGACACATGAAATAGAAAGGTTATATCTACTCAATTCAAGTATATGGAGAAGAAAAAAAGAGTTAATAAAAGTTGTCGGTATTTCCGAGACAGGTAGAACGAAGAAAAAAAAAAAAAAACTCCAAGCCTTAAATATCCTTAACTATAGACATCCGGACGATCATTTATTTGAACTGGTCAATGCAACCCCAGTAGCGCTCGACGTCGAACTCGCCGGCATCCTTCCAGAGGTCGTTGGAATAGGAGAAGAAGACGGACTGAGAGCCGACCTCCTCAACGAGAGCCTTGATAGCGGCGGCCTGCTGGGCGGCACCGGGGACAGCCTTGCCGTTGGCGTTACCTTGGCTGGGCCAGCCGGTCTCAAGGTTGATCACGTCCTTGTTACAGACGGCCTCAAGGTCCTTGATCTGGGAGCGGACGAAGCTACCGGCCTGGTCGGGGGTAACATCAGCGTTGAAGAAGGGGTGGAGGTTAGCGCCAAGGACGTCAATGGCACCGCACAGAGCGCTGCCAGATTGCTGCCAGACGTTGATGGGCTCGGTGGTGGTGATCTGGCCCGAGTAGCCGGCGGCCTGGAAGGAGGACTTGCAAGAGGAGATGAAGCCAGCAAGGCTGGAAGCATCAGTGTAACCGTTCTGGATGGCCTCGTTACCGACGACGATGAGGGTAACCAGATCCCACTGGGCCCACTTGCTGATGGCGGTCACCTGCTCCTGGGCACCGCTGATGCCGGTGCTAGAGATGAAGACACCAATGATCATCTTGAGGCCGTTCTGACGGGCAGCCTCACCGATGTACTCAAGACCGCTGCAGTCAGTGGAGTAGACACGGACGTGGGTGAAGCCCTTCTGCTTGATCAGAGCGACATCCTTGAGGATCTGGTCCTTGGGCTGGCAGCCACCCTCGTTGGTGTAAGGAGAGTAGGTCATACCCATCTGCTGGCCGCTGACACCGGTAGGGACAGGGGTGGCAGAGCTGCTGGCGCTAGCGCTGCTAGTGGCGACGGCGGAAGTGGTGGAGGGGGCAGCAGTGGTGGTGGCAGGAACGGCCGAGGTGGAGGGAGCCACGGGGGCGGAGGTGGGCTCGTCATTGCCGGTGAAGGGGCAGACATAGGTGAAGTCGGTGCGGGTGACGGTCACGGTCTGCTCATCCTGGGTGTAGGTGCCAGGGGTGATGGTGGCAGGAGTGGGGTAGACCACGACGGTGCTGGTAGGCACGTAGGTAGTGGTGGGGGCAATGGTGTAGGTACCAGCGCTGGGGCAGACATAGGTGGTGGTGTAGATCTTGCTGGTGACAGTGGAACCGCTGGGCTCAACGGTGGCGACGGGGCAGGTAACGGTGGTCGCGGTCGAGACAACCGTGGTCACACCACCGAAGGTGTGAGAACCGCTGGGCAGCTCAGTGGTGGTAGCACCGCAGACGGTGGTGGTGTCCCGCACGGTAACGGTGGTGGCGGGGATGGTGTAGATACCGGTGGAGGAGAAGCTGGTCACTCCAGGGGTGGGGAGAGGGGACTCGGGGACAGCGGGAGTCGAGGCTTCAGGGGTTCCAGCTGGAGAGGAGGCCTCAGGGGTGCCAGGGACACCGCCCGAGGGAGTCTGAACGCCGGTGGCATCAACACCAGGAGTGGTGACCACGGTGACCGTGGCAGTGCTGGTGGAGTGGAGGGTGGTGACGGCCTCGGAGGTCACGACGCTGCTGCTTTCGCTGCTGGGAACGCTGGGGACCTCAGAGCTGCTGCTGCTGGGCTCAGGAGCCGGGGTGTTGATGGGGACCACTGCCGATGGCGATTAGTATCGATCCCATTCGATTCCTGACATCAATAACCTGGGTGACTTACGGGTGGGAGGGCCAGTGATGGTGATGACCTTGGTGGTACATTCGCACTTCTCATCACCCTCGGCCGGAGCCTCAGGCTGATAAGCGCGGTTGTGGTGGAAATGATCATGACGACGCATGTGGGCGACATCAGCCATCGCCGTACCGGCAACGGCAGCCGCGGCAGCCAAGAAAGCACCCCTCATGGTGGATAGAACGGAAATTCAAGAATGGATTTGGGTATACAGTGTTTTTCTTTGTGCAAACGAATGAGTGCCCGCTAAAAGAGTGAAGCGGTGGTCAAACAAGTTGGTCCGAAAAAAAAAAAGTAAGGAGGGGAGGGGGCACACGGCCTCTTCTACTTGATATAGATGGAGAGAAATTCTTCGAACGAACCCGAACAAGAGAAAGAGAAGAAGAAGGGAAGAAAGAGAAACAAAAAGAGAAGGGAAATGAAGGGAAGAAAAAGGTCACTGTACCAGGGGGGGCAACACTCAGCACGGGCTCACAATGACTGGAGCGAACGCCACGAGTCTAGCCAACCGTAGGCAAAAGGGGCTCATCCACTTGGCACCAGAAATTTCCCAAAACTTACGGAGGACAGAACAAGATGGATTCATGCTGGCGGTGTGAATTTCAACTAGTCAGGCACCAAAGGTTCGCTATTGGTGGCCCGGTTCTGATGGTCAGGGGAGACCCGGTTGGTGTCGTCCAGTGGTTGTCCGCACGGCTCGGGTAGAAGTGGGGGTCTCGTCCTCGGATTGGTGAACCAGAGTCCGACTAGTAATTCCTGAATGAATTGTTGTTTTTTACTCAGGATTTGTTTTCCACTTGGGAAAACAAGAGGACTTTGCCCTCTGCCAATTTACTACATTTGGAACTGCGCGTGTCTCACTCCAGCCTTTCGTTCAAGAGAAGATTACTGCTCGAACACGGACACCCTACTCCAAGTCCCTGTTGACCGTTGAGACACTATTTTCCTTATGGGGCCAGCCCGTTCAGCCAGCCGCAGCGGGATTTGGGGGTGGCTGCCCCAAACCACCTTCGTCCTCACTTCCATGCTGTGGACAAAAAGATCCCGATACTAAACATAGGAGGTGTCACTAGCCATGGGAAATTAGGGAAAGACACCCATCATCCCGAGTTCCGGTCGAGGCGGTCGCCCACCGAAACTCAATATACGGTCCAATCGTATCTATTCAGGCGAAGAGTTCACGAGTTCTGGTCCTACTCCATATTAATTTGTCCAGAGAAGAATCGAAGGGCCAGGCAAACACCCCAGAATTCCCGACTACCAGCAAGAGAGACTGAGTGACCGCCAACTGCAAGGAACGAATCGAGCCAACATCCCCGCTAAGGTGGGGCTTCTCGAACTTTGGACCCCATCCCAAATAGGAAGTACTCAAGCCAATCCCTCTTTGATTCGACGATCTGATTGGATTTTGTTGTGAGCTTTAATTTCCGGGACCCACAATGTTTAGGCATTACCCAACCGGTACAATCCTCAATGGATCAGGGGGGGTGGTTGGCCCCCTCAGCCTCAGTTATTTTTATAAGTGGCTCATAAATGTCCAGAACTGTTTCTCACGTTGCCGAAGTGGCAATTCGACGATGAACCCGAGGGTAAGCTGACATCATTGGGGTGTCGACATGCATAACAAAAACAAGATGAAACTGAGAGGACGGAGTATGCCCGTTAATCAATGCCGGCGGGGCCCCATTATCGTTGTGTTCTTCTCCTGGAGCGAAAAAGTCAAAGTTCAAAACAAAAAAGGCTAGACTCATCACATCAGCAGCATCATCAGTCGATCTCAAAATCCAGATCACTTACCGACTGGAGCCTTTTTCTCTTGTTTCTGCCGATCCCTTCTTTTTTTTTTTTTTTCCATTGCTTCCTCTTCCTTTCGAGAGGTATCCGGAGTCACACCGGGGCGCCCAACTGGCACCATTTGATTTTCCTTATTCTCAAGAACCCATCTCTTTTCTGACTCTGATAGTGTGGTTGATCGCTACGGAAAATGCCGACAAATCTGAGACCAGACTGAGTCAAGTCTTGGATGAATGACCAGTCAGAAGCCAGCAGAGGGACTTGGCTTATGGAGACTGTGCGGCCGAGTGTCAAGAACGGTGCTGTCATGGATCTGAGGGCCTCGTGCAGTTGCCCCTGATCGGGATTCTCGCTGCCTCCGACCCTATTTCCTTCCTTTCTGGACAGATAAATAAAATCGATGTTGGCCGTCCCGCGTGCCATCGACTGTCCACATTCATCTTCGCAAAACACGAAGGGAAGAAGCATCTCGAAAGAGAGTAATTCTTCCCTCCCGTTCCCATGTTGATCGGATGGCAGTGCTGGCCCGTTGAACACATCATCGAACACCTAATCATCATCCCGTCCCCCTTTTCCCTCTCTCTCTCTTCTCCTGATACTAATCCTGTTCAGACATACTTCAATAGCATATGTAGTTAAATTCACGGGTCCAACGATTTACCACTCTCTCCTACAATTGGGAAAGTTTTAGTGCAAGCCCTATTATGCATGCAAGTATACACTATTGCCCGATCGATCGACATGATCTCAAGTCCCGAGTCACCCCTGAGCATAATAGTAGGATGTATAATATCTTGTTTTCTTGCGTCTCCGTATGAAAGTTATTAGACGATCGAGGAGATCCAAGTCAACATCGACATCCTACCCCACAGATGGAATGTCGTCCAGTGTGTTAGTCAATGATTGGCACATGGGCACATACCACTGACGTAGTTGAGGCAGTGAAACGACGTTGATCGACATTATCAGATCAGATCAATGGCCAATCTTCCATTCCACGGCCTTGCATGCACCTTTCAATTCAGCCTTATGTGACATGGGTATGTATATCAAATCTTAATCGGATCGTACATTTTATATACTCGTAGATACAACTTCAATAACGCTATACGCCATACTACATCCTTATGTCTCTCCTTCTTCCTACCCAGTATACTTCTACTACTTACTACACACAGCCCAACCACAACACACCAACCGTCATACCTCCACAGACCCTCTCTACATTATAACCGGCAAAAGGCACACCGGTCCACGGATTCCGTAACCCCAACCGGCCTCCTCATCTTTACCCTCATCCTTTTTTTTTTTTTTTCTTTTCTTTTCTTCTACGGAGACAATTTGAGATGGTTTATGTTATTGTATGTTGGGACGGAGGGTAAGATAGGGTCTAGTATCTCTTTGTTGCTTACTTTCGCTCGCTTTTCTCTTCGAGATTAGTAGCGACTGACAGATGTATCTCGCAGCCCAGCTAGATTGGCGAATCATGGAGCGTATCCCTAAGCAAAGGTAGGGCCTCCTCATGCAGTCCCATGCCGCTTCATAAACCAATCCGGATAATCACCCTTAGGACCATGTAGACATTGAAATCACCCTGATCCCGACTAAACAAGACCTACAAATTAAATCACCTCATTAAATGCCACCATGACACGAAACAATGGTTATCAAATTAATATTTCATAAATGCATCACGCTAGTCAAAAAGAAAAAGAAACCCCGCACGTTAAACCCAGCATTAAACTCCAATCCAATCTGAAAACTCCACATCCTCAATGATTAGGTGACTTGTAGCCAAGACCAGTGATCCTAAAACAAGAACAAGCCAACCATTAGCGACACAAGCCACGACAAAAGAAGAGTAGAGAGATAGAATGTCTTGAAGATTTCAAGAGAGAGAGAGAGAGATGAGAGTTTCCGGCGTAGTATACTGTACCGACTACCATTCCGGAATAGGATATACTAACCTACTCCACAGAAGCCCTATAAGACCTGGCTGTTCGTTGGCCGCTGTGCGCTTCGCCCATCCATTCTCGACGTTGTAGTGCTTGACATCTTGGAGGCCGGCGAAGAGGCCTCGTCCGGCTGTTGCGTGCTATCGATCGAGTCAGTGTCCGTTTGAGGTCCTGATGGGAGGCTAAAGAAATGGAGGGGATAGAAGGGGATTGAGATGGACATACGCGAGCCTGAGCCTGGTTTTTAACCCAAAGGTCGGCACCAAAGTCGTTTTGGAGACGGGCGGCTGTTGATGCTTTCGACATGTTGTCTTGTGTGGGCTTTGTCCGATGGATTCGGCTGATGATTGATAGTAGGGGATAAAGTAGGGTAAATCAAATAATCCAGGAGGTATTCAGCGCAGTGACCAAGATAAGTAGTTGCTGTAAGATCTCAAGGCTTGCTTGCTTTGTTATGTTGTTCTGATGACGAGGAGGAATAGAATACCAAGCCCATCCATGCTTCAACCCCTTATATACCCAACATCCATGTCCAGCAACATCGATCACCCAAGCCTCTCACCATCCATGATGCCACATCCCAGCACCATGAACGCAACACTGTTTCCGGATCCGAATGGCATCACCTTACCAACTGCGGCTGAGAACCAAGCCCCCGGGTTCCTGGCGGTATACTACCCATGGAAACCTGAGAAGTGAATTGGGCATATGATATCGGGAGGACTCGTTACATTGGTCGGTGCGCGTCCAATCGGGCTGGTGATTATTGGTTGCGGGAAGTGGAAAAGGATTGCGGTGTGTGGTGTGATATTCGGGTGGTGGTGTGGTTGGCTTCATTAGGGTACGGCGGGTGGCATGATCCATGGCTACTTTCGGTAGGGTTCATGTTGGATTGGGTTGATCGTGGCATATCTATTACTATTTGACTTTTTCTGATTACTGTATCTTCTTTTATTGGTGTAATTATATTGTGTAAATATTATCTGATTTTCTCTTGGGTTGGCTTGGAATAAGTTGGTGTTGGGGGAGGAAGTGCATTATAGTCTATAAATTATCTTTTTATCCTGGGAATGACATCATAGCCCTAGAAAGATGTCCTATTCCATGTTTACATTTTGCGGAATTGAACTTCCGAACTGGCTATTTTACAATAAGTATTACCCTCCAGTTAAATATGGACTATATGAAGTACCTACTTGTAGAGGATCAAGCAATTTACATGAAAGTTTTAAAATTAGATACATAAAACCTCACGGAAGAAGCTTCTTCATACAATAAATACTGGCAACACCTTTACCAATACTTCGGCCTCTTTACCCGGTATAATTCTCATTGCTAGAAAGCTACTGATCCAGAGATTGATTTAACCACGCAAATGCTTATCGACTACACCGGCGGCATGATCAGAATACAAACTAGAAAAGAGGTCATTGGTAAGTAAAATTAAAGAAATATTGGTTCCAAAAATGGCAATCATCCCTTGGTAGAACTATTCAATAGATCTCAAAGGTCTACGAAACCAATGGAAAAAGAAATACGACAACCCATCAATCCTTCAGTTATCGTCCATATATTATTTCCTGCATCGAGAGGTGCTGAGTTAAAGCCCCATTAATAGTATTTCGTATTTGGGGGTAGGCCCAGGCGTTGGTCCTCCTGAATATCGTCAGACCCAGTTGAAAATTAAATCAAGACTGGAATTTGAACAAACTAAAAGCTCTCCGAAGCTTTTAACAAGCTCGATATCGAAGCTGCAGTATTCCTCGCCCTGATGCCCCATTGACTCTCCCGAATCGAAAGTCACAGCAACAGCGAAATTTATCCAAACGACACTCTCCGGGGGTCCACAGATAATCAGAATGTTCTTTGGGTAGACATCGCGGTGGTGAATTAAAGCGCCGTGGATTCCCCTCAGTCCAATAATCGCGGCTCGAAGACGATCATCAGAATAGTTTACACAGTTAGGCTCTTCAGTATCCTGTAGATATTCGAGCAAAATGGCCGTTGGACCATGGCTGTCATTCATAAAATGATTCAGATGGGGTTGAAACCTGGCTGGATCAAGTCGGTCGATATAACCGTGATAATATGGACCTTGCTCATATACCCCAAACAAATGGAGATTTCAGCAAGCGTTCAATTTGCAGCGAAAACGGTTCAAGCCACTGCCCTTTCTTGTAAACCCTGGGTTATCGTTGTCGTGGAACTGTAGACTTGGCAGTATTCTGGTAAAATCTGGAGGGCAACTCACCACTTTCAATGCATAGCGATGACCGAGAAGCTCTACCTCGAAAATTGAGAAAGCCTCTGAGGTTTTGAGTTCTTTCTCAATCCGTAAAGAACTGGGGTCGAAAACAAGAAGATCTCCAGGATGTTGGGACATTGTGGCCGCACAATCAATAAAATGAATGGCATGTCAAGGGTTATGAGGATTGCTCTGGGTTTAAACACAATGCACTAAACCAGAGGCTGTGACTATAAATCTACAGGTTCGCTCCCACCAATGACATCAGCACTAGGCTGAACTTCGTGTTGCTTGATACTTAAATAGAATCATAATTACTTGTGGTTGAATGATACCTTCTTCCTTAAAATAACTTGCTAGCAAAGCCAGAAATACCCCATTCAGTGGTTAACAATCTTATCCTCCTTTGTGGGTCCCTGCACTATCATGTTTATCAACACCATTCCAGCGCTCAACAATAATCCAATCCTGCTTCGGGATTTCTGTATCATCTTCACCAACCTTCAGGGGCGATATCACCATCATCATCACAACGATTATCGTCAGAGCTCTCGCTATCCTCATTCCAGGAGAAAGATTCATGACTCATTCTCTTCCGAGCTTCCGGGTCCTGCTCTCGCTCTCTGTGGAGGTCGAAAGCTTGCCAGATAATCTTGTATAGTTGGGCGATTACTTCCTGTTTGTTATCATCCCATACCAGACAACGTTTGGATATCTATTTTCATTATGTGAGTTTGCTTCGTCAGGCCTCTGTCCAAAGATAAAAACTTACACGGCCCCTGTCGCTGAGGTGCAAGAATGTCCAGATGTGGCCATCGGTACAGACTCCATAGATTCCACCCTTATACTTCCTTGCTTTTCGGGCGGCGTAAACGATCGACATGCTCGGAAGGGCTGCCCAGGATTCTTCGTCTAGTAGACTGCTGCTTCGAACTACTACCAAGTTTGTGTCCCAATCTCCACGTGCGCCATACCACAGAACGTAGTCCACCGATGCCTTCAAAGCTAGATCATCAGATCCAGTAATTGTTGTCTTGAAATGCCAGTACGGTGCTTCGCGAATGTGGCGACTGGGCAGTGGTGAATCAGCGTAAAGTTGATCCCTTCTCCTCCTCACGATAGCCGACACCTGCAACAGAACCCAGTTCACTTTGGGCCGAATCGAGCTTGAGTTGGAATCTTCATTGAAGAATCCAATGTCGATGTCGGTCATCAGTTGCTCTAGAGATGATTAATATGGCGAGCTCGTACCTATTGACTGTGGAAACAAACCAAAATGTTCCGGCATCTGAACGCTCATACTCTCCTGATCAACCATCCACACCTGTTTTTCTTCGGCATCTGAGCTGGGGGAAAGCTTAAGCCCTCGAAAGATATGGACAAAAGCCTGTCTGGCTAGCTCATCCCTGTTGGTGGGCAGGTTAAGCCGATCCATAGACTGATTGATGAATTCCACCTCTATCTTCTCCGTTTTGTACTTTTTGCTGATGTGGTGTCTCATTGCGAAACGCATATCATTAAAGTGAAGAAGAAGTAACAGAGACGAGAGAATCGAAAAGTAAAGGGGTAAAGAAGATAGAAGCGAAAAGTAAAGGGGGGAAAGAAGAGAAAAGCGAAGAGAAGTGTCAATAAAAGGGAAGGAGGGTAGGGGAAGAATTCCGTAACAACGATGTCAGCCTTTTGCCTACCTAAACGAACCTACCTAGTACCAGGTACTAATTTACACGTAATGAGGAAATAGTTTAATATGGAAGAATGACCAACTTGGTAGGTAACACTCACCATATTTGGACTCGCTCTTACCCTTTCTTCTATCAATGGAGTCAACATTACCATCGTGAATTAGCCTACATTAACTTGTCTTTTTCTCTCTTCACACTTTTTGAATAAGGAGTCTGTACTATCATACATTGCACTTCTCTTCCCTCCTTCTCTCGTTTCCGTGTTTTTTCACATCATTTCATATCATCATTACGAATCACTTGAGTTCGCTTATCACTATGGAGGTTATTCTGAACCGTGCTCAGGCGAAGATCAAAAAGATCTTAGGGAAGATAGCAGACAATGCCGTCCACAAGGAAGTTGATACTGTCTTTAATAAAGCGAGAACTGAGAGCAGGAGAGCCATCCAGTCCCAGAAGACCGCGCAGTCCCAGAAGGAGAAATGGCCCACTACTGCCGTCACATCTCTCCATCCCCTGGATGTATCCAACGTCTTCGGGATCAAGGAAGGAGGAGGAGGAGAAAACCCTTGGAAGCTCACTCAAGATGAATTGCGCGAAGTCCCCAAAAACCTCAGTAAGCTTGCTTTGGTTCCTGAATTCCTAACACCGAATAGAACTAATAAAAATAGAATCTATTCTCGCGGATTACGCGGTTGCTACGGGCGGCTCCCCCGAGAACGAAGCACTCATGAGATGCAGAATCGACGCAATCCTTTTGATCTCCCTAGCTGCCCAGAAGAGAGCGATTGCCCGAGATTCTAGCTCCTCTATCCTATCGGTTCAATTCCAGTGTGAGACTGATATGCGGCTGCCATGGACATACGATTACAAGCGAACCATCGTCTCGGGAACAACGGACTACTCCCTTTGGTATGAAACACCACTGGAAATGGAGTGCAATCTTCTGGTGGTTGAAGCAAAGAGGAAGGGGGCCTCTGGCTACTACCAAGCATTAGCCTATATGGGTAAACTTTACTGCAGTCTATTGAGCGCATATATGTTTGCTCACCGATTAACAGCGATGCTTCATCATGCGCGAAAGGAAGTACGGCGGAAGGATGTTTCTGTCTATGGAATTGCGACTGACAGTTTTACGTGGACTTTCTTGTATCTCGACAACAGCGGAAAGGTAGAATACCAGCTAACCATATTCCCTCGACGATTCAGCTAACGAGATTTTACAGTGGAGCGGACGTACTTACCATTGGGGCTCTGGCCAGGAGAGTTTAATCATATCTATGATACATAAGATTATCTACCAAGCCGCGTCTCTGTCCAAGCAAGAGCTCGAAATGTCTGCTACCAATATTGCGGTGAAGAGAAGTCTTAGCGGAAACAGCAAATTGGAGGGATTTTTCCACAGGAAAAATGTTTAGATAACTTGGGCATGCCTTGATTTTCGCTTGGACTCTCCATTCATCGATTTCACCATTCTTGTTTTTAGTTGTGGAATGACCGTTAGAAATTAGCACCAACGTAAAGTATCTTCTTACATCTATTCATGCTGTCCTTGTAATCCAAAGAAAATTTGGCGTTAAGTATCTTTGTCCGGGTGTTCCTGGTGCGGTGGTCCAGCAAATCAAAATAGACTATCCTAAGCGCTGTGCCTGTGAGGCTCGGGTTAAATGTTATTATGACAATCAAAGCAGGGCGAATGACTCTTGCGGTCAGTGCATAGATCCTGTGGAAGATGTGTATAAAAAATGCTCCTATCATGCTAGCCAAAGATGGACTCTTGTCGCAATGTAGGTATTATACGAATGATCACGACTAAAAGTGTAGGCGCAGCGCCGTCCTTTAGTAGTATCTATCCTACCCACAACTCATGAAAGAGTATAGGTACTATGCCAAGCTATAAATAGACCTTGCCGCAATACTCATCTTGGAAGCCCTAACGGAATTCATTACCTTTAGGATATGTGCATACAATATGGCTATCTATTGGTGCAATGCTGTAAGCTATTACTCCCTTCTTGCCTTCTCGAAATGAGGGCGGTATATATTGAGCTTTTACTAATTATTTTTTTTTGTAATATAGAACTCTGAGAAACACTATCTCAAGCCCTATGCTACTATCACTGATGGCGCCCAGTTTCTTTTGGACAAGTGCGGTGGAGATAACACACCCCATGGGGAAGTGGTCGCCCCGAATCACTGCTCGTATAGTAAATCAAAACTCAAGATGTTCATTCTTGTTGATAAACATCGCTTTGTACATATGCATCTCATTCATATTCCCAAACTCATCAATACAAAGTCAATATGTACGATATAGGTCACTATTCATAAACAACCAAAAGAAGAAGAAAAGAAAAGAAAACTCAGATCACTTCAACAGCATCCCCCCATTGCTCCCAATGAACCCCCCCGTCAAAAATCGATCCTTCATAGCATAAAGATACGCCTCAGCCACATCCTCCGGCTTCCCAATCTCCCCGGTAAGTGTCTTGCTCCGGAACGTCTCAATCAGCTTCTCCAGGTTATCCGTCTCCAGCGTCCCAAATATCTCCGTCAACACTGGCCCCGGCGAAACCATGTTCACCCGAATAGGCGCCAGGTCAACCGCCAATCCGCGCGCCATACCCTCAATAGCAGAGCCGCTAGCGGCCATAAGCGTCCATCCCGGTGCTGGCCGAGTGGTCAACGCGCCGCTGGTGAAGGTCATCGACGAAGATGGCGCCTGACGCATGTAGGTCGGGGCATGCTTGGCGAGGATCAGTGAGCCGATGAAGCGGACGGTGCCCGAGGACTCAATGTAGGAGACGTCAAAGGTTGGGTCGGTGGGTTTACGAAGGCCGAGAGCATCACCGGCTGTCATGACCACATGGTCAAGGAGAACCTTGCCGTCAGTGGTCTGGGTTCCCTCTGTGTTCGGGAATGTATCTGGGGCTGTGGCGAAATTGTAGAGGTTTACTACGTTGGCTTCGAGAGTTGCGCGATCAGCTAGGTTGCAAACGGTGCCGGCGATGCGGTTTTTGTGCTCCTCGTCTGGGTAGAAGGCCTTCAGACGGGCGATGGCGGAGTTGACTTTGTCGGGTTTGGAGCTGGCAACGATGATGGAGGCGCCGTGCTCGAGGGCAACCCGGGCCACGGCGAAGCCGATGCCGGATGTACCTCCTACAATGAGGACACGGGTATTGGCGAGTTTGTTGGTGGAGATGTGGGTGCTCATGCTGGTTTGTATAGACGACTTGTCGGTAGATATGGGTTCGGGGTTGGTCTTGTTAGGAGATCTGGATATAGAAGAGTCTATTGGCTTGTCAAGTTAGTCGACAAGGATACTCCATCTTTATAACCTTTTGGATTGATGTAATGATGGGCATGTTTGTCGCCTCAGTTTCGCAAGTTTGGAGATTATACATCGCTATTTCCGTGTGGAGACCTTATCTCCGTCTATACGCAAACGGCCCCGGACTGCTTTCTAAGCAGCTCTGTGTTTGGGGCCTGCTTAATTTATCTCCGGCCGTAAAGCCGAGAAGCCTAAAGCCGGGAAGGATGCATCGCCAATGTAAGAAAGGCATTAAGTTATTGCGTATCACATTCATTATATACTGTGCCTAAAAACAACGAGATTGAATATACACATGAGACTCCGGACCCCATGAACCTTCGCCAACCCAAGCATATCAAAAATAGATCTTAATACATAGTGTATCCATCTATGCCTTTATCCATCGAGTGTTTTATTTGCTGAAATAGACTGAGATGCAACTTGTTAGTCCCAGCCGTTGATCTTCATGGTTCCCTTCTCAGCCAGGTTCTGGTGCATCTTGAAGGCCTGGAAGAGCAGGTGAGGCTCGTGGCCCATACCCTTCTTCAGGCACTCGAACTCAGCCCGGTCGAGGTAATCCGTGAGAATGGGCTTGTAGTCGGGGTGAGAGCACTTGTCGATGATGACACGAGCACGCTCGCGAGGAGACAGACCACGCACGTCGGCAAGACCCTGCGGAGGTTAATATGGCAAGATATGATGCGCAATGCGAGGAAAGAAAGCTTACCTGTTCAGTAACAACGACGTCAAGATCGTGCTCAGTCTGGTCAATGTGTGTGCAGAAAGGCACAATACAGCTGACACCGGTGGGATCAACCTTGCTAGGGCGGGTACTAGGAGTGTGCATGATGCTGTACTTCGAGCTGCGGAGGAAATCGGCGGAGCCACCAAGACCGTTCAGCATGCGGGAACCCATGACACAGGTGCTGTTGGCATGAGCATAAATATCGACTTCAACGGGAGTGTTCATGCCGATGCAGCCCAAGCGACGGATGATCTCGGGGGAGTTGGACACCTGCTGAGAGCGGAGGAGAAGCTTGCCGGCATAGCGCTCCCAGTTATCGTAGAAACGCTTGAATCCGTCGGGAGAGAAACGAATCGAAGTCGCTGTGGCGAAGTCCAGGTTGCCGCTATCGAACAAGTCCAGGAAAGAATCCTGCAGAACCTCTGTCCAGACCTTCAGGTTGGTGAAATCAGCACCACCCTTGCTCAAGCCACCGATGACAGCGTTGGCAATGTTTCCAATGCCAGACTGAATCGGCAACAAGTTCTGGGGCAGGCGGCCATGGTTGACCTCGTGCTTCAGGAACTCAATCAGGTTGGTCGCAATGGCCTGCGAAGTCGCGTCCTCCGGGGCGTTGGGCTGGGTCTGGTCGGGGTAATCCGACTCAACAATGGCAACAACCTTCTCGGGGTCAACAGGAATGTGAGGCGTTCCAATGCGGTCCTCGGGCTGAAGGATGAGGTAAGGCTTGCGTCTTGGAGGAAGCTCAGACATGGTGATATCGTGGAGACCCTCAAATGAAGGACTGGCGGTGTTCACTTCAATGATAACCTTGTCGGCCATCTGAACCAATTCCGGGGAAGCACCAACGGAAGCACCAGGGATGATACCACCATCCTCAGTGATGGCAGATGCCTCAATGACGGCGACATCCAGCTTGTTCTTAGGCTTGTTCAGTGTGTACCAGCCCTAGAACTAGTGTTAAAACGTCTCGCCCATGATTGAATGATTTCTAGAGCAACCTACATAAACCAGATCTGAAGGGAACATGCTCAGATGCTTATCGAAGAACTTGATCTGTCCGGAGTTGATGCCCTTGGCAATCTCCTTGCCGACCTGGTGAGGGCTCCGACGCTCGATCATGTTCAGTCTAGCCCAGCGATTCTCGGTCTCTGCTCCAGATGAAGCACCAACAAACAAGGTGTACTGCAGCTTTCCCTCGAGTCCATTCTTCTCGACATGGTCGGCTAGCGCCGTTGGAACTTTCCTGATAGTGGGAAGATAGACCGTTAGCCCGTTGAAATTCACCAGATCAAAGATTGTTGACATACTTGGGGTATCCAACACCCGTAAATCCGGACCAGCCGATGTAAGAGCCATGAGGGAAGAATTCGATGAGATCCTCTGCCTTAGCGAGCTTCTTGAGGTAGGAAGGCCGCCTAACACGGCTTCTTAGAAGGGCAGAAGCAGACATTGTGTGTGTTATAGAGAAGGAAGGAGAAGGTAGGGAAAGAAACAAAGGAGAGGAGTGGAGAGGAGAGGAGAGGAAGTAAGGGAATGGAGAAAAGAAAAAGGAATGGAGAAAGGAAGCACGCGGATGGGCAGCTCTGAGGATAGAAATATGGTACAGGAACTCAAACCCCCCGCCACAAAATCCCCAAAGTGGAGAGCGATGAACCCCGGGACAAGGGATGACAGGTATTGAATTCTTTCCAAGTTGAATCCATTAATTACTGCTAGTAAGATTGATTTACGTAGAAGGATTAGATTTGAGCCGGTTGCGCCCTTAGTCCAGACTTAGATTTTTATTGACGACTACTCCGTACCTACTATTTGCTATCTACTCCTACAAGGGCTGTAGAGCAGTGACTACCGTCGAGACAAAAACAGTGTGAGATGGTTTCAGAAACCGTAGACCTGGACGATTTGTGTAACTATGTATTTGGCTTAGATAAATAAAACTGCCCAGATAACACAGAATCTTTTCTTTCATCCTCTTTTTTTTTTTTTCACCTCTTTCGAGCGCGCAGGGGGAAGAGTTTCAGCGGAAGCTTCACTGTTGACGTCATCTCGGTGTATTCTCGGCTCTCTTATCCTTCCATGTGCCCGACGTCATCTTGATATCAAATACACAGAAATTCTTTTCCGCTCAGGTTGGGTCCTAGATAAAATTGCTGCTGAAAATGTTTCCTTCATCACAAAGAGTAATTCCATCGAGCGTACACAATGTGTAGTTTGCTCTATGTTCACCCAATGGTCATACTTCTAAACAAAACATCCCCGTGCTGATCCCGAGTCTCGTCCGGTCTGGCCCCATCGGCCCAGTCTCGGCCTGTATCGGTTATCAGTCTTCGGCCACACGGAGCTTTTGTCCGTAGGCATTATTGGCCACGATCAGCCGATGCCGAGACAATATCCATCACACTTCTACTAATAGACTACTAATAGTAAATAGGATCCGAGGAAAGCGAACCAATAGTTGCTCCTTACACCTGTAGGGCTTTTGTTGCTCCAGGTACCTGAAACTCAACATTCACCTCTACGCGGAAGTGGCAAGGCAGGTAGCACGATGCAAGAGGAATGATTTCAATAAGACATAATCATAGATCAACCGGATTTCCCTAAGTAAAGTACAGTGAAAGTACAAAGTGAATAGCAACCCATATGTGATCCATCCCTAATCCCTTACACCAATCCGGAAGAGATCTCGTCCGTGGGGTCCTTGAAAGCCGGGGAACCGCTACAGCGAGGATAAACCCCAGTGTCCGTCTGCCCCAGGTTGCGTTTTCCCCCGGCAAGCGAAGGACCACTCTAGCCGAGATCCAAGAAGCGACAAACCCATTCGTGTAAGCCATTGAACATATTCGCTGGTCATGCAGGTATCAGATCCACTACCCTCGAACAAATAAAAAAAAAACGAATAGAAAACAGAATTGATAAAACACGGCACGGGGAAGAAAAAGTGAGAACGGGAAAGAGATATCCTGCCCATGACTCTTCCCATACCGACGCCAGGGATATCTGGATATGATTTCATGTGCAAAGATTCATTCATGTCAGGAGAGACTCCATCCTACATAGGTCATCTGTCTTAATTTCGAACGTCCCTCTCCAACCAGGAGGATGCACTCCCAATTACTCCTCCTTATTGGAATCAGAAGCGTTCTGTTCAGCGTCAGCCATCTCCGTGTCTTCTTTGTCATCCTTCTTATCCGAGCTGGGCGCATCTGGAGCAGGGGCACTCTTCTCGGAATCGGTGCCCTTGACCCACGAACGGAAACGCTGGTTCATTTCGTCCACCTGGTCCTTGCTAAGACCGTGCGCCCACATGGGGTTATTGACGAATCGCTCAGTGAACCGATCGTGACGCCTTTCCTTGATAGCCGCTGCTTCCTTTGCAATTTCCTCCGCCGACTCATCCGGGGGAGCGGTCGGGCGCCACCACCAATCGTAGCTACCGGGCTCGTACAGAATATGGTAACTGTTGGCGCAGATTCGGATGATGAGGCCATCCTGGTGCACAAGTGGGCGGTAATAGCGATTGTACTCTTCTTCCTGTTCGAGCTTAGGCGGTAGGTTCCGCTTAAGGAATGGCATGCGCAACTGAGAGAAAGGCACGCCTTCCGTTGGGTCACGCATGGTGTAAGCGGAGACGTAGTACGACCACCGCGCTTCCTGACTCAACTCCTCATTTTCCAAGGTAGCGTCCTCAGGGGTCAAAAGTTGCACCGTAGTCTTTTTAGTATTCGGATGCTATAAAGGACACTCTGTTAGACAGCTTCAATAGATTCTTCGAGCTAGTCAGTGAACTTACGTAACTAATGCGGTAGATGTCGCCATCCTTAACCAGCCTTTCAACTTGCTTGCGATACTGGATTTCTTGGTTGTGAGTGGTCTCCTCCCTGTCCCGCTCCTTGAAGAAAACGTTAATGATATCGGAGCTGCGGTCTTTCGAGTCGCCGTTGAAGATGGCGCCAGCAAACTTTGAGATACCAGCAAACATCTTCTCCAGGTTGTAGAGCTGATAGCCACTTCGTAAGTAATAGCGACGGAGAGTCTCCTCCAAGTGGGAGGACTCCATATCCCCTTTTATGACTTCTTCGCACATGCGGACAATCTGTTGGTACAAGTTCGCTTTCGGATCGCAGTCATAGAAGAAATCAGTAGGGACTTTGTCGATAAGACCGAGTTCCTGAGCAGGTTTGGCCATAAGGGCGCGGCGTACATCCTCATGAGCATCCTTTTCGTGTAATTTGATGCGAAGCAAGCGCGTATAGAGAATCTCAAACGTGCGGAAGAAGCAATAGATATTCAAATTGGCGTACAAGTGATGCTGTTTTTTCTCATATGACTCATTGAGGGTGTATTCTCGTGCCAGATTGAAATTACCCTGGCCGGGGTGCTCCATCCACTTCAGTTCGGCTACATCGAAAGTCTCGGTAGGGTCCGGAACAGGTGTCGATGGGACCAGAACTGCATCTGGAGTGCCATCACGGCTGGCAGGATTGCTTCTGCTTCCTTCTTTCTCGGTCCGATTGGCCTTCTCGCTGCGACGCTCCAGAACATCGCGCAAGAGGTCCATCTTCTTGCCATTAAGGCCTTTGCGACTACGAGGTGTCGAGGACTCTTCCGCGACCAGACTCTCATCATCAGCCTCGTCAGTCGGAGAGGCACCCGTGGAAAGCTCGTTCATGTACACATGGAAGGTATCACGATCCATGCCAAAGAACATCGGGATGAAGTCCTTGATAAATGTCATAACCTTCTGGGGGTCAGCTCCGAACCCAGCAGAGTTGCGGTCGATGAAAGTCAAAAGTAAGTGAGTAGCGTCGATTAAGACTGCCGGATCATCAAAAGTGAGCTCGAACTGGTGTCTGGGGACCTGGAACCCGCTCTTGCGCAGATTTCTGCTTTCCTCAAACTTATTTTGAATCTCATTCTGGATGTGTTTCGCCACAAACAGTTTCTTGTCCGTTCCTTTGCTAGCGATAGCTTGATGGTCAAGACTCCGCCAATAAGCCTTCTGCATCTGCTCGCGCCAAATCTTATCCCATTCACGCTGACTAGCTTTCCACTCCTCGCATTTTTGCTTCAGGCGAAACAACACGATGGGTAGGACATGACACGGTCTCTCAAACATCTCGCGGATAATCTTGTCACCAAGTTGTCTGTCATAAATCTTCTTGATCACGCGTTGGTAGATCGCCTCGCTCTGGCCACCGAGGCCAGGAGGAAGCTTGAAAGCAGCCCTCTCCGCTTCGGACATAACGAGGAACTGCTGGACAATAGGCTCAATCAGCTGGATAGTGCGAGTGCAAGCCTCAATGTGATGGTCATAGTCATGTCTGTCTTCTTCGATACGGTGTAGTGCATCTTCATACTGATTCTTCCGGTGGGCCACGAAACCAGAATCTTCAGATGCCCAAGTGGGATGAGAAGCCCATTCATCGTTCAAAACACTATAGCACAACTGATCACGGCCGCTGCAAGGCTTCTGGCGCTCCCGCTTCGGAAGAAGGCGATAGCTAGGTCCCAAAGAGCGGCAATGGGAAAGGTTAACAAGTCCGGGCTCTTGCTTCGGCTTGGACTCGACAATCTTATCTTCAGGCTCTTCAACGTGCATAAACCGCTTGAACCACGCCATGAGTTCCGGGTTAGAGCCAATATACCCAGCAGCCCGTTTTACAAGCACATGTCGATCAATGAGATCAGTTGAGTAGAGATTGCAAAGCTTGAGGAACTCGCTGAATGTCTGCTTGTTACCGATGTATTTCTTAACACGATCAAAGAATGCGAATTCCTCTTGAGTAGGTGTAAGCGAAAACGTCGGTTGAATTGGCTCGGGCAGTGCAGGAACGAGAGTTGGCGAAACTGCCGGGGCTTCTGCTTGGCTCGGCTTTGTATGGTGAACCTTGGCTCTCTTATTGGCATTGCCAGGCTGGAGCGTTGGTGGACGACCCCCCTGAACATCACCAATTCGTGCAGCATCTGCACCTGTAGATGGCCCCGACAGTGACGGTCCCAGCGTTGATGGAGCTCCAGGCCCTGGTCGGCGCTTCTTCCCTTCCTTACCAGAGTCCTTAACATTGAACTGGCCGAGAGGTGGCATTTTGACATCACGGTTAGGGGTTTGGGATGGAAGAGCATTCGCACTGGGATAACTGGGCTCCCCACGCACATTGCTCATGGGAGCCGCCTCCTCTGCCTGACGCGCAGCGGCCTGTTGCTTCGCATGGGCAGCGGATTCAGGCAGGAATTGTTTGAAGTCTTCCAATAGATCTGGCGCGGTATTGAACAACTGAGTCACTTGAGCGTAAACATCCTGGATAGGCTTTGACTCGCGCTGGTATGTCTGTAAGATCTCAAGGAACTGCTTGTATATTTCAGGGGCACTTGCGAAGCGGTTCTATTCGAAAGGGTACATAACGTCAGCAACGCGAAGGGTAAGCGGGACGGATAGGGTCCATAATACTAACCTTGATCTTGTTGACATAGCTGATTGCGTGGTTGAACTCCACAGGTCCACGCTTCAAATCCGCCTGCGACGAGCCCTGAAGCATATTTGAACCGACGCCAGCCAGACTATTCATAGGCTGCGTTAAGCTGGGGTTTTGTCCTGAAGCGGGGGATACCTGCATGAGGGAAGGGCGGCCCAGACCCGCAGAGGCAGCTGAAGCTGCACCCTGAAGCTGCGACACACCCCGCTGGTCCTGCCCATGAGCCATAGCTGCTGCACCCGCCGCTGCTTGCTGCTCTTGTTGTGTGGGGTAGTCAAAGTGATGGTCTTGAGGCTGACCCTGTCCACCTTGCTGCCCAAACATACCTGGTCCCATCATGCGAGATCCAGGAGAGTAGGAGCCAGGAAGGTTGCCTTGTTGCTGTTGGGGCTGGTGTTGCTGCCAGCCAGATCGAGATTGGTCAAAGAACTCTGGACGACTATGAGGAGCCATCCCACCAGAGGGACCCAAATCGCCAGATGAATCCATCGAGTGGCGTGGGCGGGGGGGCATACTGATAGTGTTTGTGCCAGAGGGAGTGGTCACTCTGATGACATCTGGGTTGTCATCTGTCCCACATTCGATTCTATAACCAGGTGGCAGGAAGGTATTAAAGCCTTGAATGAGAGCGGGGTGACCATTAAAGAGTGTAGAGACACGTTGAATGACTCCAGGGGTATCGATGCTATTTCAGTCACCATTAGTGAAACGTATTCAGTGAATACACTTGGATGACTAATACTCACGCTTGACTTTTGAAGTCTTTCATTATGTCAAGGAAACGGTTATATACATCTGGCTGATCAACGAATCGTACCTTAACCTGGTCCAAGTAGCTGAGTGCATCCTAATCACTAGTCAGTTAATCTGCCCCTCTAGGAATAACAAAGCCGAATATGAATAAAAACAAAGATTACTCACGTTCAAGATCGGCTGTTGACCCTGGGCAAGCGCAGCAACATTCCCTGGAATCTGAGGCCCAGATCCATTGAATCCCATCATGGGCTGTCCTGGTGGCCCAGCAGGGTGCTGCATGTATGACCTGGGAGTTCCCTCTCCATGTTGAATTTGTGGACCATACATGGGACCGGGAGCGCCAGATGATTGCATAGACCCTTGGGGACCGTTGGGTGGATTCGATCCCAGGTTGGACAAAAGACCATTGGGGCCGTGTATGGAGTTCGGTACCTTCGACGCTACAGGCTGATGCAAAGGAATCGACCCCGTATGACTTTGAACCGGATGGTGCTGCTGTTCCCGCTGTCGCTCCAGCTGTTGTCGCTCAAGTTGCTCGCGCTCACGCTGTTCACGCTCTCTGTGGGCCATCTCTTCCTGACGCTGTCTTTCGATCAATTCGCGCTCTCTCGAGTCTAGCTCACGCTCTCTGTTAATGGACTGAGGAGAAGGATGCTGCATCGCCTGGCCGATACCTGGTAGGGAATGCCCCGCGCTATGAGAGGGAGCAGAAGGGTGCTGTCCATAGGCAGGGGGTTGATGTGGCCCGGCATGACCCTGGCTCAACTCTGCCAGCCCAGGAAGTGAGTGCCCTGCCGGTTGGCTCGCCGGATGGTAGGGGCCTGGCGCAGCAGACAAAGTAAGTCAATAAACCAATACACACTGCAAGCATTGTGGGAATGTGGCATAGAAGGGGGATTCTAACCAGCTGGTGGAAGAACCGGTCCGGTAGGCTGCGACGATGGACCTTGTTGAGGCGGTGGATTTTGACTATACAGTGACACCACTAAGTCAGTACGCTCCATCTCCAGAGTATATACTTCAATGTCACTTATAAAATTTGTCTGAAATCACTCACCTGAAGGAGCCCAGAGGGCGAGGTTGTTGGTTCATTTGATCTATCCCCGGGTGCGATGGCAGGCCGCCCGGGTGCCAGTTATCATTCCCAGAGGAGTTCATGATCTGTGCATGAACAAAATACTAGAAACAGTTTCTGACTTTATGATCTAGTTAAGAATGGGGTATAAGTCTGAAGGTGAGTTGTGGGGCCGCTGATAACTTCAGCCTAAGCTCTTGATCTGTTATTCCTTTTCGCACGGTTGAGTACTCTTTCTCCAAGTCATTTCACAGCGACATCACTGTGTTGGAGACTGTGTTAACCACACAAGCACAACACAAACAAAACAACAACGAGTGCAAGACCCAAGGGATCTATACCAGGAAGCAAATAGAGGGAACAAGGAGGTAAAAGAGACTGTTCAAGCCAGCAAGCGGCAGACTTGATTGGAAATGATGGTTTGCGCGCGACCGATCACGGCTCCTCCCAGAGAGAAGGCGGAGAGGGACTTTGACTACGCTAACCCCTTTTAATCTATAGCGTCTCTCTTTCGCACTATCCTTTTTCCGTAGTTTACATTCACAGCGTGACAGGCCGTTGATTGGCTCACGCAAAGGCGGGATCAGCAGTGCCAGGGACTGCCTCTCAAGCCTTAGAGCCTTAAACCTCCGACGTCATTGACTGATAAATCCGGCGTCATGTCGAGCCTGGATCCAGCAAGCTTTGCCTTGACAGGCGTCTACTGAAAGGTTAAGTGATTGTCGCTAACTATCTACTACAAATCTCAAGGCATTGTTCCTTTTGTAAGGCCGATTGAACTGTTTTTGACATATCTTCTGTTACTGATCAATCGGCGCACACACGATCTAGCATCGCGGGTGGATCTTTAACAGTAACAGCTCTGGCCTCAGATAAGGTCAATCGTACCCAAGTAGACCGAAGGGATAAAGTAGTTCAAAACCCATAGATTCATTATCTACTCGGTGACCCTAGGTATCTAGACACCGAACCCAATTCAAGCCAGACCACCAAATTGTCCTGCTCTAGCTGTAGCCAATACCAGAATTAGCCGGATCGGCGATATGGTTAGGGCCAGGGTCCCTTGCTCCTCGTCACTGAATGAGTATGCTGCATCCATAACTGTTCAAAAGGTAGACAGAACTGGGCAAGAAACGGAAAGGATGCCCTTTGGGGGCTCCACGTCTTTCTCTATGACATCCCATTATAACGCCCCCAAATGAATCATCAAGAAATCACCAAGTCCCAATGTAAAGTAAAAGAACGAAATGGACACATCATCAGAGCGTTAAAGCGGTGGCGAGTTAGAGAATAGGTTGGAATGGCTCCCGGCGGCGAAGGCACGGCCAAATCTCAACAAAGGGGTGGAAAAGGGTAGAAGGAAAATCTGAACCTGAACTGGCAACTTAAATTTGGTACTGCGGATGCTGCTGCTAGTATCCTCATTTCTGTTTTATACTTTGTTTCATGCATGATTTGCCCGAAATTGACATCCTGTCCACTTATGAATATGAACCATCCCGTAGCGTACTTACAATGCGGAGAAAACAAAAAGCTATTAGGTTGCACAATGTCAGCATATATACAGTGATAAGACAGAGATACGGTACAGAAGCCACTTACGTTGTTAGTAGCAGCAATAGCAATACTATCCTCGTAAGGATGCCAGCTCATGTGTAAGATCTTCTTGTTAAAGTCGATCTGATCTGCGTCGGTCTCCTTCTTCATCCGGCTGCCAGGACCACCAGGGCTTCCAGCTCGGGTATTTCCCTTCTTGCCATTGGCACCCTTGTTCATCGGCGTTGGCACGCCAACTTTCTTTGCTTTGAACGCCGATTTATCCGCCTGCAACACAATCTCGGTCTCCTTGGCAGGATCGGTAGGGTAGATCATAAAGTTGTTGTTGTAACTTCCAGTCATGACATTCTCTGCGTCTCCTGAGAAGACCACTTCAAACTTGTCGAAGATACTGTCATTCTCATAAGTGTCACACAGGCGTGGCCGCAAATGTTCGTGGATGGGAATCGTCTTCACTGGCTGGCGCTCCATGTTGACATCCCAGATTTTAACAGTGAGGTAGTCCCTGGACACGATATAGCGACCATCATGCGAAAACCGTACGTCGGAAATCGAAGAAATAATTTCGGAGAAGAATGAGCGGGAGGAGGCATCCTCCTCTTGTTCGAAAACTATACAGTAAGAATAGAGTCAGTCCGGGGCGGGCTATGACCAGAATGTCATCACAGAGACACCTACGTTTATGGTGTTCATCACACAGCGCCCGCTGTCGCATGTCGGCAAGCTTGATTGTGCCTTTCGAGCTGGCGTACATAAACCAATTGCAGCTGGTGGGGTGGAACTCCGCAGCCGTAATCACTTCCGTCAGCTCCTCCATGTTTGCGGGTTTGATATCGACAATGTTGAAACTCTGGTCTTGAATATTAAGGTTCCACAGATTGATTCGCAGGTCATCACTACTAATAAAAGTTTCTCCGTCGCTGTTGACGGAGATGCTGTTTATGTGGTATGCGTGTGCATTTGCATACGTCCTTCGAGGCACGGCTGCCACAACGGTATCATGGTGCGTCATCCGGGGAAGCTTCAACATTGATGGATCCTTGAAAGACAAACGAGGGGCGCGAGGCGCCCCTCCACCCCCAACGCCTGCGGGCGTAAGCTCAGTCGAGAGGTTATTTTCTGCAACGACCTTCAGCGACTTGTCGAACACCTTCCAGAGTTTTATCGTTTTGTCATTTGTCGAGAGAAGAAAATGAGACGAGTTTGATCGTCTGCACCACTTAATCTTGTTGATCTTCTCCTCGATCTCTAGTGATTTCAGATAGTCGAATTCTGGCTCGTGGGACTGGAACTCGGTGTGAAATTTATACTCGCATGTTTTTTTCTAAGCAATCGGTTAGGACCTTCTACCTGTGGAGAGTAATATTGCAGGGAAGTTGGTACCGTCTCATTCCGCTCAAACAATACTACTCTCCCACCCTTATCTCCTGTAGCAAGATAATTTCCGGTATGATCGAACTCGACAGTAGAAATGATATCCGCTAGAGGAAGAAGCCGTGTTAGCAGCTATAAAATAAGATCCGCTATCAAGAAGGCGATGTTTCGGTACATCCAACTCTATGCGTTGAAGGTGTTATACATACCTTCTGTGATATCTTCCACGTCGCCCTTATCACCAAAGCATCTAGTAAAGCCAATTAGCATTTCCATGTTACCTCTGATAGGCTGGCCACTGCGATTGAAAAAGTCTTCCGAACTCTTGTGGCAGAGAGACCAGCGGGAAAGATGGTTACATCATCGGCGGGACAGCTTCCAACGGCCACAATAGGGAAGACAGAGGGCCTAAACTCACTGTGTGAACTTCCAGGTAGGTGTACCTGGATCCCTGTCTACCATTTTCTTTCAATAAACCACCCTTCTCTGGGGCAGCTGGCCAACAAACAATACTCGTGGAAGCAGTGGGTGGATCGGGATGTCAAAGAGCGGGGCCACCAGAAACTGGCGTCGTTACTGTGGGATAAGGAACAAGTCTTTTCCGCGGTCGTCGTCTATGTAACTTTCCGCGACCAAACGGATCGAAAGTGAGTACGATGACAAAGTGACCTCCGGTTCCGATGTAGGAGTGGAGATAAGAGAGGATAGTGTGGTCGTCAGATAGGGCCGCAACGTCAGACAAGGCCGGAGCTGATGCAGAGATCGATCTTAGGGAATTGCAGGCTGGAGAAGACAAAGGATTGACAGCCTGTGCTGACGAAACCAGAAGGGCGGGGAACGATGGGAAGGATTTTCCAGTTCTTTTCTTCTCTGCAGCGTCTCTAATTGATTTTCGTGGTTGATCTTTTCTGCAAAAAGCGAAGAAAGGGCACTGATAAAGCAACCACCACAGCCACAACCACAAACTAACCACCTTTTTCAGAAGAGGAGAGTAGTTGAGAAAGAAAGTGTGGGGGGGAGTTGTTGCAGAGACGGGAAGGATGATGGGAGGAGGTAAGGTGTTTGGATTGAGGTGAGGGCGGTATTGGAAAGTACCGTCCGGTGGTGGTGGTTTGTGGTGGGGAGAAGATTGAGTGAGGGAGTGGCTGCCCGTGAACCCACGCAACGACCCAACGCAACCCACCCGCACCGCCAACTGGGCGCTGACATCAACACACTTCTACTACCCTTCATGTACTCTGCTTCTTCCTACCAACAGAAATTCTGGTACATATCTACCTATTCATACTCGGGTTCCCCAAATGTCCGTGGGAACTATGCATAACAAGGACTTTATGTCATTTGGCTCCTCTTAAAGAAATTGAGTACAAAATCTTCACCTTGCGTCACCTTTTAGTCAAAAAGTGGATTCGCATTCTTTTCTGTTTATTGACCATGCTTCCGATGCTGGTTTCGGAGTGAATCATCGTTTATGTCACGTGATCTTTATATAGAAGAATCTCATCTGCTACTGACCTCATCAACGAAAGCGCCTTTACTTCAACCTTACCAGGATTTATGTTTCTGAAATAAAACATTCACTACTTCTACACTAGGAGTACGGATTCATCATGAAAGCAGCCTGCACATAATTGTAGCTTTTATGTCTAATACGCCTATAGTACATACATCCAGTCCATGGAGCGAAATATAACCGCAATTGCATCAACTGCTGCGGCGACAATTCATCATTGAAATCACGAACACTGACAAGTGCACAGGATAGCATCATGATCCAAACAAAAATGGCATAATCGGCTGCTATGTAGCGGGTTAGCTACAAGGCTGCTTAGAACAGCCATACTAACTTTTCTATCTATATATCCGTGAAATGTATCTGAGGACCTCAGGCTGCGTCATTTTACTACGAAGATGCAACGAGTAAAGGCTACGATCTTTTTTAAACGAATTAAGTCCCAATTCCCACCCAACCGCCAAAGACCAAGCATCGAATTCCATACGCCGTGTCAACCTATCTTTCGTCACATGCTATTTCTGTCCAGCCGACAAAACTCCATTAAGCCGAACTGACAAGTTTAACTTCTTCTAGACCATATACTTTATCTACAAACCATACACAATCAGCCATCTCTTCTATCGAACATTCCCCCCCCCCCTTTTTTTTTATTAACCCTTCCAAAAACATTAACTCTAATAAACAACACCTAATAACGCCCGTCTCATAATTCTTTCCCGTCCCTCTCGAAATCACAACCCCACACTAGTACAACCCGAACCATGACGGAAGACAAGAAGCGGGGCACCGACAACAACCATAGCAATGACAACCCCTCCAACAAATCCCCCAATCCCGCCAAACCAACTGACAAGAACAACTCAAACCCCCCATCCCTCGCAAGTCGCATCCAAAGCTCAGCCTCAGGATTAGCCCGGCAAGCGTTCTCCGCCCCCGGTTCATCAGGCGATGCAGCACAGTTCCTCACGACCGGTAGTAAAGCCGGCACCACCACCACATCGTCATCCTCAGCCCTAGCAGCCGCAGAACAATACAGTCAAGTTTCCGGACCCTCCGCCCCATCATCAGCAGGGGCTCAATTGCGTGATGGCAATGCGGGGACGTTCCGCTCGACAACTACACCCCAACAGGGTGGGTTCGAGATCCCCCATCTGGCAGAGGAGGAGTTTGCGCAAGCAGGCAACGATTTTCTAGAGCCATCTACATCCACCTCTACTATAGACAAGGGAAAGGGAAGAGCGACGGAACAATTTTCTTCAGCCACACACCACCACGCCCCAGAACCAACCGATGGCTCAGCAGTCATCTCCCTCCTCTCAGACAGAACCTTCGATCCGACATTCCCGCACGATCCCGCCGAAATAATCGAAACAGAACTATCGCCCCCTCAGCAACTCACACCAGCAGAGATCCAAATGCTCGAGACCTTCCGCCGTCACATGCCTCCCCAACCGAACACTTCTGCCCCATCTACCCACCGTCTCACGTCTACTAGTCTCGTTCCGGAAATTGATACAATCCTAGATAGTGCTCCTGCGCAGACGGATGCAGATGCCGCCGCCCTAAGGAATACTGTTTTGGCTAGGTTGCCAGGGTCGGAGGATTGGGTTGATGTGGAGGAGCGATATCATGATGAGGTGTGGGGGTGGTTGAAGCCTACTTTGGAGGCTGCTGCTCAAGAGCTGGAGGAGAAGGAGGAGGATCAAAGGGGAGAGGATGGACCTGCTGTGCAGCGGTTGAAGATGGTTTTGACGCATATGCGGGCAAAGCTCTAGGGATTTGGTTGGGGAGGGAGACCTGGCGGTGGTCATGTACTGTATAACCATACTCTGGTCTTTTGTACAATATGTATCCTGTACCGAGGTTGTTGGTAAAGTAGTAAATAGAACATTTTTATGAGATGACAGGATATGAAAAACACTCAAGGCGAGAAATATTACGTGCTGAGAAGGTAGTTTGAAAGATTCAATTGTACTATCGTACAGACTAAACACGAAAAGGCGGGGAGCTGGCCCCGTATATCATCACAAATGATCATGGTAATAATAAATGACAAACGCGGAGAAAAGGGTATGTATCAAGAACTAGCTGCGTCGAAAATTTTCTCTGTCCAAAATGTATCGTTCCCATTCTATTGCACAATCTAAAGCTCGAGGCTGGGGGTCTGACCCTTGACGCGGCCGATGACAATCTGAGCGGCATACTTGGGGATGACTTCGTCATCGTGAAGCATGGCGAATTCTTCGGTGGCATCACGGCCCATGAAGTTGAAGAGAGCGTTAGCGCCACCAGGGTGCTCATCCAGCCAGTTGGTCACATCCAGGACGACACCCTTGACGACGATCCACAGGTCGTCCTTCTTGTTGTGCTTGGCAACTTCTTCCATGGAGTATTCGGTCTCGGGGATCTCGAACTTCTTGGGGTCATTGGCCTTAGCGGTGGAAGAAGTGCCTGCCGGGGTAGCGCTAGCCTTAGCAGGCTCAGTAGCGGCAGCAGGAGTTCCAGCACCTGCGGGAATCTGAGCACCACTGCCAGCAGCGCCGCTCCATTCGACGGAGATCTTTCCCGGAGTAGACGGATCGATGTGAAGAGAGATCTGGCCCAGACGCTGAGAAGCGCTGGAAGCACCTCCAGAGACCAGCTTCTGGAAGAGGTGCTGGCTGGCGCTGTCACCAGCAACGCGACCGTAGACAACACATCCCAGGAGAGAAGAACCACCGAGACGGTTGGCACCGTGGACACCACCAGCAAGCTCACCACAAGCATAGAGACCCTCGAAAGGCTGCTTCTCCGAGTTCAGAACCTCGGCATGCTCATTGATCTCGATACCACCCATGGTAAAGTGCAGGACAGGCTCCATCAGAGCCACGTGGAAGGTGTCGTTAATGTCGAAGGGCATGTTGTGGAAGAAACGCTTGCCCCAAGGATCCTTCTGCTTGCCATCAGCGATAGCATTGTATTCCTGGAAAGTCTTCTGAAGGGCAGCTTCGCCGCAGCCGATCTCCTTAGCCAGTTCCTTGCCGGAGATCTTCTTCATGAGACCACGGCCAGAGTAGTGGCGGGTGTGGAAGTCCAAAACGTTGGATGCCTTGCTGTTCAGGACGAGGCGAATGGGCCACTTGCCCTTCTCCTTCTCCTTCCACATCTGGCCCGAGACATAGTCACGGTGACCGAGCTCATCCGAGAACCGCTGGCCATCGGAGTTAAGGAGAAGACCACCCTCACCACGGAGAGCCTCAGCAGCAAGGAACTTGAACTTGGCAGTCGGGTCCTTGGGGTCAACGAGACCCGTGGGGTGGACCTGGACCTTGTCCATGTCAATACCGTTGGCACCAATTTCCATCAACATCTTCTGACCATCACCAGTGGCGTGGGTGCCGTTCGTGCTGGAGAGACCGAAGGTGTCAGGGCGGTGCTGCTTCAGAAGCGAGCCATCGCCAAAGTCTGCGGCATAGCCACCAGTGGCCAAAATGACGATACCGTCGGCGGTGTGTGTCTCGCCATCATACTCGTAGGTAACACCAGTTACGGTGTTGCCAGTCTTGTTAACAGAGATGACACGAGCCTTCTTGACAATCTGTACACGCTCGGGCTCCTTCTCGGTGAGCTCTTCTAACCGTTGCATGAGGGCGTAGGTGATGGCCATGCCAGGGAATTTGGCATCATGACCACGGTGTGTGCGGGGCTGGGAGTGACCACTGCGACAGCGTTAGAATATTGAGTCTATCATATTCATCGGATTGCATCACTTACCCGAGACGAGAAACAAGGGTGAGATCGAGGTTGAAAACATCCATCAGCCATTCTACAGCGGCTGCGGACTTGTATGTGAGGACCTTAATGAGCTCTGGGCGAGCCTTGTCTCTGGCGGATTTCAGGGTGTCTTCGTAGAAGGTCTTGACGCTGTCCTGGATGCCCAGGTCGACCTGAGTGCGAGTAAGGGCGCCATTGATACCCGAAGTAGCCTTGGTGGAGTTGCCACCGAAGAAGGCTATGGGAAGTCAGTCGCGATCGCTTTTTAGATACTGATTTGCGATAATATTGATCGCAGTGCCATATGCATGAGCCCAACATACCTTGCTTATCTAAAACGAGGACATTTCCACCGTTAAGGTAGACGGTGTGAGCGGCGGAGAGACCGGACACTGAGAGACGAGGTAATGGTCAGCAAATTGCGGGGAAAGCTTGGTTAGTAGATCGATCACTCACATCCACCACCGACAACAATTACTCTGGGGGGGGGAGCCATTGTGAAAGAAATGAAATATAGGGAGGAATAAGTGTAAAGAGAGGACGAGGAGGACTAAGGTCTGAGGAGAAGAAAAGAATCGGGGAGAAAAAGGACGAGACAGGGAGATCTTAAAGCAGTTCTCAAGGACCACAAGATCCGGGGGGAGGAGTTGGATTGGGTAAGGTTCAGAAGCCGACAATGCTTTTCGGCCGAGGCTCATCGCTCGAGAGAATGTCCCTGTACCGTACTGGTACCGTTTCACTATCCATGGACCGCTTCCTTCCCAGGCAGGAACCGCGTTTCCTTGGTGGTAATTACTATACACCCATACCGTGCTGAATGAAAAGACGGGGAAAGTGGTCCCTTCCTTAGTAAAGGGTTATTACAACGATTCTGGTTTGTCCACCAAACTGGAGATCTGTCGACCCATTTGGCGGACCTTGATGTCTATTGTGGATAAAGGCTTAAATGTTGTCAAGTCTGAGAGTCAACTCCGACCTGAGTATAGGTATCAAAAAGGTACAATACATGTTCTAAGGTTCTCTTTTCCCCCCCAGTAGCAGGGATAAGAACCCTTCACATGCTTCAAATCGATACTGTATATGTATGTATGCATGTATTTATTTAGTTCCATAGTAGTAGTCATCAGTCGTCCAGGCCCTGCAAGCTAAACCATCAAGCGTTGTCCTCTCACTGTTTCTCCCCCCCATGACACCACTTATTTTCACATGCCCGAGCCTTCTCAGCAAATAAGAGGGCAAGCTTAAGTCAGCGGAACGTCATGTTTCACCTGATGATCATATTTCTTCAATTCTTATTGCTCGAAGCTTAGAGATCTGCCAAGGACAAGATTTACCCGGGGTACGATTTGTTTGTCCCCTTATGCGAGTCTGTATGCCATGTTCCCTGTGATCCATTTCAATCAAGAGCGTACCCAAATACCATATAAATATACACAGCATAGAAAAGCCCGCTATAAGAATCACTAGACAAGAAATCTCTATCCCTAAGTTGTCATATTGACTAGTACCCCAGGGAATGGGCCATCCCCAGACCCGTAGACGGGAGGATCGGTGGCGGATTACCCCATATCCAAACCTTTCCCTTGCCTATTGTAGAAGTACCTCGGACCGAGACATCTTAAGGTTGTCCGCCAATTTCCAGCCAGCTTGTGCACTAAAGATATGAATGGGTCCAAGTCGCATCAGGCCATATTCATAATAAACACCCCTTTTCTCTACCTACTGTCGTACCTCCCGTTTTCCGTTTTTGCTTCAGCTCAACATCACCTCTTGCTCTTGACAGCCTGGGCGCCGTTACTGACGGCTATTGATCACGTGCATATTTCGGCTATTGACATAGCTGGTTGCTCTGCCAATAGGAGCGGGGTTCTCAATTGCCGCGCCAGTGGAATGACACAAGAGGTACCGCGGGCCCCGGTCCGTTAACTGAAATTGCTGATTTGGGCCCGGTGAATAGCCGATGGACAGTAACTGGAACTTAGCTACAGGTCAATCTAGGAACTATTTCAGTCTTATATACGTGCTTCTTCATGTTGTCGGATTAAGCTACTGTCTAGTTGTATCCTGTATTACTACGTATTACTGTTGTACGCTGCAGATGAACGTAAATATGGCTCGGTAGTATATATCCCGAAATCCAGCAGTGCTGGTCGGGAATCTCGGGGTATATGCCGAGTCGCAGATCCAAGTAAAGGCGGTACAAAGACGTTTGCGCCAACGTTTCGGGGGTTGTTCACGCGATTCTATTATTCACTATCCCGAGTAACTATGTAGAAGTTCATGGAAACAATCTTTACTCAATCATCATTATTTGGGCGATTATCGCTGCGACGAGCCGAACTATATACAATGACTACTACTTATGAGACCCAGGTTACAGGCACGTCATGATTCATTAATCCATCCAGGTAACGCTCTTGGTTACCAGAAATTCTTCCAGGCCTTGAGCGGTATTGAACCGGCCCCATCCGCTGTTCTTGACACCGCCGTGTGGCAAGGCGGGTTCGTCGTGAATGGTCATACTGTTGATGTGGACAGCGCTACATCCCATCAGTATGAATTTCAAAGGAGACGGCTGAAGACTTGATTAGACTTACCCAGATTGAATGCGCTTGGCCATAGCCAATCCCTTTCGCAAGTCCTCGGTGAATACCGAAGCCGACAGGCCATAGCCACTGCTGTTTGCGACCCGGATGGCCTCTTCATCGCTGTCGACCACCATGCACGCCGCCAATGAGGCGAACGCCTCCTCCTGCCAAACCTTCATATCTTCCCTAACGCCGCCAAGGAGGACAGGTGCCATGCGAACACCAGCCTCAGGTTGAGCCTCCGACGTCTGGTTCGCGGATCCGTGGATTAAATGGGCACCACTCGATAAGGCATCTGAGATTAGACGCTCAACTCGCGTTCTAGAGGCCATATTGACCAAAGTTGGAGGCGGAGAGGATGGGTCGAGGTTCGAGTTCAAAGCGCTCTTGAGTGCTTCCATAAATGTCGGCGCAATGGAGGAGTGGACGAGGATCCGATCTGTGGCCATGCAGATCTGACCAGACTGCGGGGTATTAGAAGGAAACAGGAGCGTCTACGGGAAGCATCAGGGATCATACATTTAAATAAGCGCCCGCCAATACGCCCTTTACAGCGGTTTCGATGTTCGCGTCTGCGCACACAATAGAGCTGTTCTTTCCTCCAAGCTCCATCAGGCACGGTTTAAGGTTTTGACCGCAGGACCGGGCAATCTGCCTTCCGACGGCTGTGCTTCCGGTGAAGTTGATCTTGCGCACAGCTGGGTGTTCGATCATTGTGTTGACTACCTTGGGGGCATCTTGGGCCCGGCACGATATGAGATTCAGACAGCCGGCGGGTAAACCAGCATCTTCAAAAGCGCGAGCAAGTGCCCAGTATGAGCATGGCGAGAGTTCGGAGGATTTCAAGATGGTTGTGTTGCCAGCAGCCAGCGCGCAGGCGGCGGAGCGGACACCAAAAACGTACGGAGCATTCCTAGAGAGTCATTGATGAGCCGTGGACATTCTCACATGAAGAGCACTTCACCCAGACAGAAACATACCAAGGCACAATGCCCAAAATCACACCCATAGGCTCCTTATAAACAATGGCACTCTGGCCCTCTTCCTCTACGACGGGTACGCTACCGCAGATGGAGGTGATGCGCCCAGCAATATCCCTCAACATGCGAATACCAAGCGGTACGATAAAGTACTGCGACGCTCCCACGTCAGCACCCATTTCTGTCCGCATATACTCCGCATTCTGAACCAGGCGACTTTCCAGGATATCGGCTGCTTTGAGTAAGATATCCCGTCGAAAGGTGGGTTTGGTCTGCGACCAGGCTGGGAAGGCTGCCTCGGCGGCCTCAACAGCACGGATGGCGTCGTGAGGAGAGGCTGAAGCTGTAGTCCAGCAGCGCTGGTTGGTATACGGGCTGATGACGTCGAACGTAGACTCAGGCACCTCCTCCTTGCCATTGATAATCAGCGGTATTACCGAGGGAGGGGAGGAACTAGCTTCAGCGGTCATCGTGGTATAGATCGGGATTTGGTTGCAGAATAGGAGACTAGAAATCAAATCGATAGATACCGAAAGACAAAAAACCAATCAAGGTTCTATATATCTAAAACTACTAATTCTACGAAGTGGAGGGGCCTTGAATTTAATAGTAGGAGGGGAGGTGCAGCAGGCGCCACAGGTTAGTCTAGGCACTAGTAGTATTGTTATACTAAAGACTAAGCCCCAATAGCCTTAGTAATAGCTGTATCCACCCGACTTGGGCAGTCCGTCCTTACTCTAAGGTTGTCATAGTCAGTCCCTTTATCGACGACACACTCTTTCTTGTGCACTATATGAGATGGATAGCTTAGTTATCTCTCAAGATCAGTCTTTCGGGCATGAAAATATAACTAGATCTTTGACTAGTTCCTTTGGCTCTCGGTTGACATGGAATACCTTAATGGCATGCCGACAATTACCCCACTGTGTCGAGGCGAACGTGTACAGATGAGTCCCCGAGAAAATGCACTGTGGGGTGTACTAGCCGCTTGAAAATGGTCCTCCATGTTAGAGAGGAAAGGAAAGTCGGCATGTTGCGTGAATTTTCTGTCACTGCGATACTCTACAGAAAACAGAAGCGCACTCGGTAGCTAACTCTTAACCTTTTGGGTAGGTCTGGATGACGATCAGACACATACTCCCACGGTTCAAAACCTCGAAATACTCAGGGACTACCCACAAAAAAATCACAAGAATTTTGTTCGTGGATCGGTTCAGAAACGATGGAGTAGATGGAGTAGGGCTGCCACAAGATTCGAATGCGACGTTCGCTCGCCAGGAGCTTACTCAGACAGGGTCCACATACAGTGGGGTCTTTGGTAGACCTTCACGGCCTTCCGCCATTAAGGAAGCGTTATTGTCAATAAGAGACCCGATTCAAAACACACTGAAGTGCCGAATGTTGGAAATGATCTGCACCACGCTAGCAACTAGTGTATCCACATCAGAAGTGACCAAACCAAGGCAATTGTCCAGGACTATTGAATAGTCCTTCTCTGCAGATCACCAAAAGCAGAACATGTCTAGAAGTATTTTATATGGACTTGTTGCACGGCATAACGGAGAAATGAGGTAATCGACCAGCCTCTGACTGACAGTGATTTTCAATCGAGGAGGGGCTCAAGACTATAGCTAAATAGGCGCAAGAGAACGTGCTTGGAATAAGGCTCTACCTGGGGTTATCTCCAGCCGGAGAGTAAGCTTGAAGAAGAAACTAGTCACTCACAGCAGGGTCTTTATTTTTTCCAATATACTCCGTACTCTTATTGCCAAACTGCTAAGACAAGGCCTTGCCCAGATCAGACCATCAATATACCTTTCATTCTCAATAGATACAGTTGTCAAGATTGACTGATCGGGAGACTGGGCTACGTTTCCCCTTTTTGTGTAATAGAAGCGCAGTCCACTTCCACGGACGGGAGCATATACAAAGCATTGAACCAAACTGCTGTAGCTAGGGGTTATGCTCTGAAGATGATCCGAGATCTACATACCCCTTCGTTTCTGTTAGGAACTGTGGTTGAACTATGGATTTATTACATACGAACTGAGCCCTAGAGATTCTGCTCACAATGTTTCTATCAAGGCAGAACCATTCATCGGCACACAGCCAATGGACCGATAAGAAGGCTAAAAGCGATCTTAGGCTAGGGTCGTGTCAAGCACATGGATTGGGTCGCCGAAGGTACTCAGAGTAAATGTGCGGATGGAGATGTGGGGGGCACTCAAAAAACGGATCGGCCGGAGCCCTGAGGAAATGGAATAGGAGACAAGGTTTGGAGTAGAAGAGATTTTCCGCTCTCTTCTTGGGTTCACTTGTATTGCGTGGGTTGATCGGGTAGCTCGCCTGTTCTTTCAGAATCTGTGTTCCTCTCTCTTATTGAACCGTTGACCATCAAAGGTTACATCGGCATGTCCATCAAACTCTATACATACTTCAAAGTTGAGTCGATCGTTGTCTGCGATAATATTAATCTTGAGTTGACAGGCACTAGTCTACTATTTACCTGCATTTCCATAGAACTCACCACGACTAAAACCAAATAGTCCATCGTTAAAGTTCAACACCAGAATGATCGTCGCCGGAGCCAGTGGGGACAAGATTGTTGCCACGAGGCCGCAGTTTCTTCAAAGGCCGCGTTGTCGTCCCAAATCAGATTGTATACTTCGGTATCCTTATGTCATCCCTGCGGGTCTTCAGGTCCCACTGTCTCGCATGGGCTCCATGGGGCTTGTACCACTTCCAATGATGTCCCTGTGTTGCCCTAAGTCGCCGGCTCCTCGTCCTACGAACTGTGCATCTCCAACCGTGGATTTGAGGAAGGACCCATAGCATAATTCCCGCCTTTCCGGCTTTTCCTATGCCTAAAATGCTTAGATGGTGGGCATGAAATGTAGTATATCTGTCGTGGGCCCCATACCCGCCTGCCGGCCTGGGTTCTTCAGGATCCTGTATCTTCCTCCGATTAGTCTCACACAGCCGCAGTGTATTCTGCTCCTCTGAGACCGGGGCTATTCTTTATAAATATCTACTAGACTGATCTTTCGTTACCAGTGGAAGAGGGGCACTGTCATTATCGACCACCCTCTCCATGCATGTCATTCCTTTGAATACAATCATCCCGATCCTCCTGAACTAGTGGCCAGCAAACCCTACCATCTTTTTCCTTCTTTCCAGCAAGTCATTCTTTTAAATCTTTCACCATGACGATTACCTCAAGGGGAGCTGAGATGATATGCATCGTCTCGGTGCTGGTCGGTCTTTCCCTAATATCAGTCATCCTGCGAGTCTTCGCCCGAATGAAACGAAGCATTGGGTTGGGCATGGACGACTACCTCTGCTTCCTTTCAATGACTCTTCTGATTGCTATGCTTATTGAATTAGTGCTATGTAAGTATTGTTAAACTCACCAATCCTAAACTTGTTGCTGACCGTCATATAAAGGGGTTACCATCGGAGGCAATGGATCCCATATGGCAGACCTAGATAAGACAACATTGATGAATTTCTCAAAGGTATGAAAATCTCCCATCTGATTTTGATCCATAGCTCGTGGGCAGTATGCTAATCAAATCATAGATATTCCTCGCAAACCAGTTCACATACTTCGTACTCTGCCCTGCCATCAAAATCTCCATCATATGCTTCTACCGTCGAATCTTCACCATGAAACCCTTCCAATGGGTATCATTCGCCCTCAACACCCTAATCGCCGCCTGGGGAACCGGTATCTTCCTAGCCTGCGCCCTACAATGTCGCCCCTTAAGGGGCTACTGGGACAAGAGCATCGACGGCCACTGCTTCGATCAGAACAAGTTCTTCATCGTCAACCAAGGCTTCAACATCCTCATGGACTTTGTTATCCTCTTCCTGCCAATCCCCATGATCTGGGGCCTCCAGCGCGCATGGCAGGATAAACTCGCCCTGAACGGCGTCTTTGCCATCGGTGGCTTCGTCTGCTTCGCCAGTATCTATCGTATCGTTGTCCTCTTCTGGATCGAACCGAATGACACCACCTACACCGTCTATCAGGCGACTCTGTGGACCCATATCGAGCCCTCCGTCGGTCTCATCTGCTCCTGTCTCCCCATCATCCGTGGTCTGTTCCCGAGATTCAAGATCCCCGGCACTCGTCGGTATGCTACCGCGCCGTACTATATCAATACCGATGTTAGCACCACCAATTTCGTCATGTCTAGCCCTAAGTCGCCTGCCTCCGCGTACTTTAAGATGATGGAGGAGGGTACGGTGTCCCGTGCAACGAGTGATTCTAATATCCCCGCTGATAAGAATTACTTGGGTCCTATGGGGATTGCGGTTCGCACGGACTTCTCCGTTAGCAAGGACTCGGCTTCTGTGAAGTCTCATTCTTGATCTTATGGTGCCTGGTGCTTTATATCAGTCCGTGTTCCGTGATTCTATGGACGTCTCGTTCTTTCTTGCCTCATTCTTACGACCTCATCTTTACGACTCTTATGTCTTACTGTCTTTCGTTATGGCTCAATGCCCAGACTTCTCCTTGCATGCTTCTTTCTAGCGTACCTTATCGTGTCTAGACGACTTTGTGTGACGTTATGTATACTCTGACATCGATGTAATATACCCTGAGAATTATCTTAATGCCCGAGTTCTTTATTTTCTAGATTCAAGGAGTCTAAATCGTACTGCGTTGCCATAGCTGGTGGTATCCATCATTCATTCGTAAATCCTCCGCTTTCAGTGTACGGTCTGCCCAGCTCCAAAGTCCTGGAGTTACAAACCCAGGTCAGCTATTTTGCACTGTATGTAGTAGAAACGATGGTATCTGTACATACCGGGAACGCGTCCGTGATACTGGTTGCTACTCTTTCCACATCCTCCGCGAGTCCTTGGACCCCGGCATCCCACTGCCTAATATGTCTCCCTGTGCCGGCTGTACTCGATTCAAAGTAGATGATCCCATCGATCTGGTCAATGCTGCCGCTCAACCGGCCTTGCTCGACCATCCTCGCCGCATAGGCCTCAGCCTTCTCACCCGCTGTCAGATCTCCACCTGCCTGAAGTCCCAGAATAGCGCCCAGCGCATCTGTAGTAATATTCTCATACAACTTACTCGCCGCGACAAGGTTATGTTCAACCACCGCCTTATCGAGAACAGTAGTCCCGTCCGCCGTCTGCGCAAGCTGGTGAGGGGCTAACCTCTGCGAAAAAGCCGCGACTTCAGCGGGGGTCAACAGTCGGTCCAAGAACATCTTCTCCAGGATACCAAACTCCTCCACAGATGTCGCCCGGTCATCCTTGTACAACGTCGCCAGAATCCGGGAGCGCTGCGGACCAGCCGGGCCCAGGACGGCACAGCGGATGGCGGCAGCCAAAGCTTGCAGACGATCGCTCTCATCAACACCGGCCGCCAGACTCACATTGAAGTATCCCTGGCTGGCATCGAGGAACTTCCTCCGAGCGTCTAGGATGCGGGCCTGGGAGAGGTTGAAATGCAGCTTCAGGTCGTGATCTTCGATCTTGCTGGGCAGGTTCTTGATTCGGTTCACGACTGCCTCCGCACTGGTTGTATCATCTTCTTCTAGGTATAGCCGCACGATCCGAATCCATAGTCTCACTTTGGCTGCGTCGGATACTAGGCGTTGTGAGCTGTCGATGTGGATCCCTTGTAGTGTTCGTGCAGCTGCAATGTATTCTTCTTCGGACTCGTATGCGTCTGCGAGGAGTTCGCGGATTTGGGCATCCTGTTCTTCGACTGATGTGGAGCGAGATTGGAGGAGGGTGATGGCGTGTTGACCTACTTTGATCTTGGTTTCGGGGCTCAGTTTCCGGAGAACGTCAATGAACGAGTCGAGGAGTGGGCGGGCGGCGACGATGCTGATGTCTTCACTGAGGATGGAATCGAGATAGATAGTCAGATCCTGAGACAACTGGTCCCCAGATGATGTTGAGGCAACGTTGGACAGAAGGTCGTTGTAAAGCTGTAGCTTGTTTTGGGGATTAGCGGACGATTCAATCTCCGCGAGGGCGGAGGTGATCTTTTGTGAAGCCATGGGTGAGCTTCTCGGGCGGGGTGGCGATTGTTTCGAAGTAAAGTAGGAGATAGTATATGATTCAAGCTTTGTGTAAGAGGTTGGCTATTATTTGTCTTGTGGGATGGGTATGACGGAGAGAAGATGTTGTACCTTCAACTCACTGCGGGCACAAACGATGTCCTAGCTTGGCTTATCGATAAGAGGGGCTAAAGGGGTGCAACAATACTACTACTAATAGCATCACCACTATGCGGGGGTTTTCTGCCTCGAGAATTCCTTAGGCGGGCTTAAAGTCTATATTGCCTTGCAGCTTTTGTTTAATTGACTACTTCATTGCCCGATGATACATAGTCTTGCTTGAAATGTTACTCAGTGTAAAACCCATTAACTCCCTTGCCTCAACGAAATAGATAATACGTCGGGTGTGATCTCCATAATAAATCTCAAGATAAGCTAGAGTAGGTCTTTATAGATCCATTGAAATTCAGGTCTTCCATATTGGAACTTCATTTCGAGTGGGAGGATGTGAATTGTTGTTGATAAAGCCTATAGTAAATTAAATTTATGCAACTGAAAGGCGGTTAAAGATGCCGCCACCGCCTTTGACCGACCCGCCGCTCGGCAGCTCCCTCTGCATTTAGAGCAGACGCATGGCAAGTGTTTCAACATCACGTCACACCACCGACTGCATACCGTCTAGAACATCGTTCGTCGCCCAGATTGCTCTAAAACACGGTCGCGTTGCCCGATACTACCAGTTGGTGAAATCTCAGATTCTCATTTGTTTGTGGCGGCGGTTAGCGCCATGGTTCCCCAAATCAAACAAGACCCGGACGCGGCATCACCGTATATTAAGCCCGACCCCGACAGCAAAGATGCTGTTCTTGCCGACATTGACGATGATGAAGATCTCTACGAAGATGCAGGCGATCTAGATTTTTCGAACGCTGCGCAGAGCGTATGGCTCTCCCGCATTCCTCGAACGCTCTGGGAGCATTGGAACAACCTCGACGACGATGAAGAAATCCAGATTGGGACGGTTAGGATCGAGGGCCCGCTAAACGATATCAAAAGGGTAGGTGCTGATTATGAATGGGCAGTGCTCGCATCGCGGTCGTTACCTGTGTGCCGTTAACCCTTAGGGCGTTGTCTGACATGCGAATCTTTGTAGGTCAGTTTGCGTATCAATGAACGGGAGGAGAACCACGATATCCCCAAAGACTACCTATTGCAACGGCAAACAATAAACACAGAACATGTCTCCTCTCACTCTACGCAAAATACGTATTTATTCACAGAAAAGGACATTCCCGGCCATGAGAATCGGATGATCACTTTTGGCGAGGCGCGGTCAGCCCTGTACGAGTCGATGAAGCGAGAAGCAAAGAAGAAGGAGCGGAAGAAGAAGTGGGAGCCCTATGTGCGGAAGACAGTGCCTAGTATGTGCTCTTTGGCTGGTTTACATGAGATGAATGAGGGACAATGCTTACGCCTTGACAGAACAAACTGCCCTTGTAGGCAGCGTTTCCGAGGAGTTCAACTGTCTCCCTGTGGAGAATGAAGAGTTCCGGCTACTCTCAGAACAGAAAGTCTTGCAATCTCTCAAACCGAAACGCGAAACCGTCTTCATCGACAAGGTCCCTGGAAAGCTCCTTCAGGCCAGAAACATTCTACCGGGAGAAAAGGGCGCCTTCGTGGTAAGTAGCCCAGAGCCCTTATACACTTCTTCGCTTTACGTTGGTCTAATATCGATACAGCAAGCAACAAAGGCGGCGAAACTCAAGCCTCAAGAAAACAAGACGACGCGTATGCCACAAAACGAGCTTCTGGATCTTATTTACCAGTGCTTCCGAGAGTACAGATACTGGCCATTTAAGGCGCTCAAAGCAAGACTCCGACAGCCGGAGGCATATCTTAAGCAAACGTTGGAGATGATTGGTCACCTTGTCAAATCCGGCGATTTTGCTATGACTTGGGAGCTCAAACCAGAAGCGAAAGAAAGCAGCTATGCGAATGCGTTGTCATATGGTGATGCAAAGGAGGAGATGGCGCCTGGTGCCGATTACAACTTCGACGACGCCTCCGACGAGGAAGCAACACCCGGAATGTTCACAGATAACGATGAGATGCAGTTTGAGAATGTTCCCTAAAGACCATTGGATTTATCTAGCATAAGCAAGGTCATGGCGTTCGTCTTGGGTTCTCTTTTGGGTTGATTTCATAAAGGCCATTCTGGAGTTGTCAATTGTGGGCTTAGATGCCAAACCATAGTATACAAACAAATGCATCAATTCACAAACCAAGAGTGAAACTAGTGTAAAGTTCGAGTAACTCAAATATTGAGTTCTTTGTAAGAGCTATCTAATTCAAGCTACCCTAGTACTCACGTGACCGCACCCGCCACAGGTCAAATCACCTTTCCACTTGCATCAGCATTAACAATCACTACTCTAACTTCATCACGTTCATAACCACACTGTAAAGGACAGAACAAACTTTGTGCATGTGGGCTACTAACTGTGAATGCTAGCCATATTATTTAGTCACCATGACAGAAGACCAGGACCTCATGGCCAAGATCAGCCAGCTTGCTGGTAAGCATACGTGACGCGCACTTAACAATAAGTCTGCCCGCTCATATCAGATAGGCCAGATCAATAGACACAAGACCCAGAATACCCCAACATCAACGCCTTACGGTAGTGATTATCAATCGGGTCATTATGTAGCACGCCATATACCCTCTCGAGGGCGTCCGGGTTGGGCGCCATATCGCGGACGACCGTATGGGCGAGGCCGTGGCGCTGGTCCTCACCGACACCGTACACTCGTTCTCAACAATACAGCGACGCCAGGGACTCCAGGTGGTGCGACACCCTCTACTAACTCTGGGATGGATGTTGATAGCGAGAGTCGATCGACAACACCAACTGGATGGGTTGCTAAGCGCGACCGACACATGCAGTTGATCAACTCTGCTATTTACGACCAAGAAGCGCAGGCGAGAGCGAAGGCTATGGAAGAGAGTCGCAAGGCCAAGGAGAAGAAGAAAGCAGAGATCGAGCAGGCCAAAGTACTCAGATATGCGCAGGGTGTTGGTAGGCAGTATCCTAGCTCTGCCGCTCCCCAGGTTGCTCCAGGGCAGTCGGCGGAGTATCAGGTTTACCTCAACGATATACCTTTCCGTGTCTCACGAGGCGGTAGTAAATTGATTAGAGTGTCTGGTGCGGCTTTCTCTGCTGCCACACTGACCAAGCGGGCTGGCTTACCGTTAGTAGATGATCCGAATACTGTCAATAACACACCAAAGAGAGTAACTATTGCCGGCGTTACCTTTGTTCGGAGCAAAAATGGAAATCTTCACCGTCTTGGTGCGGTTACTTCGAAAAGGTGATTGTACTGCTCTCGCATACTAGGATTGGACACTCACAACAAGTACAGAAAGCCCAACGCGACCAAGAAGAATGAGCTTTGCCGCAGATTCACTACGACCGGTAACGATGATTTCCCTTCGACAAGCCTGAAATTTATTTTTCGACGTCGTTTTGCCTACGAAAACTGTGCTGATCGAAACGTGATTTCTTAGGTACCTGCTACAAAGGACCATCCTGTCTATACGTTCATGACCCAGATAAGGTCGCGTTGTGCAAAGACTTCCTCCAAACTGGTGATTGCACCGCAGGTATAAGTTGCGATCTTTCCCATGAGCCTTCGCCCCACAGATCCCCTACTTGTATGCATTTCCTCCGAGGTCGCTGCTCCAACCCGGAGTGCCGATATGCCCATATCCGGTTGACTCCTGGTGCACCCGTTTGCAGAGATTTTGCAAATCTGGGCTACTGCGAAAAAGGCGCTAATTGCGACCAACGACATGTACATGAGTGTCCTGATTATGCCAACACGGGTGTATGCAACAAGAAACGTTGTCGCCTGCCCCATGTTGATCGTGCAGGACAAATTCGGAAGAACACAGGTGCTAACAAGGTCGATGCCACGAATGACGATGATTCTGATGCCTCTAGCGAGGATGAAGAGTACGATGAAATCGATTCTGATGATGTTGACTCAGACGATCTGGACGAAGATGAGCCGGAACTCATCACAAAAAGAGACGGCAGTAACGATCTTTCGCAGCAGCAGGATTTCATCCGCTTCTAATTGTACATGCCCACTAACTGCACATAGCTGCAAGAATAGTGTAACTGAGGATTTGGTTTGGTCTCGACAGTCAAGAGAAAAAAACAAGAGCGAAACAGAAAAAAAACGAAAAGAAAAGGAAAGAAGAAGATGATGATGGACGATACAAAATTCAGTAGTTAGGAGGTTATCTGCTTTGGCCTTTTTTGCTTTATGCCTTACGAACTGAAGTTTTCTGCTCGCAAAAGAAGTTACCGATACCCATACAGCATGTTTCACGACTTGTCGATTTGTCTGGTGGGTGGAGAAGGCTTGACGATGGTTTGGATTGTTTTATGGGGGGCAATCTACACGTTGATAAGGAGGGACTGTAGTATTACTCGGTACTCTTGACTAGAGATCAGAAATAGATACTAGGATGGTAATGGCACTTCCTTATTTTTCTATACAATATTATTCCGGCCTTGCACCCGCGGGCAAAGCCTGTGACCATGAGCGTGACAAGAAATGCAATCGTCTCAAATCACGCAAACACTAACGAAATCCCCCGTGACCATGCCGCAAGGTTCTCAACTGCATGGAGCTTAAGTTGCATCTTAACCCCCATCCTGAGATAAGACTGGCTCTATAAATATCGCCTCCTCCCCACCCCCAACTTGACTTGTCCCGTAAGGCCTTAATTGCTTCTCGCAGTGTACAAGGATATCCCAAATATACCACATAGCTCTTCTAGCCACAAGTATACCCGATCCTACACCCAAGATGGGCTCCAACAATTCAAAACTGGCCCCTGCCAATAAGAAAAGTAACGAAAAGCCTGCATGCGCAACAACGGCGACTATGAAATTGAAGCAGATAGCATCTGGCGGAGGCAACTTGGACACCCATGATGATCATGAGGCCCGTAAATGACCCTCTTCCCTCCCCCACCTTGTCTATCCATGCCCAAAGCAGTTACAAAAATAGTTACAATGGGCGCTGATAAAACTAGCACCTCCGTACAATGCGGAAGACCGGGCGAGAAGTCTCGCGATCCCGCAGTTGAAAGACTGGGAAGAGCTTCTCCTGAGTTCCGACAAGGTACATAGTACATACCTATTACCTTGAACATCGAAATAGGGAAATGCTACTACATTGATTGTTAGATATCTAATCCAAATGCTTTACTTAGAACCGTCTGGCTATTCTTAGTTTCGCCACCAATCCCTATTCGCAGATTCTTACCAATCAGTCTGCTGTGCAGGCTGTGGATAGGCCAGTTTTCAATGTCAAGATCCCGTTGGAAGGCGCCCCGATCACGAATCAGCGCTCGTCAGGCCGCTGCTGGCTGTTTGCGGCGACGAATGTCTTCCGCGTGCCACTTATGAAGAAGTATAACCTGAAGGAGTTTGAGCTCAGCCAGGCGTATCTCTTTTACTGGGATAAGATTGAGAAGGCCAATTGGTTCATGGAGAAGATCATAGAGACGGCGGACGAGGATCTGTCCAGTCGCTTGGTACAGAAGTTGCTCGAGGACCCCGTCACGGACGGCGGCCAATGGGATATGGTGGCGAACCTGGTGGGCAAGTATGGCTTGGTGCCTCACGACATCTACCCAGATAACTTTAGTGCCCAGAACAGTGCGAAGATGAACTGGCTCGTGACGGTGAAGCTACGCGAGCATGCGTTGACACTGCGGCGGTTGGCGCAAAGTCAGCCCGAGAGACTGGCGAGACAGAAGGATGAATTTCTGAAAGAGATCCACTCCCTGGTGACTATCATGTTAGGCCCGCCACCGAGTCCAAAGGAGGCATTCCACTGGGAGTACTATGATGCCGATGGCAAATTTCAAGAAGTATACGACAGCCCGCAGGGATTTGCGAAACAAGCCTCTGCACAACTGGCCCGGGGAGATGTTGATCCCCGCAGGATGTTGAGCTTGGTTAATGACCCGCGGAATGAGTATGACCGATTGCTGACAGTCGACAAACTGGGTAATGTTGTGGGGGGACGTCCGATTACGTACGTCAATGTAGACATGAAGGTGAGTTCCTACGAATGAATACTGTGTTTCAAAGGTGACCAACGCATCCCCAGACAATCAAAGCCGCTGCGATTGCAATGCTTCGTGCAGGGCACCCTGTTTTCTTTGGCTGCGATGTTGGAAAGTTCTACGACGCCAAGCTTGGGGTGATGGATCAGTGGCTGCTGGACCTCAGTTTGGGATTCAATACTACGCTGCGCATGGATAAGGCACAAAGACTGAATACCGGCGAGTCATCCATGACCCATGCAATGGTACTGACAGGCGTTCATGTCGAGAAGGGTCAACCAGTACGATGGCGGGTGCAGAACTCCTGGGGTGAAGCCGTAGGAGACAAGGGTTGGTTTGTCATGGCAGATGAGTGGATGGACGAGTTTACGTATCAGGCTGTGATTGACTCTCGGTTCGTTTCAAAGGAGGTGCGAGATATTCTTAAACAGAAACCAAAGGTCTTGCCACGATGGGACCCGATGGGAGTTCTTGCGTGACGAGTGACCAATCCTAGAAGTATACGATAGTTGCAGATCTACAATATTCTCCGCCATGGAGCATATCTGAAGGACAAAGGAGGTCTAGGAGATTTTACCACATGTTCACCCAAGCAGATACTCTGCTGCTTCGCAGTAAAGAAGCCACATAATGCGGTAAGCTGAAACTCGACAAGCCCGTCAGTGTTGCTCCGAGAAAACATGAAACAGAGTCTAAACCTGAATTTGCGTGTTCTGAGGCATCACCAGTGGTGCCACAAGTTGTCGAACTTGTCAAACTATGTGACTCACACCCTCACTCCGACTCTGCTGCACCCCATAGGCAAGGTACACACTCGCCCAAGGAAACGTCTGAGTGTCCGTCAATCCGTACGTCCCTATGCAAGTCCTAAGGTAGGTAGGATCCCATGGTGATCTGATCACCATCTGTGCCTGATGACCCCCTGTACGATTATTGGCCCAATCAAATCATGGAGGGTCAGGAAAAGCCAACCGGCCAATGGCAATGATTCCTTCAACACCGATATTTCGTCGAACCGATGAGATATTCGTGGTTAGCTTCTGGGGAAGATGGAGCTTGGATCCGATAGGGAGATATTCGAGAATATTGCTAGGATCCACAGTGCTAATTTCGCTTGTGTTAATATCTGACATAATGATATCAGCTTCAAAGAGAGACATGTTCTGGTGGTCGACGTTGACCGCCGTCTTGTACCGATGTACTCCGTACTCCGTAGATCAAAACGTATTTTTAGGGTTTCCTGCTCGTTTAGGCCTCTCTTATCCAAGAGATTACTAAAGCAGGATACATCTGACAGGTAAAATCTGAGTACTCTTCACTCTTGGACATGCTAATATCTGAGTAATGTATCTTATCTCCACGGTTCCATACTCCTGGTCTCGGTGGCTTGCTGTCGAAAAGCATAGTAATTCTGTAGATCAAGCATGGTATGCAGATTCCCATGTTGGGCAACAAACTGCACCATGCACACGAGTCTGAGCATAAAAAAAAAAAGTCAAAAACGCTCTGGACCCACTGCACTGGTGCCATTTGACTGGACCTGTCCGTAAGCTTCCCGAAAATGGTAGAGAAACCGCGAGATGTGGACAATGTCGGTATCAGCGGTATAGTTGATTCTCGAGTCTCGGCACCGTCTCTATTTGATTCGGTCTCGTCGCAATGAGGCGAGAAAAAAATAGGGGGGAGGGGGGAGAGGATCCGAAACCTTCTCCCAGAATGATGAATTCTTGCATGTAGTAAATTGCGACTGCCTACTATTATGGAGCAAGTCACGGGAGTATAGCAGAGTGACTGCGGTCAACTCCACCAACGCCTGCATCGTGCCCTACAATTGGGTCGATCACTCTCCTTCACCGCCAGGATGGCCATTTCTGCATCGTCATCCTCATGGAACATACCACCCCCCCAACCTGGAAGGCTAAGAGTTATTTTCGTTTTTTCCCTTCCAGCTCAAGGTAATAGTTACGGAGATTATGCGATGACAAATAAAGGAGAGAAAAAAAATAGCATCGCATTTGAGTCACATGTAACTGAAAAGTGTTCCTGAATGGTACGGAGAAGTGATACAGTATACAGAACGACCGAACGAGTTGGTACAAACGTAAATTTTGATTTGCCTATGTCGAGTTCTGCTATGTTTCAAAGAGTAGGGCCTGGAATCCGATTGGGTTCGTTCCGTTTCTATATCCCTACCTGGCCTTTGTTGTCGGTTCCTGATTTGCATTTTGGATATCAATCCTGGGCTCCGGCAGTTTGGCACGAAGGATTCGAACAACATGGCCGGCTGCATGCAACGGCCGTAGGGATGGTACAAGACCCTTCAGTGCCTTCCTCTCATTTGATTTGTTCCTAATTTCTTTCTTTGAACGCCTCTATACGCATTTCACGCGATTATCGCGAGTAATCCTACACCCTCAGTAATCTCACCCCAACCGTGCGAGGTCCAAAAGCTCGGACAATTGTTCCCAGAGAAACGTGGCAGCAGCGTGCGACTTCCTCACCATCTTGCCTCATTACCTACATCTAAAACTAGTAGTTCCTATTCTCCATACCAATGCACGCACGTACACATACTACCCCATCGAGTCTAGAGGACTGTCAGACCTGAAACACCCATGATGTAGTGCACTACCGGAAGGGGAAATCGTCCAGAGAAGCAGACGGTGCTTCGAGAAGACCACAAGGGGAATCTGGAGTGAGTCATACCTACTGCGTTGGGGGATGTGGGTCAGCTCTTCCTCTTTGTTTCGTCTCATTGAAGGAAACTTTCTGTATTCCCTGTGGATCGCACTGCTTTAGTCGGCCTTAGCTAGTACCTTAGGCTGCCCATGTTATAGGTAGCGTTGACTTTCCTGTTAGGTCGTGTGCTAGTACTCCGTACAGTAGGTAGCTCCATTACGGGTCAAGAGGAATCAAGAAGGAAAACTGGGTGAGGAGAATCTGTGGATCGCCGCTCTGTTTACTATTTTCTACCTGATAGACGGATACAGAGAACACGTTTTCCCTTTAGGGTGGTCAGGAGTTGATATTCGGTTGGGGGCTATTCTCATTTGCAATTGTTTTTGCGATTTCGGCCGAAAAGTGGTTTTTTCACTATGAGTCATATGCAATTGCAAGAAACGGATGCAATTGATACTGATGGGAAATTGTAGTACTACGTAGTATAATCTGAGAATAATTATGATGTCAATTGACTTTTTGTAATTCAGTGGTGGTTTGCTCTAGTTTTACCCGGAGTAGAGATTGTTTAGTAGTTAGTGTAGTAGAAGTATTAGGTAACGGACGCAAGGGATAGTTAACAATGCCAAAGTGTTATAGGAGAACGTGACTCTACAGCCCCTCCAACCCTAATCCAAGGTCTGTCTATCATGAAGTACTACGTACTACAAAGATTGGTCTCAAACTGCATGAGGGCCGCTCCGTTGCTTCGAACTAGGGTCACAGCTCTAAGCTAGTCATTGACCAAGGAGAGGAGAGGGTGAGCTTCAACCCAAGCTCGCCTTGTTTCTCTGCATGAGAACCATATCGCGCGAGTTTGGCCGTTATTTTACTATAGGTACTTCCGTTGGAGAGTTGGTTCCCCGCAGAATCGCAAGCAGTGATGCCTTACCTGATTCAGAGCTGCTAACTTAGCATCGAGGATGAGTCAATGACGAGTCGGTTGTTAGGCCCATTTTCGTCTCAAGGGCCGGTTCTGCTGATGCTGTTTCATGATGCGATCGCGATGCCCTCCGGTTCGTTTGAATCGGTGAGGGGGAGGGGGTTCGCCTATAGAATCAAGATTTATCGTTATTACTCCCTTGTGTCGTGGTTAATTCTATTCCCATTATCGAGGTTTCTTGCTTCATGTATATTTTCTTAATATCATTATTATGTTTTTTACATAATTCTGGCCGGGTGTTGGTTATCTTCGGTGTCATCCAATCTGATCTGTCTGTGCTTTCCTGCATGCCTCTGCTTCTGCGGTACATACAGTGTACTAGTACTGTCATCACTCAAATCGTGCGGGAAGCACAGGTGTTTTGATGGAACGGGCGTCAGTGACCTGCGGACTAACCGAAAAAGCAAAAGGGCCCTTTCCCTCATCGGGTGGATCACTGGATCTTCCCCCGGCCCGGCCCTACTGTACCACAGATGAAGGCAGCAGGGAGGCAAGGATGTGCCCAGTAAAGCAGTCATATAGGGAAGTGTTGATCTATCTGAGGGGTCTACTCTCAAGATGCAACTCTTTAGAGCAGCCCGACTTGAGCATCACCAGCCCGTGGCTGATGAAGCTGGAAATGATTTCCTCCAGCTCGTCACAAATGGTCACACTATGTATGGGAATGATTGGCCGTGATTGACCGAATGATGGGACACTTGATACAGTATTGTATGACATTCTTGTCCATCTGATCATGGCCAAAGCCCCTCCCTTTCAGGGTTCCGACCCTCGGACGGGTAGACGTATGTATCATGGTACCGTCATGTAACCCGCAAGCCAATCTTATTCTAAAAGTCGATCATGGGATGATGGGACGATGGTGATGCGCACAGACAGACCTTTTTTGGGCATCACCAGGGCCAAGAACCCAAGATATGTAGGCAAACGGGCCCAGGTACCTATAGTACTTCATTGCTTCGTGGAGGAAGGGAGGTTTCGGATGGTCTGGAGACTCGTTCTGTACCTTACCAATCATACTGTTCTGTTTGTTCTGAGGAACTTGTGTGCCTGAGCCAGGCCGGTACGACCGCATCCGGTACCTACAGGCTGAAGGTTGCGAAACTTGAACGGAGGGCAACCCCGTTCCGTCAACTGGATTGGGGGATTGGGGAATGGGGGGAAAGAGAAGTCCATCTCGATGACTGTCCGAGGGGACTGAGAGTGAAGAGGATTCGATAGGCTATCGATAAACGATGGTTCTCGGCCCCACTGACGGTCATTCCATGGTTCGGATACCGACTACTTTGGAAGTACCAGTACTAAGACTACATACTACTCCGTAGTTAGCAGGTCCTGAGAACTACCTGTATCAGGATATCGGCTATTCCGGCTAGAAGTTGCCTCCGGAGATAAGAACGAGGGGCTTCAGTGGAAAAGAAACTTGGGGATATGCCTCTATATACTATCATACACAGAGTACACACATACATATGATATCAGATTATGTTCTGTATATGTATTTGTACATACAATGTACATCCTCCCTACTCTGTATAAAGGGCAATGTAGTAGTGGTGCATTGCTTGCATGGAGGGGTATTGCTTACACATGAGAATACTGGTAGTAGGCACTATGTATTACTGCTATACCCTCTTTGTACTAGTTTGTCAGGCTGCTAGTCTGTGGGAATCCGAGTCTCCCTCTCTCTCTCTCTCCTCTACCCGCCAGGCCCTGACCGAGTACTCATTCGGTACATCTAGGAAGGGAGTGACTTCCACGGACACAGTAATCCACGGGAGACGCAAGTATCGATCAGTCAGGGTCATTATTCATCCAGGACAAAAGGACTGATGAGTAACGTGTGCTTATTCATCCAGGCTCTCGGTGCCAAAGGAAAAAAGATCCCCTGCCAGCTGCACGTCTGCCCAACGAAGCATCCAATGATCGGTGCTCGTTAATCTCGGGAACAGCCAGAAATCGTCGCCTCGCCTTTTTAGCTTTTCCGCTGACCGCTCGAAGGTACTCATGTCTTTAGTAGCAGCGTTTAGTGACTTTCTGTGGGCGTATAGGCCCTTTGTGTTTAGGGCCGATGGGGAATTCCCTTTGGGAGAGATTTCTATGGAGCAATTGAGAAAGATGAATTAGAATTGAGATTTATGGGTTAATATTATTTACTGGTTTTATTTTATTTATTCTGTTTTGTTTTGATTTATTATATTGCCTTTTTTATTTTTATTTTTTTATTTCTGATTTTCTTAGTTTATTTTTATTTTCGATTTTTTATTGTTTCTATCAGATTATACACTGGTACCTGAGGCACTCTCACGATTTCCCTGAATCATCCCGAAAGATATATGGAGTTCCCCCTCCCTCTTCATCTGGTCTTTCCCTCCTCCAGAATCCAACGGATCTGAGCTTCAAACTCTTTTTTAGCAAAGAGGCTTCTCCTGATCACAAGAGACCTCTTCTTTCCCCTTAACGAGAATCGATCTTCTTCTTTCCTCCCCTCGACTTGGCCACTACCACCTTACTTCCTCTTCTACATATTCTTCTCCACTACCGACCTTACTTTCTACTCTTATCCTTTTTTATAAACTTCTTCATTGTCTATACCTTTTACATCCAATCATCCTATCTCTCTCCCTCATCTCTACTTGTCCTCATTTCATCATCAATCAAATCCAACCACCCAAATAAAAAACCCCGCACGTTTTTTCCGTACAATCAGATTACACACCGCCTCTTGACTACTATCACGGCGCTTGTCTCCAAACAACCTTTTTCATTCTTCATTTTTATCGTATACACACATATTCACAGTCATGGCAAGGTATTCTCAACCGTCATTTGACTTCTACCAACAATCACCTTCAAATTTGGATGCAAAGCCTTCATTTCCCGAGGAAGACGAGATGAGTGTATTGGATGATAAGATTCTCGACTCGACGTCCCCCGAACTTTCTTCTTCCGTTGCCGATCACCGGCGCTCTTCATATGATCATGCACCGGATGCTTTCTCGCATCGTGATTCAGTCTGGTCCGATTTCTCTCAGTCCGTTCACAGCAGCCAATCCCGGCATAACTCCCATGTTGGCCATCATCTTTTCGAGTCCGCTCCGAATGGTTTCATGAGACTGGATGGTGCTCCCCACCCAGCCACCGCGTACGGCCAGCAGGCATCTTGGGCTCTTTCCAAGGAGACTGGCTCATGTACACCCGCCGCCATGTACGACCACCATTTCCCATCGGACCTCGACAACGGTTCGTCGGCGCCATTTTCGGGGGGTGCTGTTGGTCCGGTGAGCACTATCAACATCCCATCCATGTCCTACCGCCCCGGGATGGCCTTTGCGCATCCCGGTGCTGTGGCCATGTCCCCGCAGTCCAGTCAAGGATGGATGCCTGCGTCCACCGACATGCCGGATGCTGTTGCTCGCACCACCAAGAGCCCTACTTATCGGAATAGCTCTCCCCTGAGCATCCGACGGGATGGAATTAGGAAGAAGAACGCTCGTTTTGAGATCCCAGCAGAGCGGACGTTAAGCAACATCGACCAGCTAATCGCCCAATCGACGAATGAGGAGGAGATCAAGGAACTGAAGCAACAGAAGCGGTTACTGAGGAACCGTCAAGCTGCGTAAGTAGAACCCTCACTAGCTGTCCAGCTTTATGGTTCACTAACAATTACACTTAGTTTGGATTCGCGCCAACGAAAGAAGCTGCATACTGAGAAGCTGGAGGAAGAGAAGAAGCAGTTCACCCAGATCATCAGCGACCTCGAGGAGGACTTGCAAAACATGAGGCTACGGGAGGCTGAGCTTATGCGCGAGAAGAACGAATTGTTCGGTACGCAGCAGGAGCTCTACCACCATCTCAACAATATGGCAATGGAAAAGGAGGAACTGATTCGGGTGCATACCTTGGAGACAGCCGAGCTTCGCAAGAAGAACAATATCCTCAAGGAAACCGTGGAAAAGCTTGAGAGACATGCCAGACCCTCTGCCTCCAATATGGCAACTGACTTCTCTGACTTCGAGAACCTCACCATGGACAACACTTCCTGGGAGGAACTTACCATGGTCAACAGTCTCTCCCTCGAGGCTGATCCAGTTACTAGCGCTCCTGCCAACGAGAGAAGCACAGAGAAATCTGCGAACAGCGACTACCCCTTCAGCTGGAACGCTTTCTACATGTGTCTTCTGTTTGGTGCCTTCATCGCCTCCAACGGTACTTCTCTTTCTGCTCGTGCTATTCCGCAGCTGTCGGAGGAATACCGTGCGGAGTCTGCCAACGTTCTCAAGGCTGTCTTGTCGTCTTCCCCACCAGAACTTGCACAGCCTTCGAACCAGCCGGCCGTCTCTGCGTCGGCTGGTCCGCTGCCGACAACCATCAGTGGGGCGGAGATGGCTCAGATGACTGCAGGCACTGCCCCCTCGTCCAACCTAGATGAGCTCCACAACTCTTTGGCGATGCCTACTAAGGCGCAGGAACAGGAGCAGGTCTTCTCTCTCAATGCTGACCAGTACAACTCCTTGACCACTTATGATGGCAACGGCGCCGAATACAAGCCGCAACAGGCTTCCCACCTCCAACAAGCGTTGGCTGTGATGCGGGGCAATGTTGCTCAGAAGATGCCCAACAAAGCCACCTCTGATGTCTACTCGAGATCGCTCATGTGGGATCGAGTTCCTGAAAAGGTAATCCAGGACTTCCGACGGATGGTCCAGGAATACGGTGTTTCTCCCGTCAAGGAAGAACAATCCTGCTTCAGTCAATCCTAAGTAGCATAGCCGGACAAGCCTGAAGTCACCGTACACCAACCATCTCCTCACCAAGTCTAGAGAAAGCCACCTTGCCTAGCCTTCCTTCAAAGCAAAACGACCTCATCGTTTCCTCTGCTTCATTTCACCTCTCTCGTCTTCTTTCGTTTGCAAACCAGTTTACTCTAGCGCTTTTTTATTTTTACGGATATACGACGATTAAACCAGACATTAGCCATATGCATGCATAGACAGCTTACCATTTACTTCGACTGGATATATTTAACCGACTAGCTCTTCATTGACCTCGTCTCACAATTTAGCGATGTGTTTATATTTTTTTTTCGCGCCCCTTCGGAATTTTCGGCGTATATATGATTTACCGTTTGCTCGGGTTGGGTTTGGGAATGAATCTCACGGAAAGTCAGAAACATATTACATCTATGTATACTCAATCTTCTTGTGTGTTCTTCTTTCATGATTTTGTTTATGAGTTTCCGGGGAGGCATGATCTTATTTAACGCTGGACGCTGTTTCCAGTCTGAAAACAGCAAAACGGTCCCACAGAACGACCTTTTTGATGAGCATTGCATTGATTATGGTTCAGGAAATATTGTTTTACTCTTGTTATTTTTGTGTTTGGTTGCATTGCGAGTGAGCTGAACTGGGCTAAGGGTGGCTACCTTGTTACGATTATTATTATGATATGACTGATATGTTCTACGATGAAAAATGCCTGCTAATGTTTTATGTTGATGCTGCTTTCTGGACAGTTGGGCCACGACATATACGTGGCCCTTTTTACATGCCTTGGTTCTATTTCATTTCCTTTGTCAAATATTTCTATATGGGTCTCCTCTCAAAGAGGTTGGCCTTTGCTTCTGCACATGGCTTTACTGTTGGGCGTTCGCCCGTGTCATTCATTCCTTTGAATTATATTTCCTTTGTCAATCAAATCTATGTAATATGAAATCATAATTTGCATCACATACTTCTAATCTCTTGGATCAATTAATCACGCTACGAGACTCACAGCCTCTTGGGTTCCCAGGTCTTGAATCTATAGATATCAGTACAACAGCACAAGGGTACTTACAGTACTCTCCCTTACCATCTGCAGAAGGTGTATAAGCACTGCACAATGACATCTTTACATGTAGCCATACATGAACCTCACCTACCTTTAATCCGATCACTATGAGTCTTTTGAATTTCAACCTATACACATTACTTTTTACTTTCTAGAGATCATGTACAGCACGGATATATATAGATGGATAGTTTCACACCGAATTCCTAGCATCTATTCATAGTCTCAAATAGAAAAGCGTGAAGTATCCCTCAGAGCAAGAACTCAAAATGCATACTCAAACTGTCACTTAGTCATAAGCCCACCAGCAACAGGTCATACAACTAATGGACGCGGTAAGGACACAAGGCATCCAAATGCGAGAGAAGCAACAGTAGATTGACAAATATAGCAAAGTACCGTGGTCAATATTACATCAACTAATTAAAAGAGGGAATCAAAAATGACAAACCAAATAAAGTGAAATAAAAAAAAAATGAGAAATACACACTAAGCAAAAGTACCGATGGTATAGATTGGGTTGCCATCAAAATGAGGCTGGCATTGGGTCATCAACATTCGTTCCAAGTCACTTGGTTAAAGGTTAGATCATATTAGCACGTTCCATTTGTGGTACACAGGATGGATCGTGAATAGCAATGAAGTGAAAGGTAGGTGTGCAGCGTGCTCCCCTATAGGCTACCCCAATCATCAGGGCGATGATCTCCCCCCTCGTCCTATGAGTGAAGACGTTTGGCTGGCTGACCTCGGTAGCTGAGCGATAACTCTATCTCCGGTTATGTAGTCGAGAGTCATCTGATGAGCAAAGAGACGGGCCCATAGACGGGGTTTCTTGGTGGAACGAGGCTGTAAGGTACCGGGAGCATTCGGCTCACTTGGGATCGTACTTCTCTTTCCATATCCTGTAATGCGAGTAGCGAGCATGTCAGCCTAAAATTCGGACAATCCGTAGGTAGGTAGGGGTGGGCATTGTGGTTGGTTGTAGGCGTGAGAGCGGTTTGCATGGCGCAGCTGTAAAGATGCAATGAGAGCCTATCGATTGAAGCGCTGCCGCTGATCCCTGGCATGATATCTGCAGGTGATAGCGAAGCGCGAATCCATACAGGCGGCACTTCACCACATTCTTGACAACCTTTGCAGAGGAAATGCCCAAGATCCAAAAATAAAAATAATTAACCAAGGGTCGCCCTAACGTACCAAGAATTCCCAACTAATTTACTTCCTTTCTGTTCGGCCAATCGGTAATATTTAGCAGCCGCGAACTAAACATTAGAGGGATTGGGTTAGTCAACTGGACAAGCAGGAGTTCCCAAGGGGACCAAGCGCAAGAGTGATGCGAATATTGATGCCCAAGCAACGAGACCATGATGACCAGGGTAGGTATAGCAAAAGTCCTGGAGTTTGTACCCTCGCCAGAAGGATGCGCACGACGCAATCAAACGTACCTTATCTTTTTTCCCGCCAAAACCCTCTAGGTAACACCACGCGACCTCATTCATGGCGTCAGTGTCACCTAGATTCGCGGCCGTTTCGAAGTACTGTCGCGCAGCCGCAGGGTCTTTCTTGACTCCCCAGCCGTTGCGGAAGCAGTTACCCAACTCAAAAATAGCAAGGACCAATTCTCCCTTAGCTGCACCGCCCTTTTTGATGCCTGCTTGGAGAGCCTGGGACTCAATCAATGCCGAATTAGATGCCGCAGCCGAGAGATAGGTCACCGCCTGTTCTTCCGATTTGGGGCATCCCCATCCATGCCTGGAGACAAGTCCAGTTAGAACGTGTCCAGTACGCGGAAGAGTGAAAGGTAGCACTAAAGGGTAGGGTGTTGATGGGAGGACTCAAAAGAATCTAAATTGCTGTATAATTCCTACCTTAGTGCGAGGCCATATAGTACTTGACTCAGTGCATTGTTTGCGCCGTTGGGATCTGCCAACCGACGAAACATCTCCGTTGACTTCTCCAGTTCTGCAAAGGTAGCTTGTATTAGTGCATGTCTACGAATGCCTCTGTTATGGCTTATTCCCTACCTCCAGCTTCATGGAGCCGAATCGCTTCTTGGATGTTCACCTATGCATGGCGTTAGTCTCCAAACTAGCAATCAACACAACCGCAACTGCCGTGTATCGCTTACATCTCCTTGAGGGTCACTCAAACCACTTCGACTAGAGCTCCTTGACCGCGAATCTATACTATTTCTTCCAAAGCCCGGCGAAGTAGGTGATAACGGAGATCCAAGGTTCGGATTGCGCTGCACTAAGACCGTTGCTCGTTTCTCCCATTGAGCTTCTCTCTCCTGCTCATCGCCTTTCACATTATTTATCTGCGGAAGGTCTGACGGGATATTGGTTGAGGTAGCGATAGAATTCCGCGAGCTACCCCGATCACGATGGAGCAATTGCGACAGCCTTCTTTCGCGCGGTTGAGACGGCGGAGATCCTAGGGACTCAGATGGCGCTCTCGAACGACTGAATGGATTCAGTGACCGACGGCGCGACGAAGAGCTAGGCGGCGACACCTCGAGATGTGTGTTCTGATGGTGGTAGACATCATCGCCGTCATAGAGGGGTGGGGTGACGACTTCTTGGGAGGTGGTATCGGATCGAATAATTTGAGGCACCGGGCTCAGAAACGAGGAAGGGACACCAGCCGCATATTGGTCACCGGTGTCGTTGATTCTGTCCTTCTTGTGAAGTATCTCTCGCAAAGGCATTTTTGTTGCGCGTGCTGATTTATCACTCAAGAGAACTGGGGAGCGGACCTCGGTAACTAGTACCCGAATTGTTTGCAGCGTTTAATTTGAGGAATTGATAAATGTGGAGAGAAGATGACAGGCAGGAAGAAAACCGGGGAACAGTGGACGTTGAAATATCATGCCAAACACGGGCAAAAAATAACCTCAGCCTTATGGTGGAATGGTAGGGAGGCAGAAGCGCCGGGGTTGGGGCAGTGTCAAGAGATGAACCTTGTGCAAGGACAATTGATGATATTTTTAAGTTAGCCAGTGTCTGTCATGCTTTTCTTTCATCTCTGCTCTGGCCGTCTTGGCCCCCAATTGCCGTATTATAATAAGTTCTTGTCATTCTTTTCGCATCCATTGCGCTTGGTCACGCAGTTAAAGCCTTTACCCCGCGGATTACTCATGTAGATCTCTCTTGATTTATTGTATGTGTTTGGATACCATCAATGAAATGTACCGCAATCTCTCTATATCGCCGACTACTCGATTCAGAAGTCGAGCATAGAAACGGACCAGGGTTCAATGAAAGGTATTCAACAGAAAGGGTCTATCGCCTGAGATAGTTGAATGCGATGACGTCTCAATGTCTCAAAAAACATGCGTGCATTATTGTGTGGGTTTGTCAGCAGACATGCAACGAAAAGAACCTTTTATGCAGGCTAAGTTGTGGTCCACACCTTTTTGTTTCATCCAGCACAAAAGCCATCCACAAACAATCAACCATTCGTGCACTTTTTTAAATATAAGGTTAGTTCCAGTCCAGAGAGTGTATTAGTTACTTCTTGCTTTTGTTATAGTTAGGGCCTTTTTCTCTCACTTCCAACCTATGCCATTGATCATGATAACAACGCACAATAAAAACGGAAGAGACGGAAATCGAACGGCACAACAATAATGATGATGCTGATGATAATAATAATAATAATAATAATAATAAAAACTAACAGTTGACTTGTAAGACAACCAGCGTTGAGTTTGAAAAGAGCATCCTTTGCATGCCTAGTACTGAGCAGTTGAGCATTCAAGCCAGAGGCGCCGTAGTTCCCCATCCCTTGTTAATCCAGCGTTCGAAAGTTTCTTCGGACATATCGAAGGAGATCCGATTTACATTAGGGCGTTAGCTATTTTGCTTAGGAACTCGTATTGGTATGTCTAATGTAGCACAGGAAACAGATCTTTAATTTATACATATTGCTAATAGCGAGGCTATTCATGCAACGTCCATTTACTGGGCCTTGGAGGAGGTCATGATGCCTATGAGTCCAAATTAGTACTGCAGCAAACCGGCAAAAGTTGATTATATTTATATAACTTACGCTCAACATCAGCAACGCTCTGCTGGAGGATCTGCTGGAGGACCTTGGGGTTCTCAAGTTCCTTCTGGATCTTGCCGATGACAGACTCGGCAAGCTCACGCTGCTGGCGCTGCTTGACCTGACCTTCGTAGCGAACCCACGAGTCGAGAGCCTGCTTGGCCTCGTGGGCAAGGGCAGTGCGCTGCTCGAGCTCATAGGCCTGCGCCTCAAGCTGGGCGGTTTCCTTTGATCAATCGTCAGTAATCCCTTGTTTCATGAAATTCCGACGTATTGCAAAATAACGCAAGGCTGGTTTACCTTGGAAACAGCGAAGAGCTGCTTGGTGACCTCAACAACACCAGCAAGCTCCTGGACGTTGTCCATACGCTGCTTGACAGCGTTGGTGTGGTCGGCACGGGCAGCGTTCAGGATATCCTTGTGCTTCTGGACCTGGCCCTCAGCCCATTCACGGTACATGGGACCACCATACTTAGCAGCGGCGGTGAAAACGCTGAGAAGACAGAAAGCAGCAACGGTTTCCTCGTTCATGACATAGAGCTCATTGCTGATAGCGGCAATGGAGAGACCGGCAGCGGCGGAGAGGGTAGCGGTCTTGGAGACCAGGGAGTTGCCGGGGAGGGCGTCGAGAATCGACTGGGCCTTCTTCTTGGGGTCCTCGGTAGGGACGTTGGAGGCCGAACGAGACACGGTCAGGTTGGCGATAGGAGCGACGTTGCGCGTGACGGTCGGCCGGAGCCGGGCAGCACCTAACTGGGGTTAGCGACAAAAATCGAGTGTTCGATGAGGCCGGATAGAGTTGTGTGAGGCATACCAATGGCGCTCTTAGCAAGACGCGAAGCCATTGTAACGATGGGAAGACCTTGACAAGATGTGATGGATGAACGGAACTGAGGAGACTTGAAGTCGGGATGGTTTGGGCGGTGCGGGAAGACACTAGCCTACTCCAGTATAGCGTGGCTGATCGGAAAAACCGTTAACCGAGGAATTTCCAAAAATTCATGGTTTGAAGAAGAGTACATGCACCAAAAGGCGTACGATTTCCGTTTGGACTACGTTATCAAAATTTTCGGACACAATGCCTGCCCCTACGGTCGGAGCTACGAGCTCCAAGAAAAGAAAGAGCCTCAAAGAGAGCGGTGTCCCGTCGTCGAAGCGTCGTGCAGTGACAGAGAACGATAGCGCAGATGTGATGGTCGAAATCTCTCAATTGGAAGAACAGATTTCCGAGTCGCGAAAGTACTACAACAACATCGCCAAGCTGATTTCGATGCTCAATGTGGACGAAAATTCTACCAGTCCAAATTTGGCCGTCGCAGTATCCCTCTGTCGAGTGTTCAGTAGATTGATTGCCGGTGGAGATATGGCGGAGACGAACAGAGCCGCAGAGAATGAGAAGATCATTGCAGCATGGCTGAAGGAACGCTGTCGCGAATATCAGAAGGCGCTTTCTGCCATACTGCGTGAGGGCGATACGTCTGCTAAGGTCCGTCGCTCCCAGATGGCCCCCGAGTCCAACTCAATGCTAACCCCCAAGCAGCTCACAGCCCTCACTCTCTGCATGCGCATGATCAGCGAACGTGCTACCCATATCCCTGGCGAAGATCCTCAAGTCTGGTTATCTGGTTTGTTCAAGAACGTTATCGAAGCCGTTGTCGAAACCGGCGACAGCGAGGCACTGCGGTCTGAGTTCCTTGAGAAGTTCGCAAAGGAATACGAAGACGTGCGGTTCTATACATTTGTGCAGATTGCGTATGCCACACCACCACTTTCCCTTAACAAGTCCCAAACAGTACTGACAACCCCTAAAGCGACATCGCAGGAACGAAACAAAATACAAAAACCCTTGACATCCTCATCTCCATACTATCAGCCTGCGACACGGTCCCGAGCCCCCAGCACGAATTCCAGAACTTCTATGTCAAATCCAGCAAAAAGAACAAGAAGCTCGTCTCAGTCAATTCTCACAAGAAGCGCGCCCAAGACGCTTGGCTCGCCGTCCTCCGAAACAACATTTCCGAATCCCAGAGGAAGACCCTCCTCCGCATCATGGTCCACAACATCGAGCCCTGGTTCAGCCGTCCCGAACTGCTCATGGACTTCCTAACAGACTCCTACAACGTTGGCGGCGCAACCTCCCTGCTCGCCCTCTCTGGTCTCTTCTATCTTATCCAGGAAAAGAACCTGGATTACCCCCAGTTCTACCAAAAACTCTACTCGCTCCTCGATGCCGACTTGCTCCACTCCAAACACCGTTCCCGCTTCTTTCGCTTGATGAACACTTTCCTCGCCTCCACCCATTTGCCGGCTACTCTTATCGCCAGCTTCATCAAGCGTCTCTCACGTCTTGCGCTTAACGCCCCTCCAACTGCCATTGTTGTGACCGTCCCCTTCATCTACAACCTCCTTAAATCCCACCCCACCTGCACCTTCATGCTTCACCGCGTTATCAAGGACGAGGCCAAAGCCGAATTGGAGGCTGAGGGCATAGACGACCCGTTCGATCCAGAGGAGCCCGATCCGGTTCGTACAAACGCCATAGAGAGCAGTCTATGGGAGATCCACTCCCTCCAACAACACTATCATCCCAACGTTGCCGCGATTGCACGTATCCTATCCGAGCAATTCACGAAACAGTTTTATAACCTTGAAGATTTCTTGGATTATACCTACCAGGGTATGGTGCAAGCAGAGCTGGGAACAGAGGAGAAGCCCATGAAGCGGATCCCTGTTATTGAGTATCACATCCCGAAGCGGATATTTACCGATCGAATGTTGGAAGAGGACGGAGGCGTGGATACCGCGCCGGGGAGCCTTGTCAGAGGGTTATGGGATTTTCCATAAGGGTTAAGTGCGATGCACAAGTAGATTTTCATTTTCTTCTTTAGCGTATATAATTGGACTGGTTTGATTAACATACAACAAATATAAGTTTACACATTAGAATCGTCAAAAAGTGTATCAAAATATTATTATCATTCAATCTATTTAATAGACCTCCTTACTCTAAAAGCAGGAGCTAACTGGAATAATGAATCTATCTGAACAAAACATCGCGAAGTCCCAGCATTAAAACGCCATAGCCCCAACTCCAGAACAGCAAAAGAGCCACCCAAATCAGATCTCACCAACGCCTTGCCGACCGACTATCATCGGGCCTCCAATTGTCAGCCCCATAATACCCTTCATCCAGATATTCAACCTCGGCATTATTCCCTGTATAACTCGTCAAAGGCATATAGGACCCCGAAGCCGCCGACGCTGCCCCTTGCTGCCACTGGCGATAAAGATAAGGTGAAACAGCAATCATGCCCACACCCGACTGCTGAACAAAATACTCGGGCCACATACACTCGTGCTCCTCCGCCACCGGATCTCCAGGATGATAATCGCAGAAGACGTCTAAAGCAAAGACACCCCGCTTCATGTCGTCGAAGAGCTCATCGCTCACCTTGACGGGGATGCCCTCGATATGCACGCGCATTTTGTTCAGGATGGCCTGCGCCTTCTTGCGTCGCCGTCTGCGTCGCACGCCGACTTCGTCTTCCATTTGTTCCAGCATAAGCAAAATGTCTTTCTCGGTTGGGGCGTGCGCGACGGCGTATTCCATTCGCTGAGTGAGCTGGTGGAGTTCGTTTGCGACGCTCCGGAACAGGATGTCGACCTTGGTGAGGGCGGCAGTGACTCGTGAGCCGAGGGAGCGTGCGAACGCCCGTGGATAGAGTCGCTCCCAGAAGGCGAGCCAGTAGAAGACGCCTGTTCGTGACTTGCGGAGGCGGGTGAGTTCAAGCGTTGTGATGACACTTTGGCAGAGTGCGAGGGTGTGAAGGGCTCCTCTTCTGGTGTCTTCTATGGAGGCTTGGGATTCGTCTTCATTTGTCGGTGCTGGCTCTTCGGGGCTTGGTGAGTCGGCTCGGCTGACGCTGTCTATCGATCTATAGAATCGATGTGAAGAGTCTGGTGCTGTTGATTGGGCTGGAGGCAGTTCCGTGTCGACGGTTTGCGATGGGGGTCCAGCGTGTATTGGGGCCGCTGGTAGTTGTGTTTGCAACATCCCCGTAATAGCTGACTGGACAAAAGTATTAAGATTACTAGATAGATTGAAGTCTCATATAAAGCGGAATCAAGTGATTTGCGATGTTGGTTGAGGAGAACAGAAACGAAGGACAAGTAAGATGACAATCAAACGAGTGTGGGATTAAAGAACGACTTGGCGAACTATGTCATGAGTAGAGATAAAGACATTGTTATTCTTCAGTGAATGGTGACTGAGTTGGGAAATGTAGATAAAACGACTGGTATTTGAAGGAATACAGTTTTTGTTCGAATCCATAACCACTGTGAACATCCTGAGTATGGACCACAAAGGAAGGAACGCTGGAGTGATTGGGTCGATAACGAGATAAAAGCAAATGTAACTCCATCCAGGGCCAGATGCAGCCGAATAATTCCGGAATGGAATTTTGCAGAGGAATTTGGTCTATTTAAGCGGGTCAGCGAGGGTGATAGTTTTCCATAGTCGGTATGGATGATGTTGGTTGCATTTCCGTTTTCGATATGCAACGGTCAGGCCCTAGAAATAAGGCTGAGGCGGACTGTCACCGTTACCATCCCAAAATAAAATCGAATCGATTATCTGGATTATTTTTGGAAAATATGATTCTTCCCTTGAGAAATTTCTATCCGTTCTTTGGTAGAGGCCAATCAATTGAAGAGTAATTACTCTTCATTTCAACTTCATTTGTCCTCCCAATAGACCTACCTCTCTGGACTTGTGTTTTGCCTTATTTATTCCAAATAAGATCATAAAGATAAAAAGGGGATGGGAAGAAAGTGTTTCTTGCGTACCATTTTCTTGAACCTTCTTTCTTCTCTCCGCTTACAATGTCTGATTTATACCCCCCATATCTGCAAGGGGCATTGTATGTATGTTTGCTTGGAAACACCAACGACTCCTTTGTGCTGGAAACAACCATGTACCCGTTTAGGATAAGTACGATAATTCAATACCCATGTACTAAGCTTGTAAGCTTTAATATTGATAGCGCTGGCCGGCAGATGGTCAGCTCTTGAGCATCAGACCCAAAGAAATCTAAGGAGCCCTTAGTTGGGAAAATCCACTTCTCAGACCCCCGCTTCTTCTCTCATCTTGTCGCTATTGATGAACCTGCACCGATCGAACAGCTTCTCTCTATACATCGCGTCCTCAATAGCAGTTTTAGCATCATGCTGAGGACCTTCGGCAATAGTCACGGGCGTAGTTCCATAGCGGCCACCAAAGATCTGCAATGAAAGCTTTCCCGGAAAATCATTCTGCAAGTCCTCCTTTGCAATATCAAAGAAGGTAGCAGGCCATGTCTCAACGCCACTAACATGACCTTCAGGATTGCCATTATTCACAAACTTGGCTATGGACGTACTCATGGCCCTAGCAAGCGCAAGCTCGGCAGCTGAGTTGTCTGCACTGCCCTCCAGATGTTGAACGTTCAACACATAGGGAATATCACTAAGGTGTGCAACGCGCCACATTGGGACCCCCATCATCTCAAACGCGGGTGTAAATCTTGTGGAGTTATGTTCGTATAACCAAATCTGCGATGGTTTCACGCCCCCATTTTTGAGGTATTGCCATGCAAAGTCAAGCACGGGGCAGGTGAACCAAATGTCTCTGTTCATCTGTGCTGCACGGTAGTACTGTGCAGAGATAGGGCCGTCATATTCTTTTCTGACAAGATGCTCAAAGTCTTCAGGTGGGTATAACTGTAAAAGTTTCTCCTTTGTAGAGTTAGAGAGGCTAAACAGCCACAGGCCAAAGCTGTCTAATACTTCCTGATCTGTGGAAGTCGACGGCGGCGCATACCAGGCGCCATCATTTGTCACCCAGGATGCGATCACCGGGATCCCTTTCACGAATTTCCCAGAGCGCATGAGCTGAGAAGGCCGGTCACGGATGAAGTCGCCGTCGAATGTCGGGAAGAAAAAGCCCTCGCCAAACGGTGGGCGGGCTGTTCGAGAGGTCGTTACAGAGAGATTCGTCAAAACATCAAAGGACACGTCCCGTAAGCATTCCAGAGTCTCTACAGATTGATCCTCGCCCTCTTTAGCACACCCAACTGTATTCGCGATGGCTGCTGTGTTGTTCGCGACCAAGTCTGACTTGGTGTGGAAGTTCAAGCCTGGCCCACCTGACATCATACTATAATTCCGAGTCAGCACAAAACTTTTGTTCTCTCACGATTATATTACATTGCTTGTTGAAACGGAACTCCCTTGTTCCCTTCGAATGAAGTCAAATGAAGACCAATGTCGCTGGCGCCCACGCTTTGTCCCACGACAGTCACTTGTAAACGTTGACGTTAGCCACAGCTGGTAAGCCGTCACTTAGTTGATCATATTACCTCTTCGTGGATCTCCACCAAAGACCTCAATATTATCACGGACCCCTATGATTCACGGTGTGAGATGCCTTATATTTATAAGGCGAGAAATGGAAGATAGCTACATACACTCCAAAGCTGCCCGCTGGTCACGAAGACCAGCATTCGTCTGCTTATTTTCAACCATTGCCTTGCTCGTTGCAAAGCCAAAAACTAGGTATACAGTTAGGTATATCGTCAATCCAAGGAAAGAATACATTACAGCCAAGACGATAGTTGATAGCGACGTAAATCAGTGGCTGGTCATCCGCAATAGATTGCCTTACCAACCCGTCTGGATTGTATAAGACCTCAGAGGCAGAACCTAGAACATGGCCGCCTATAACGCATTAGTATGCATCAGGAACTTAATGCATCTCCAGAAGTATTCTGTTTGCAATGTTGAACACCACTTTACCTCCATGAATCCACACCATTACCGGTAATCTCGCATCATTTCTGGTAGCATTCGGTCGAGCAACCCTCAAGCTCAAGCAATCTTCACTGATGTTTACAACCCGGCTTGTGAAAGGGAGCACATCTCCGATCCCTTGTGGGCACCAGGCTCCAGGGCGAGTGGCATCAACAACCGATCCCCTCGCGTACTGGAACGGGACGGGAGGTGCGAAGCGGCGCTTGCCCCATGGTGCATCCGCATAAAAGATATTTTGATAATGCTCAACACCTAAAGAATAGCTGCCCAGATACTTTATATCTCGAGTTGAATCGGTCACGATCGGTGGGGAAATCAATCGTCTTCCACCTGCAGTAAATTCGAGGCCTTCAGTGTTTCGGGCTAACAACCCATCAAGCCGATTGCGATAGAAAGCAAACAGGCCAGCAAATAAAGCCACCAGAACGACTAGAATAGAGTTCCAAGTTTGGGTCATGGCCGGCGTTAATGTGTTCTCCAGTATTCGGGTGTTTATATCGATTTTGCGGCGCCGTTAGGCAGCAGCATTAGATAGAGGCAAAGCCAACTGTAGGGAGATATTTTAGGGCTGGTTCAATTGTATGCCGCGTATTGGCTTCTATGAACATGACAGAAGGCAACAGGGGAGAGAAAAGCGGTGATCGAGTGTCGTCGGGTGCGATTAGCAATCGCTGTCAGATTTGGGGCCCGCAGGGGTTACCTAGTTAGTCCCCTTCAACCAGGGTTTCTTCTTCTGCAAGCCTTTGTGGTGCTTGGCCAAACACCACCGCCACTACCACCTTCATCCATGAGTTGAACACTTGACGTTAAAATGATCTTGGGATCTGAAAAGCTTTTCCAACCTGGACAAGGTACTCCTTACTATTATCTTCGGAACTTATGTCTATATTAACAGTATGAAAGTTTACTAGATCTGGGATATGGAAAGACTTGAAACGAAATTGACCTAACAGAAATCAAATAGTTATCAGGACTACTGATTAAAATGAAAAAAAAAAAAAAAAAAAAACATTGCGGGAATACACTGCAGGCTATCATGCCTCCAACATACGTGTATCATGATACCCACCGAGTATTGAAAGCATCCCCCATAAGATCAGTCCAAAGAATGACCAGAGCATATGTGACACGACTAAAGAGTACAATATGGGCCCATCACCAGTACTCCATCTCAATCTGTTCCTTCTGGTCAGAGGAAGCAACATTCGGTTTGCTAGCCACTAGGACGTCACCAATGCTACTTCCCACTTCTTTGATACTCTCCAGTTCGTCGAAATCCAAGCTCTTCTTTTCCGTCTTTATCATTGCGCCTATAGGCGATGTGATAATATTGTTGGGAATACTTGGGGTGTTCAGAGAACTGGCCACTGGCATCCGGGCAGCATCAACACAAGGTCCACAGTTCCAAAATCCAACGCCATCCATATTCTGAACTACCACTTTCGTTAGGCGGAGGAGATCACCAATACCTGCGGTCCCTACGGCGGCAGCGACCGGCCTGGGTGGCAATGCTGGATCTGGACAGCCAGATATGCTGTTGTACAGTAAAATAGCGTCGTTTCCAAATAGGTCAAGGCTACGCCAGTCGTCCGTGCGCTCTCCGACTTCGATATTCGCATTAGTCTTCAATATAGCATCAATGGCAGAGCTAACAAGCGAAACTTCATACCACTGCCTTCCCCTGCGTATCATCTCCGACAGTGGGGCGCTACGGGCTCTTATTGCTTGAGTGTCCGCGGGGTTAGACGCTATTAATAGATCCTGCACTTCTGTGACTTGCAATAGAAGATCTTGTGCTTCGGGGTTTTCACTACTGCCTTCACAATTCGTGTCCTTTGCAGCACTCTTGGATCCCACAGAACCAGTAGCAGAGTCTGCTTTTCCCTCGGTCGATGATGAAGGTTTGGGGGCGTCGGTGCCTTCAAGGGAGAAATCGTTCGAATGAATATACCGATAGCGGGTCCAGCGCTTCATAAGAATTTTTTCGACAGTCAGATGTTTGTCTTTGGGGAGTTTAGTGAAAAGACGGACGAGTTGTTTATCGGGCGGAACCCAGAGATGGTCCACCATATATCGGGCTGCGTCTTCAAATTCCTGATATCCATGGATAGGATATGCGATATTGCCATGGACAATCATGCGAGCATCCCAGATACTACTAGGAAAGTGAATATTGACTGCACCTAGCGCTTCGGTTTGCTTCTTGACGGAATACTTTCCGCGTTCATCGACTTCGACGATGATAGGTTGATCTGTTTTAGAGCGACAATGGAACTCATAGAAAACACTATACTCGTTGCCTTCGTGTTCGAAGAATCGGCGCTTCCCATCTTGTGATGTTTTCAGGTCCACAATATGGTCAACATCAGATCCCGATGTTGTGAGCCTATCCATGAACTTGGTAGTTGGTGCAGATACGCCAGTCCGTGGTTGCATTACCTCTGTCCACTCTCTCAACGAAATCAGACCCTCCTTGTAGGTTTTCGGCAGAACTGGAATCAATGCGAGACCAATCTGAGCCTCCAAAGTCAAAGTTCCAGGGAAATATTCGGCAGCTTCCAATGTGGGTGTTAGGATCTCAAAGAGCTGTTTGATACTTTCATTCATACTCAGCTCTCCTTGTTGTTTCTGGGCATGTTGCACATATTCTTGCGCCGTGTGTCGGGCAAACGTGCCTTTGGCCTCCATAATTTCAGAAGGAGCCGGGTTGTCTGAAACCAGTTTCTTTGTCGACTTTTTTGGTACTCCCCAGGCATCCTCCAGAGTGGCTTGCCTCTTCGCTTTTCTCAAAGATTTGCTCGAGATATTGTGACTTGGCTTGGGCGCTTTGTGATTCATGGTATGATGAAACTCCCTAGTAGCCACCTCATCGCTTTGTTGTTTTCCTTCCGCTTTATGTCGTCGCTCGAGCTCTTCAAGTCGCCTTCTGACCAGGATCGCATTGATTCGACTAGGGGGACTAGGGGAATTGGCAACGCGTGTGGGGTCTTCACTAATTGTAGTTGACTCCCTCATCTGCTCTAGGAAAACCTCTTCCAGCATGACGAGCCTTTTGACCTGCTCTGAAAGATTGCCATTTCTGCCCGGTTTTGCTCCCTCGGGTAATGCAGGGCAACCAGGTTCGTCTTGAGATCCACAATCTGCTTCGATCACTAAGCCATTCAAGTCGTCGGCGATGTTGCTTACCCGTGAGGGGGCATTGCTTTTCAGAACCGAGTGCTCCGAATCTAGGTTTGGGATCAGTGGTATCAAAGCTGGCTGATCCGCGCGCATCATCGGAAGAGAATTCGTCCTTATAGCTGCCGGTGCGGTCACATCAACAAGCAAATTGTTGGTGTCGAGCTTTTTGTTCGTCCGAGAGAATACATATTCGCCTTTCCTTTGAGCTTGGGGAGCATTTCGATCACTACTTTCATTGACTGGAAGACGTGGGTCCTTATTGAGCCCATGCTTCGTTTCGTCAAAGATCAGGGGAATGCATGGTTTCGGTGCAGTAGGTGTCGGACCATAAAGGAAGGAATCAGCGGCATCTCGCAGCTCACAAGGGCTAGTGGGTCTAGGGCAGCTGACACGTACGTCTGTATTCACCGATTCCGCACTATATATCATTTTCCATTTTCTGCGGGGCATGGGAACATCTTCATTCTTGAGTACAAGATCAGGGGTGCTGACACGTTCAGATTTCGTCACTGGCACCACGGATGGAACTGGCTGGCTTGATGGAATAGCCGATGGAATAGGCCGTCTTGTTTTGATAGCGGGAGCTCTCTTAGCACCTGGGACCAATGTTGTATTGCTTGAAGACTCAGGTGGTGGTGGTGTAGGCGGGTGCTCAGGCTGTTCGCTGGTTGCCTTCATTCCCTTACCCTCAGCGACCCATTCATTGACTTGTTTGGCCTTTTCGGCAGTCAGAAAAGGATGGGCGGGTGAGACCACCGAGGTTGCAGCCGGGTTAACTGTATCTTCAACAGATTCCAATAGAACAAACTCATCCCCTTTGCCAACCTCGGGGAAAGTATAGTTTTGCCATATTATAGACTTTCCCGGTTCTTTGTTAATTGACTGTGGATTGGCAACGTTCTTAGGCAGCATGTAACTCTGATATTTTCCATCGAATGAAAGAGAGGTAGTGACGAACATCTGGCCGATACCGAGGTTCGAACTCGTTGCGGGATCGGTTAGAACGCGGCGAAGAGCTACTTGGTTCAGACTGCCATAATTCTGGATTCTATATTGGGCCGTCTTGTCTTCTGTGGCTATACCCATGTTACCCATCCTGGGGTTGACAAGGCAAGACTGAGAAACGTATTTGGTTAGTGGCTAAGTGAACTTGATGAGGCGTGTCACGTACCAAAGGTTTCTCAATCTGAGTGAGTTTCGCCAAAGCGTCGTCAACATCTCCAGCGTTATTCCCAGATATCTGGATACCTTTAGCCTCATCAATCAATGTGATCTCCGTGCCCGTCACGGCTGCAAGCTCAATGAGGACTTCACGAAAACCGGTCGTAAAGCACCCAATGCCTCCCTGCGACGATAGCCAGAATTTCGTGACGCGAGTCATTAGATGAGAATAATGTATCAATTCCTCATCCTTATCAATGCCAAGGGCCAGGAGACCCCCTAGGCTATCTTCGGTAGTAGCGACGGGAAGAGAAGCTCCATCGTCTTGAAGCATGATAGGAATGTCCAGTTGACGAGTTCGTGGCATCTTAGATTTGTTGTAGTATATTAGCAATTGGTCATCGCTGAACAGGGAAAAGCAAGAGACATACATCAAGAAGATCTTTATTCTTCTGGTCTTCAATAAAGGCTGAAACAAGAACCGCGATCTTCATTGCAGAGCCGTCCAAATGTCCTTTCACCACAAGAAGCTAGCATAAGTGAATTAGCAAGGTAGTGGAAGGAATTGTTCTTCAGAAGGAGGACTTACGTCGTCATGTCTGAGGTATTCGCAATGGCAATCCAGGTGAGGTAGTGCTTTCCTATGGAAGCCATCAGTATTGGCGAAATTGTCATTGGGGAAGTTGAGGACGAACTTCATTTCCAGACTAATATCTTGCACCTATTGTCATCCCTGGTTAGCAAATAACCTGCATTAAAAGACTAAGGAGAGTCTTCTTTACCCCTATGTCCTCGAACGCCCAAATGGATGCGAATGATATGCGCTGTTTTGACACCATCCTTGTGGCGCTCTAGAAGCAACTCCCGCACATCAAAGGAGGCAGTTGTAATCACGAAGAGAGATGTAGCTTGAAAAGAGACGCGAGATAAACACTACAGGGTGGAACGAAGTAAAGCAGAAGAGAAGATTATTCCTACTAGAAAAAGAGAGCAGTTGGGGTGGCAAGTGAGCAAAAGAAGGGTGTGAAAGGAAAGGGAAGTGAGCTGGGGAGACGGATATAAAATCTCCACATCACCAAGACAACAGCGGAAGGAGATTTTGATTGAGGGGAATCTTAATACTTGTGGTTAAGTAGGTCCAGCAGCCATTAAGACTCTGTTCCCAGGAACAAGACAAACACCACACGGGTAGATGCAACCAATAGTGAATAATTCTCTGGTAATGCGCAAACGCAAATTGAATTGTGATGTGGGGTATAAACAGTTGAGAAACATTCACAGTTGAAAAGAGAGAAATAGAAGAATAAGGCGCTAGGCAATCTAAGGAAGGAGCAGGCAATGACCCCCAGGGAACCTTGACCGGAGAGAGCTGAATACAAAGGACATCACGTGTCTGTCCAATGTGTGAATTCACAATTTCATCACTTTATCTGGATTCATGTATGTGCATGTTGATAATATATCTATCAGAGTCGGCATTGTGGCCATCACTGTACTGTAAATGTGATCTAACAAGCGGGTGATATGGCAGTGGATTTCCCCCAGGGTATCAAACAATCCCAAACTCCAAATAACAGCGATTGAGCCCGGGCAGATTAGCCGGGAAGTAGAACGAGATGCTTTCACAGAAGTAAAGGGGGAGATATAGACAAGTCATAGAAAAGAGCAACCCGGGGCGTACGCCCAAAGTTCGAGAACCCCCTAGTCAATTAAGGAGGTAGACAGGTTGTGATAGGAGAGTTCTCAGGATATAGAAAGAAAACTGTCGAGTGTCAGGCAAATAAGAAGCAGTGTTATTGAAGCAGCTGGGTTTACAAACCTGCCAATCCACCTAGGCTTTCACGACCAGCGCTAGCTGCCTGTTGAAGGAAAGAAAAGGTCACCGTGGGTGCGCCACGAGCCTTATAGGTCCACCTTTAATTGGCACCTTTGACCTCGTTCTTGACCTGAATTGCCCATTTCATTCGATCTTCAGTTTCCTTCAGAGAAGCCAAAGCTGCGTCCAAGTCGGCATTTCCCTGGCGGCCCCTTTCAACGAGTGCGTGGACTTCTTCATCATGGGCTTTTTTATAAGACTCGTACACCTCAAAAAGCTTGTCAAAATTTTCTCGGCCAATCTCAATCTCACGATTTTTCTGGGCCATAACAGCATCCAAGCGCTCAAGGTGCAGTCTCTTTTCTTCTTGCCGTGTTTTTAGAGCATCGATCTCATCGCGAATCGCCTTCACCCTCCTCTGTTGATCTGCTCGCTCACGTTGTCCAGCTTTAGCGAGCACGTCATACTGGGTCCGGGCATGGTTTGCGATCTCCTGCAACTCCGCACATTTCCGATTGAAATCATCACGACTTTCATCCATCAGTTGATGAAATTTGTTCGTCTCCGTCTCTGCCCGCAGTCGTCTATCCTTTTCGCTCTGCACCTCTGCGCGTAACTCCTCGATTTTCTTGTCCTTGCGAGAGATCGAATGTAGGTTCGTCTCGTGTGCCTGCTCCAGGTTCCGGAGACGTTCCGTCATGTTCTGTACCTGTGTCTTAAAAGCATCGTTCATCCGCTGCGTTTCTTCGGCCCGGGAACGATAGACACTGCACTCTCGCGTCAAGCGGGCAATATCCTCCTGTAGATTATGTATGACACGACCGGACTTGCCCGTGGCTGCGTGACCGACTGCCGAAGACCACTCAGTTGCCATTGAGTCACTGTTCGTAAGGGTCGAACCATTTGTTCGGGTGTTCGAGGAATGCGAGTTAATCGACTCTGTAGGGATGTGCAGATAATCTCACAATAAGCAACTGGTGACTCCATGGGTCTGGTTAAGGATGGCGGCTAATCGGAGCCCGATAATGGTAGGGAAAAAAAAAATCACCCACCTGCAGAAGATTCCACGGCCTTCAGACGTTCCGAGGAGTCCAGATCAAAAAGACCGCTATATTGATGCATATTCAGTTGCGTTTCCACATGTGGTAGGCTGACACGAGGGGACCGTCGCGGAGGATCTGACGTAGGTGATACAAGCATGTCCGAGTTAGCATTGTTGGCTACTGCTTTTGGCGTTTTCTTGGCCCGACCGAATCGGGCCATGCTCGGCATTGTGGGTATTTTGTTGGAATGTTGGGAGCTACGGGAATGACCATAAAAGGGGACCCGTGAAAAGAATGAATGAAGTAGGAAGAGTGATCACACAGGAAGAGTAGGAATACCAGAAGTGGAAACGCAGATGTAGTCAAGGCTATAAGCAAGGAGCGAACCTCACTTCTCAGGCACAACAAACCAGCCTTCTGCACCCCACGGCTCAGCCAACGAGTTTCTAACCGTCGGGATCATGAAACTTCGGTTGTGCAGAAGGATGGCAAGCTCCCAGGACTTGGATATTTGACATGCATAAATTGATGCACAACCGACTCCGGATGGGTAGTGGAAAAAAAGATGTACATACCAAGGAGTGGATCAAGACCTTTGATTGCAGGAGATCTGCAGCAGAGCTATTACGAAAATTATTATCGGTGCTTATTCATCGCTGAGACATCATGATGGCGTGGGAAAAAAAAAGACCACAGTAATAGATGTAAGGGAAGACACAGAAATGCACTGAGAACTGGTAGCGAGATGTGGATGATAAACTTACAGCCACTGCCCAACGACTAACTATCCACTGAGGGGAGTGAAAGGTGCTTGATGGGAGAAACCACGAACAAAATCTGAGCAATAAATACAAGGGAAAGACAATAATGATCTACAAGAAACCTGATAGGTATAAGCAGAAAGATTAAACAGCGTTGAGGAGAAGAGAGAGAAAGATAATAAATAACAACAGTGGTGGATGTGACGAGAAGATTTGCCGCCGCAGATAGGTAGATCAATCATATATACCCAACGAACACTGCCTATCGCAACGCAGAACATGCATATGTATCATGTACCTCAGATTTATGTGACATGTCTGGAGATTCAAGGCAACCAACTGTGATAGATTTCTCGCCTGCCATTTCTGTTGGCCCTTGAAAAACAATAACTTCATCCCGAGTGTTGCAACTCCATTAATTTAGGGTTTGTTATATATAGTTAGCCACTAGAACTCAAATCTGTACAGTTTATCCACCAGAACAATGCTTTCAATGTCATGCCATATTGTCATACAATTAAAGAGCAAAGAGAATTTTGCACAAACTGTCTTGAGCCCCTCTTGCTGCACTGTCTATCCCCAAGAAGAGATTTCTTTCTCCACCTTCGTGTAGGCACGGCGGCTAGATATATATAAAAGGCTGTGTAGTCTGCTGCTCCTCCCTAGCCAATGTACCATGTTGCTCAGATGGCTCACTTTAAAACTCATCAGCCAAAATGTTCTGAGCTCTACCTACACTATGCTAGATGCGTTCATCTTTGTAAATATTACATCCAACGCTATTTCTACGGTCAACCCCCATGAATTATCCACTGCATGCCTGTCTAGCACCATACTGTTGTTAGCTTCAGGAGTCCACTTTTGATTCCATAACCCATAAATTATAAATACGAATTAAGGAGATCAACCAAACGCTGGTATGCTAAAAGCAACACAATATTTTTTTTTTTTACGTACGGAGTATATAATACCGTGGCCATAGTTGAGTGAAAACCTGAAGGTAAACCTGGAATGTAGCAACGGCGACAACGGCGACAAAAAGAAAGACACTACATTCCCCGGGCTCTTCCCATAATTTATTAACCAACCATCGCACCATCTGTGTGGCCAAAAATGCGACTAGGAGACTATCCCCTCATTCTAGGATTGGGTAAAGTATAATAAACAAGCCAAAAATGAAGATCTTTGAACAAAAGCCACCGCTTATAAACGTATCCGGGGCGCCCTGTCTCTGCACTCTGGGACATAATCCACTTTCTATTTCATTCATCACTGAGCAGGTATACTCAGACTGCATCCGACATTGAACAGTGTTGAATGCATTGATTGTTTGCTGAAGAGTCAACCTCATTGGTCGTGCTTGCCTAAATCTGTAAGTGAAGGGTTCAGGAAGGCTTGTATGAGAACACTTGGATGTGGACTCCGGACTTGAATGAAGTTCTTTTTGTATCCCATTTCTTGAATCGCCATCAAGCCTTTATGCACCGTGTTGTTGCTGCCTTTTCTCCGTTGCTTGTATACCTCAAGTGCTACATCCCATCCATCATCTAACACTTAACAAGGTATAATCTATTCACCATGCGTGCGTTCGAATCTGCCTTCACAACCTTTGCCTGCTTGGCCCATATTTGCATGACAAATGCATTGTCCTTCACTCAGTGGCCAGGTGTCATCCATACTGGTGAAGACAATACCGTAAAGTGGATCGGTGACCCTAATCTTGTATGTTCTGTCCACACCTGGGATAGGCCATCCGCTATCGTTTATTTTATCCTGACATCGAAATCTTGTAGCCCACGACAATTACCCTTCGTAGGGGTGCGGCAAACAACCTTAGCGATGTGGATGTCCTTACGCGTGATGCCCGTGGAAATGAATACACTTGGAAGGCCAGTGATGACCTGCAGGATGGCTCAGATTATGCTCTACAAATCCAACAAAATGAAGAAATCAACTATACTGGGCATATAACTGTCGAGCATCCCAACGGCCAAGCACCGTCTTCAAAAGGGCCGCCTCCCGATGATGACCCCGACTCAGATTTTAGCACAGCTCCGCATAACGCGACAACGGGTGTCGCAAAAGGTAATAATGCGACTTCTACCGTTCCACATATCAGACATGATGATAAACCAAGTACCGGTAATAACCACACTTCCAATAAAGGTACCGTGTCTTCTAAGACGCAGTCAGACGATGCGTCTCTTCGCAACTGGTCGCCGAACTTGATCCTGGCCGTCGTCGCTATCTTGTACATCAACTATTAGAACGAAACGGTTCACATTCGTCGGTTTGTTCGTTCCTACCTGTCTTTCAACTTGGAGGCAGTTGTAGTGGTCCTGCAGTGGTTGTTATGTGTTCTCCATGTATATATTAATACCCTCGTTTGTACCCCTCAGAGAGATCGTTAAGAGTACTAGCCTCGTCATGATTCTGCTGGAGCTTCTTAGATCCCTGTGGTGGACCTCAGCTAATTCGCTTTTCTTCTATGGTTTTAAAGCCTCTTATTGGAGTGTTACATCTTTTAATTCGTCAAACAACAAAACTTGGCTGGTCCTGGTCCTAGCAGAAAGTTCAAGTGTTATGAAGGTCAAATGGCATTTTTGTTTGGGAATCACGATAACCATTTATATCCTTTCGCCCAACTATATCGTACTTTCAGCCTCTGGAAGACATGTAGCCCACGCTTCATCATGTATTTTCTACTTTTGCCCTTTTGTGCCACGCCGCACATGCATGTATGAAGTGCCTCTTGCCAAATCTTTTGACGAACTCCGAAAAATCTCTATTTATCAGATGCATTTTTCTTGCCCTTCCAGCCTGACTAGGTAAGAAAGAGGCCGTTATATATGAAATGAAACATCAATATAAGAACACAAACGCAGAGATCATTTACTCATCGTCATCAGGAGCATCATCCACACCCCTGAGCCAGGCACTTCGAGCATCAACAGCAGCTTTACGTACATCACGTTTCGGGTCATCCAGGACGAAGCCCAAAGAGCGAACCACCTGAGCCTTTACTGGTAGAAGTGGTGATAGTTTCCCTGCTTTAGCAACGACGGGGGCATCAGAGGCTGGTGTCTGCGCGAGCAAGAAAAGACATCTTAGGGCATCGACACGCAGTCGGGGACTGTTCACTGCGGCTACCTTATCGCTCGCGGGTTTATGTTCTGCTGTTTTGAGGAGGCGGTTTACCAGGCTCTGGATATGACCGCATTCTTCAATAACCCCGACACCGTTATCACGGATGATGACGGCAAGGGTCTCGAGGGTTGCGGCTCGGACGGGTTGGGAGTCCGATGTTTGGAGGTCCAAACTTTGGAGGAGGAGCGGAAGGAGGGTGGGGAGTTCGGGCATTACTAGAGATGGGGGGATGGTTGATAGGATTCCAGACAAAGCTGTTAGGTGTGCCGGCTTGATATGTTCGGGGGTTGGAGAGTCACTGCCTGCAACATTGACTTCGCGGATTTTGCGCGAGATGAGAGGCACCAGAGTCGTGAAAACACGTTGTTTCGATAGTAGGCGGATATTGGCTCCGTTCGTGGCGGAGAGCACGTCGTCGTCTCTAAGGAGAATTGCGAAGCCACGAGCAGCTGTGGTGCTGGTTACTTCGTCAGGGGATGAGAGAAGCGATAGCAATGAGGTTAAAAGATCTGTTGTCTTTGGAGCAAGACGCAAAACTAGGGCTTTTGAAAGCCAGAAAAGCGTTTTGATCGACTCAGGACTAAGTTTCTTCCCCTCGACATTAGAAGGGAGGAGTGTGTTGAACAACTCCGTAGCAAGGCTCAATTCGGACTTGGGCAGGAACTTGTTCACCAAAAGAGCCAGATGGCGCAGGAACGCAAGATGAGTTGCAGGTGCACATTCAGTGGTAGACCGCTTTACCACATCGAAGAGCAAAGAAGACATGTTGGGGCTGGTATAAGGGAGATTAGCGCAATCCGTCGGGAGTCCTGCAAGGAGATACGTTGAAATGATCATCGTGCGCTGTTGATCACCACTGATTGATTGCGAAAATGGAACAGGTAAAAAGCCATCAGCGGAAGAGTACAACGTATAGACACTCTCCGCAACTTCATCCTGCTTATTTCTCGGCAGCGCCCGGACAATGAGGTTACAGAGTCTTCCAAGCGTATCCAAGACTGTGGCATCGTTCAAAATATTGTTGTTAGCCTTTCCTGAAGCTGAAACCGCAACATTGCGGCACAAGCTAACCACTATCTTGTCATAGTACAGCTCCAGGTTTGGATCTTGGTTCATCTTTCTTTGGCTCATAACATAGAGAATTGTTACAAGGATTGCCCTGGGGTAGGCTACAGAGCCTGGTTGTTCTTTCTGCAGCAAGATATTCAACTTGCTAAGCAGGCGACGAATTAATGTCTCAAAAATCTCCTTCTCAACACTTATTTGTGCGAGGCTTTCCAGCGTTGGTAGGTAACTGGAGTTTGCCCCATCATCAAAGTCAGGAAGCGTGGCCACAAAGGCAGGGAAAGTAATATCCATGATCAGCCTCGGTTTATGCTTCGAAATTTCAGTCAAAGCTGCAATTGCTTCCTTTTTAAGTTCATCCCGGCCTACGGATTCCTCCTTTAGAAGGACCTCGTCAAGATACTGCACAAACAAGCCCACTTCATTATCTTGGAAGAAGTTGCGCAGGGTGGAAAGACGTAAGAAACCCTTCAAAGCAGAGACACGAAAAGACACCTCTTCTTTGATCACACCCATTAAAGCCTGGCCAAAGATATCCGAAAACTGATCTTTGAACTCAAGCAGAGGGTTTTCCACATTCGTCTCAGGGGTACGGTCTATCCATTCACCGAAAATCTTGATTGCGGAGTCAAAAAGAACCACCAATGTGTCCAGGAGAGCCCTTTGCTTGGCGATGCCATCGGCTTCCTGATAGATCGTAAGAAGTGGCGCAACAACTGCCTGTACAGCCAACATAAACGATGCAAAGGAAGCCGCCGATATGAAGCCGAGAATCTGCTGTGCAGGCTTCGCTTGTTTCTGTTGTGGCTCCCGTAATTGATCGTTACATTCCCTAGTGATTGGCCGCATGTATTGTGCGAGAGGCAACTGATCAGAGACCTGTGTGACACCTTCTGATAATCGCTTAGCAATGCCTTGTAGAGCCTGTAAGGACAAATCAGACAGAAGCTCCTCCTGCGCATTGAGCACTTCGAACTTCAGAGCATCCCATATCGTAATGGAATATCTAGACACGGTATCCGGGTCATAGGAGTTGATACAGGCAATCAATGCATTAAGTGCATCTTTCTGTTGAGCTTGTTAGCAATGCTCTGAGAATCCGAGGGTCACCTTACCTTAACATTCGGTGACGTCGAGTCAAGTTTATCTAATAAAGACGGAATAGAATGTGGAGCAAGCAGGCTGGTCGATGAGATGCACTCTTGTAAACGATTTTTCAGATCCTGGGCTGTAATGCCGTATGGGTCATTCGGTGGTGGCCTGAATGTAATCGGAAAGTAGTTATACACGGAGTCAAAAAGTAGCTTTAACCGTTAGCTATTGGCACCAACCCTAGCGGATTTACAGTGTGTACCTCAGCGTGGTTGGAGATATCCCATTCCACCATCACGACCTTCAGGATGGAAAACACAAGCATGAGGTTCCTAGGGTCTTTTTCACCTGTCATAAGGTCCACTATCCCAACCAGCGAGTGGTCTCCCATGTCGTGGAGAGCTAGGCTCTGTTAGCGCTTGAAAGATAGAGTGAGATCACAATGGGTTATCACGCACCCGAACGATGGTTTACCATCAATTCGTTCAGTAACTGGTAGACCTGAAACCTCTGGGATTGTGATCGAGACTGAAGATCTTGAAAACGTTTAAAGATGCTAGGTAATATAAGTCAACTTATTTCCCAATTTTGTCCCATCTTCGACGGCTCGTAATTATCCGCTACCAGCTAACGAAGCTGTCCCCAAACAGATCAAATATATAGCATGTACTCACGCTTGTGCGACCTCTTCCGCTAATGCTTTGTTGAAGCGATCCAACTTCTGAAGTGTATCCAGCCCAGCGACGGCTCCCCCATCTTCGATACGGTCACAAAAGAAGGTAGTTAACACTTGAATTTGTTGTCTCGAAAGGAACCTTGGCGGGAGTGATTTAATCACAGAAGTGAGATAAGAAACTGCTTTGCCTCGCAAGATGGGATCCTCATCGTTAATATATTCCCCCAAAGACTGAACGACTTCGATAAGCGTCGTTTTCTTGGTCTCCACATCTTCCAGCAACAGTTAGAACTTCTCCTTGATAATGATCCATCGAGCGGCGTTACCTTGAGCAATTCGTTCAGCAATCTGCTTAGCCTCCTCCTTGTCATGGTCCACGACCAGCAGGAATGTCTGTAACGCCGACATCTTCGCGAGCGTCACAAAATGAGGGGTAAATGGCTCGATCCCCTCCTCCGCGACCGGAACATGACGCTTTTTGTGGCTGCCGATTGCCCTTATCGATAAATATCACGTGAAACAGTTTTCCCCACAATATCACGTGTGGGTCAGTGACTGAATAGGAAGGGACTTACAGTTGCGTCATGGGTCACTGGTTAGTTGGTCGGCATGAATGATTGGATTGATACCTAAATCACTGCTTGACAAAATGCGGCACCAAGCTTTTACACCAATCTTTCTGATCTTTCTGGTTATTTGCACAATATCTATAGCTTCAGGCTTTCCTCTTCGCAAGCGTCTTCCGCGTCCGTTCGTCGATCTACCTCACTTACGGCACGAACAGCGCCTACAGGAGAACGGCGAACTGAAGCAGTGGCTTCAAAATCAGCAACCCATCATGACCCCTAATATTGCTATGCCGCCTGAAAGGGGCGCTGGTGGGGGAAGCAGGCAGCCTCAGGATTCCGGCAGTGATGGCCTTGTGATATCCGATGTTCTTCCTAAAAACCGTGGCATCAATATCTTTGCTTCTCTTACAAGGGATTTTGAGCCCATCGATTCTCGTTTCAATGATGCAACAAAGAATGTAACCGTCCTTGCCCCCCGCAACAGTGCAATCCAGGGACTTCCGCGTAAGCCTTGGGAGAATCCGGAGGACTATGTACAGTTCGGAGAGGCGAAGGCCTATGAGGGACAGGAAGGGCAGGACCGAGCAAAAAGCAACTTGAAGCGCTTTGTAGAGGCCCACATAGTACCCAGAAGCCCTTGGAATGAAGGGGATGAAGTAGAGACTCTTGGGGGGGACAAATTGAGCTGGACAAAAGATGGAGATAAGATCCTTGTACGACCACCGCTTCGTGTGAAGATTTGACCATAGGTGCTAACATATTCTAGATTCAACCGGGAAATGTTGAGGTTGACAGTATTGCAGAACAAGTTTCAAATGGTGAAGTATGGATTTTGAACAGCGTGATCAATTACCGTTGAATCCGCTTTTACAACTCGTATGTGACGATGTGACGAATAGATATACAGAAATGCTCTAACCAATCGTTGTCGTACTTTGAGCCAAGAAACGACGTACAGCTGCCTTTATAATAAAATGTATATCGCGGTAACGTTATCTGGAAAGTCATTCCATAACTACTCACATTAAGCAGTAGAGCCTAAAGCGGATATCCAGAAAGGCCCGTAAGATACATCAGTTACCTCATGCATCAATTCTGTATATCACTGTTCTTTGAATCCACCCGTAATTTATAAAAGATAAGACAAGAGGGCCTGTACTAATATAGCAAATCAAATGAGGCCCTCCTTTGAAGCAATATTGTGCAGTATTCTGTCCTCAATGCCATCCAAAATGCAAAAATGTTCCATGACTGCCAAATTCTCTGCTTCACTTTGATACAATTTATCGGGATCTTGGCCAGGCTGGAAGGGATTGACCCCCATGGCAGGGTTCATAGTAGCCATTTGTTGGGACATGTGATTCGCAGCTACATAAAGGTTAGCACAAAGACGAGTACTAGGAAAACAAAATACAATGACTAACCGTTGTCGCTACCCAGAATGAATCCAAATACAGATTGAAGGCCAAACAAGTTGAGGAAGTACCATGACAGACTAGATACCCACCTAACGTCCAAGTCCCGGGTCATGACACCAGACTGAAGCATAGACTTGAACCGGATGGTGAGGGGGAACGGCAGTTTAACTGTTACACTTAGTTAGTACGGAAGGTGAAGCGTGGAACAGTCGGAAAACATACGGATAACAAATCCAGAGAAGAAGGCATTGATCCAGCTCATAATAAGAGTCTGCGGGATCATCATCATCATGTTTCCCTTCATCATACCCATCATAGCCTCCATGCCCGCAGGGTCCGTCATCGGGTTTGCTGGGGGCTGACCGCGGCTGGCCGGGTCCTTCAGGAACTCGCCACTTTGATACGCTGAGACCAGATAGTTCTTGCGCATTTCAAACGCATCTTTCGAGAGAACTGCTGAAGCATTGTTGCGGAGATTGACACCGCGCAGGAGTGACAGACGCTCGCGGGATTCGGCCAGAGTAGACGCAGGCTTAGGGGGGGTGTTCATCAAAACCGTAGCATAGTGACGAAGGATACCAGTCAGTATCTGCATGCAAGAGTCAGTATCGCATGAAACTTTGCACTGATTCATTTGATCGAACCTACCATAACAATAGTAATCGGGAACAGGATCCAATAACTGTGAATTGCCATTGTGTAAGTCTCTTTCTCATTGAATTGAAATCACAAAAACTCACAATAAAGCTGGATCCCGAAGGATCGTCTGCTCGACCCCTTGTAAGGCCATGATGAGCAATACTGAGAGCAATGTAGTGGGTTGTTTTAGCTATGCTTAAGGTAAAAAGAGAGCTTCCGACTTGCGGTCCCCACGAGATTGGACTGGGGGCGGGAGTTCACTAGCGCTGAATCGCATTAAGTCAGCTCTCCCCGAAAGGGCCAGCTCGCCGCAACTCCTCGTTGGCATCTATGCAACCAAACTGAGCATCCTCAATCTTTTCCACAAAATTCCTGAAATACTCTCTAATTCCTTGAAGAAATTTGACATTGCAATTCTTTACTTAAAAACTTATACTACAAATGGCGTCAACAGAGGTACATAAAGTGCCCGTTTATTCTGTCAATGGTCAGTAGTAGATGTACACAAAAGAATTACACCACTCGACGCCTACCTACAATTTATGGGTTTTCCACTGTGACTTGGGGAAATTAACAGTTACTAATGATGATTTTTAGATCTCAAATCAACAACAGATGATGCCCTAGCACCGCACTTGACTACCCTACCCCAGCCCTACGCCTTTACTCAAGACCACACGAAGACCAACGTCCGCTTCTTGCTAGGCTATTCTGCCGTCGCCATTGCGGCATTCACATTCTATGCCGATCGCAAGCTAGGATGGGAGGCAACACAGTCAACATGGGTCATAGCGGCCGTGGTTTCGTACTTCATTTTGAATACCTTGCTCACATACTGGATCTGGGCCGTGGAGGCCGGTGAGGTATTTCGTGGGAAGCGCAAGTCTGGTGAAACGGTAGGCTATGTCGCAAGGGATGCACCAATCAAATGAGCTAAGCTAATTATCTATTTGGTCAGATTACCATTCGCTCCTCCACGAAGAAACACTCCCCATTATATAAACTCCGTGTGCAGTATACATCGTCTGCGAACAAAGTCCTCGAGGAAAAAGAAATTGAGACATCTTTCACAACCTGGTTTTCGGCAGATGGAACTTTTCACCCTGAGCCTCTTAAGAAGTGGCTAGCAAGTGAGATCCAGGTCCTGCGACTTGCGGCAAAGGAGAAATGAGAGAGTCAGTAAGGGCACCTGGAGAAGGTAATACGCGCGTCAGGTTCTGTATTCTGAAATAAGGCAATTAGACGTTCAACTTGAGAGTATTCCAGCATACCTCTATTGCTGCAGAAGTGACTTGGTTGCTCTTTGCTGTTTCTGTAGTGTGTACGAGGACTTTATGCATGATGTATTCAGCGAACGACCAGCATTCATCATTCTTATTTCTGTGGTTATTTAAATCTGCCTGAGACTAACCATCCCAAGGGTTCCAACAAATAGACAAGCAGAGGATACTGGTTAATTTTATGGCCAGAGTCCATGTTGTCGGCTTGACGGCCGCGCACAACGCAACTTCTAAAAAAATATATGTAGTAATTCGTCTAAAGAAAGGATGGTAAAAACGAAAATAAGCATAGAAGCTTTATAACCCGAACGGATGCTGAGTGATATGATATCATCTCCCAGTCCAATTCATTGAATAAGCATTAGGTGGCAGCTTCTAGAGTACCTGGGCGCTCGGTGGCTTCAGCAGGCTTCACGTCATCCAATCTCCGATTCTGGATAAGTCTCTGTGGCAAATAGTCAGCATGCTACGGAGGAATACATGAAGCACATCACTCACCAGTAGGTTTCTGAGCAGAACAGCGATTGTCACCTTTCCAGTAGAAGGCATAAAAATAGAGGCTTTCTCCTTAACCTCCGGTCCGAAGTTCTAAGGTAGTGGTATTAGTCACTGCATCATAGGCAGGTATGTTTAGGATGACTACTTACCTTCTCACTCGAGAAGTTTAGACACACAGCACCCTCTCTGAGAAGGCTGGTATCAAACTTGTATTTGTCCCCAGGGACACCGGAGATGACGACATCACACAAAGGCACCACGTCCTGCAATGTCTTGCCTTCCAGGTCGTGGACCTCGTGTCTCCGCTTTTTGATACCTTCACCTCTAGTGAACTTTTGGATACCAGTCACATCCACACTGTAGACGCAGGCTCCATCGTTTGCCAGCAACGCCGCCAGCGGCCGACCGACAACCTCCGACCGGTTCACTACACAGATAGTGTGTCCGAAAAGACGGTTGCCATAGGGCAAAATCGTATTGTAGACTTTGAGGTACTCCAGGATCTTGATAATGGCGAGCGGTGTGCAAGGGAGAATACATTTCTGTCGCTTGGTCTCTGGGTCGAGGAATCGGATGTTCTGGTACATGTTGAAGATGTAGCGATGGCTTAGACCCTCTACATCCTTGGATACATCGACAAGCTGCTGCAAATACTGGTCTTGCCGGTTGTTGAAAATGGGGTAGTATACAATGATGCCGTCAACTTCCGAGTCGACATTGGCAGCTAGGATAGCCTCCTCAAGGTCTTCGCGGTCGACCTGACGGAGAGAATAGCGGAAGCCACTGTATATTGCGGGAAAAGAGGACTACATTAGCTACGAAGCGTGACTCCAACATGTTGCCTCCAAGGGCTCCGAAATCGCAGATTGCTTGAAAAACACAACCCCGAAAAGGAGTAAGTACGAAAGAATGCTCACTTTTCTTCGCAGGTCTTTTCGGTCCACTGGGCATACATGAGTGCCGCAGGATCATTGTTGGCCAAGAATCCCACCAAGTGAGGGGGCTTCTCCAGCGTCTTCACTCCTTCCTGAACCTCAGAAAGGAGGCTAGAAACGACATTCTTGGAGAGCACAACCTTACAGGTGGCCGGCGCTGCGTCGCGAGAGGTAGCCATTTGCGCAACAATGGAATTGGCTATTGAACAGATCAAGAATCTTGTCAAAACTATGCGTCAAGTGGACATTTGCGGAGGGGTATGGAGAAATTTTTTGGACGGAAAAGACTGCTCGCTTATCGATAAAGGAGGCCGCTTTCGGCCCACTGAGTCACCATGGATGGAGAGGGAGATGTAACTTAGACAGCCCCTCCTAGTCATGTACGAGCCTAAATCCATTTGGCATTTAGTAGCTGCGGATCAGCAGAAATTCGACGTAGGGCATTATGCATGTTAGTCAAATACTGCTATCGTACCGTGCGCACATGGGTCCACGGTACTCGCTCCTATACGTGGCATATCCCGGTACAGGTTAGCAAGGGGATACCTAAGTGGGGAGAAAACAGTTGGAAACACTCCCTATAGAATAGGTACCCAGGTTCGACTGAAAGGACGAGACAGAACTCAGGTGCCAATTCAATATACAGCCTTGGACCATTTCACAACTGCTCACCAAGAGCTCTACAACCTAGCAATCTTGCCAGAGACAATAGACAAACAAAGGAAATCATATTCAGGCTGCATACATGGATGGGAACATGGATTGAAAGAGAATATCAATGATGCGCCAAAGGGTATGAGACGCATACAGTCGATCTTTCGTATCTCGTTCCCCAGGTGCGCGAAAGGATCTAAACGTACAGGATATTAATTCGTAGCTTTGAGTTTTTTACCCCCACAATTATTCTGTCCCCCGTCGTAGCTACTTATAGGCCAGGCTGTTACACATGAAGGACTCCCATGATACACCCTCACTGTTTCTTGACCAACCCGAGGCTTCGGTGGAAAGAAAAAGAAAACTGTGGTCTCAAATTGTACAAGCTAATCTTGTCTATACACATAGAGTCAGGAAAAAAACAATACACGGTTGGCTAATCACCCAGTTGCCTTTTGCTCACCTATGCGTTGAAAGACTTGTTGAAGCTCTGGATGACCTCCTTGAGGGAAGCCTCGGTCTCCTTGCTGACCTGGCCCTCCTTCTCGATGGCCTCCTGGATCTCAGGGTTGTTGCTCTTGAGGTGAGCAAGGAAGTCAGACTCCCACTGGAGGATCTTGGCGACGGGGATGTTGTCGAGGTGACCGTTGACACCAGCGAAGATCAGAGGAACCATGTCGGAAACTGACATAGGGGAGTACTGCTTCTGCTTGAGCAGCTCAGTGAGACGCTCACCACGGTTGAGGGTCTGCTTGGTGGCGGCATCAAGATCGGAACCGAACTGAGCGAAGGCAGCAACCTCACGGTACTGAGCCAAGAACAGCTTCAGGGAACCAGCGACCTGCTTCATGGCCTTGACCTGGGCAGCAGAGCCGACACGGGAGACGGAAAGACCGACGTTAATGGCGGGACGGATACCCTTGTAGAAAAGTTCGGACTCCAGGAAGATCTGGCCGTCGGTGATGGAAATGACGTTGGTAGGGATATAAGCAGAGACATCACCACCCTGGGTCTCAATGACGGGCAGAGCGGTGAGGGAACCACCACCGTGGGTGTCGTTCATCTTGGCGGCACGCTCAAGGAGACGAGAGTGGAGGTAGAAAACGTCACCAGGGTAGGCCTCACGACCGGGGGGACGACGGAGGAGCAGAGACATCTGACGGTAGGCAACGGCCTGCTTGGAAAGGTCATCGTAGATGATGACGGCGTGGCGGCCGTTGTCACGGAACCACTCACCCATGGCACAACCAGTGAAGGGAGCAAGGTACTGCAGAGGAGCAGCCTCGGAAGCAGTAGCAGCAACGACAATGGAGTACTTCATGGCGTCGTTCTCCTCAAGGGTCTTGACGAGCTGAGCAACGGTGGAACGCTTCTGACCGACGGCAACGTAGATACAGTAGAGCTTCTTGCTCTCGTCGGAAGAGCTGTTCCAACGCTTCTGGTTCAGCATGGCATCAAGGGCGACAGCGGTCTTACCGGTCTGACGGTCACCAATGATCAACTCACGCTGGCCACGGCCGATAGGAACCATGGAGTCGACACACTTCATACCAGTCTGGACGGGCTGGTTGACGGAACGACGGGGCAGGATACCAGGGGCCTTGAGCTGAGCACGGCTCTTGGCCTTGGTGTTGAGGGGGCCCTTGCCGTCAATGGGGTTACCAAGAGCGTCAACGACACGGCCGAGAAGCTCAGGACCGACGGGGACATCAACCTGGTCAGTACTGTAAGTATATTTTCCACCTCTGAAACTTTTTACATTAAAAGACTACTCACAATCTCTCCAGTACGCTTGACGGTCTCACCCTCCTTGACGAGACGGTCGGAACCGAAAAGCACAACACCGACCTGGCCGGCTTCCAGGTTCATGCACATACCCTTAACGCCAGAGGCGAACCTGATCATCATTAGTCAATTTCCAGTGCAAACCTGAATATCAAATCTACTTACTCGACCAGCTCCTCAGCCTGGACATTGGTCATGCCGTGGACACGAGCGATACCGTCACTGTTGGATAAATCGAATCAGTCATTTGCATTCTAGATATTCGTGCTGTTGATTTTATCGAGGTTTTCGATCATTTTCGATGGTGTTGTTGCTGAATCCAGAATTTTCAATCGAGACTAATTGACCACATACCCGACGGAAAGGACACGTCCAGTCTCGGCAAGACCAGCCTCCTCCTGAACACCACGGATTCTCTGCTCAAGGATAGAAGAGACCTCGGTGGGAGAAGCCTTGGCCTCAGCGGCGTAGGTACGGACCTGCTTAGCAGCACCAGAGACGGGACCGGGAGCAGCCGCGCGGACCTAAAGGGAGAAGCAAAATTTGTTAACATCAGAACACGTCGATCACAACGCGTCAAAACAGGGTAAAATATATTGCGATCCAAGCCCATGTGCTTGACAGTCACTTTGAGATGACTTTCGAGATGGCATAGGCGAAATTGAAGCGATGTCGTCGATGCAGGTAGGGATAGGACTCACCGCAGCGATCCTGCCAGTAGCAGTGGCAGCCGCAACGGTGCGGCTAGACTGCCGCAAAGCGTTTCTGAACATTGTGAATGGGGTTCAGAGGAGTGGGAGAGTGGTTTCTCTGAAAGAGAGATGTAATTGGGGGGAGGTGGAAGAGGAGAGAGGATTGTGGATGGATGGAAGGAGAGCTTTGTCGTCGGGGTTGGGAGGATTCTCAGGACTGCCACTAAACCCAGTTTGCCGAGCCTCAGCAACCTCCGAAGCCGCCCTAGTGCGTTCACGGGACACCCACCCGCCCCAAAAAAACATCGCTACTTTGACGTATCGATCTTACGCCCGTAGAGTCGGAACCATTTGATATAAAAGTATTAGTATTATTTTACTTTAATTCTGAGGATCTATATGATTAGTCTTCCATTGTCATCTCTTTCCTCCCATGTTGTTGGCGTTGGTGAATGATTTTGGCGGTTTTCCGGGTACCCGACACTTTCCTGCGGGCCACCTGGCCATCTCAATTTTCGCTGGTATTTTTCTCGGATCTGCGGATAACTGAGTCCAGCTTACTCATTCCCGCTCATTTTCGTCACAGCAACCACCTGCACGACGACCCTGCCAACAACATATGGATCCGCCATTAACTACTATTCTAGGAAATAGTTGGATCTCTCTGATATCTGGAGGATCCAATTTTCACGGACGTTTCATGTCCTTCTTTAAACCAGTAATTTTCCTTTCCTCTCTTCCCCAAACAATCTGTACACCGCTTCAAAACATTCACCGGCTCGAGCTTCCCGTACCAATGTCTGCACCACCTGAAACCTGAACCAACATAACCGCTAAATTTGGAAGACGTTTTGCTGTGCTATGCCAAAATAACAATATTAGACAGCCTGTCCTATGAGGCAATCTCTAGTCATCTGCAATAATTCCAGTCCCACCGCAGCGACCGGCTGTAACCAATTTCGGTTAATATCAATGCTATCTCGAAGACAGCTATTATTATCCAGCTACTCATTAGAACCTCGAGCTTCGTAGTTCTCTCGAATTCCAGCGTGACTAATTTAATTGCCACCCTTGTTCTTCTTCTCCTTGAAGGCAGCAATCTCCTTCTGAACACTCTGGTCGTATCTCGCCTTCAGTTCTGGGCGATAGCCGAAGAAGAAGAGGATTTCCATCCAAACGAAAAGTGGAGCGAGGAGGAGTGCCTGGACCAAGTTGTCCAGTAAAGCTGGTGCCCTACGTTCGAATGCACCGTGACCGACGAACTGGAGCAACCAGGACACAACATGAATCCCACCAAACCAGTAGTTCATATCAGTGCCATGAGTGGTCAGCAGATGGTTTGCGAACGCCGCGCCACCAATAATAATCGGTGCGATCAGGGCCCCAGCAACTGGTTCCAGTAGAATATAGAATGTTGAATATATTAACGCTCCAATAGTACCGAGGTTGGGGGGCAAGTGCTCGAAACGAAGGACATCAGGAAGGTTGAAGAGGGCTGGAGAATTTGACGCCTGAACCAACACATATGGTAAGCATTATGATTTGCCGGAAGTAAGGGGAAGGAGGCATACCAGGGCAATACCAGTAAACAGAAGTATCGGCACACATGTAATATGAATTGCGACGTTTACCTGGGAAACGATGAGCGATCAGGGTCGCATATGGGGTAGAAACAAAGGGCAAAGTACTGGGTTGTTATGGTAGGCACCATACTGAGAACGTAAGCTGTGGTCCAGTCATCAAGCATATAATAATGCATCATGTGCAGATAAGAGCACTCACGAAAAGGAGCTGCTTCTCCAGGTTCAGAGCCATATTGGTAAATCAGACCCGATGGGTTGTCGTCTCCAAGAAAGGAAATTGTCGATGCTTGAAGGTAACCATGCAGGAGACCCTTTTTCTGCCAGTTAGACTGGATAAGGATTATGCCTGATCAGGCCAGCCAAGAGGTGGAGAATCAGACATTTTCCAATGCGCTACTCGTAGTAAGTCTCCTAAAGTATTCAGGGACAGACGTCATGTGCTGGGGAATCGATGCCGAGGATACGAGGACCGTTACAATGTATTGTCATGCCATTGTCGCTTTATGCAGGAGGGTCTGTGGCAGTTATGTCAGGTGTATGGTATTAGTGTATTATTGATGTTCTGAGGGACCTGGCCAGATCAGGTGACTGCACGCAGCTGATGCTAGAGTCGGCCACAGGCTCAATGTCATGATTGCTTGACTGGAGATTCTCCATAATCAGCGCTCACGCCCACCTTCCTCTAGGTAGATTTTGTTGTCTTTATTCTTTCAGCCTTCTCCATACTCTAGACCCGCACTCTTTCGTCGACTATCTCGGTCGGGGGCAAGGTTTCCATTTCTATTGTTGTCATGAGCTGCTGATATTCTGTCATTGACCTTTGATCGCAAGCTTTGACAACCTTTTAACTGAATCGCTGTCGCGCTCGCTACGGTTTTCCTTCGCTTGCCTTCTTCAGATTCTTTTAACGATTCCTTACCGATCTACTTTGGGGAGCATCTATCCTACCCCACCCGCCAATTATTGAAGTCAAACACATTGGGACAAGCTTATTGACCTGGCACTTATTCTTATTGCGGGCTCTTTCCCTTCTTCGTTTCTCGCGTGGGTTTGAGTTTCTGTGCCATGTTTTTCCTCAAGGAAGAGACCAAGGTCATCACGTTGCACCCGTCCTACTTTGGGCCTAATGTGCGAGAGTACCTCATAAACCGGCTTAATGAGGAGGAGGAAGGACGGTGTACGGGAGATCACTTCGTGATTTGTGTGATGGACATGGTAGATATTGGAGAAGGCCGGGTTCTACCTAGCAGCGGGCAAGCCGAGTACACAATTAAATACCGAGCTATTATCTGGAAGCCGTTCCGTGGAGAGACCGTATGTCGTGGAGAGCGCGAGCGTCCAATTCTTGCTCTCAATTCTAACAGTGCACTCGTAGGTCGATGCCATCGTTACGTCTGTTAAGCCCACCGGAATCTTCACATTAGCGGGCCCATTGTCAGTCTTCATTGCGCGCAAGGTGAGTTTATCAAATAGTGTCTGGAAACATTATGTATGGGGACTAACTGTTTGGCAAGAACATTCCTTCCGACATCAAGTGGGAACCAAATACAGTGCCTCCTCAATACACAGATCACGCGGACCAGGTCATTGAAAAAGGGACAAGTCTTCGGCTGAAAATCCTTGGTGTGAAACCAGATGTCGCGGCAATCAATGCCATTGGAACCATTAAAGAAGATTACTTAGGGTATGTGGCTTTCAACCCTCATTTTTCCATTCGTTTTCTGTTCAGAGGATCACTAATGCGCATTTGCCTATTGTAGACCACTGTAAAGAAAAGGTCGACGAGAAGATACGTTTATCGCATCTAATGATTATACCAATACTTCCGCCAGCAAGCGCTTGAGAAGATTCTGTTGCTTTTGTTACCATCATACAAGAATATTGCGGGAAAGGGGCAAGTGTCCCGAGGGGGGTACAATCATAGCTTTATCAAAAGACACCCAGTCAGTGTCTCCAGCTTGTTATATGTTCGTTCTCAGACGAGAAGACAATCTCACGGCCCGCAACGATGAAGAGCGCTGCTGGTCAGCAGACACAAAAACCAGGCGGTGCAGCCTGTCTGGCGAGCTGAAATAGAGTACGGGGGCAACACGGACCTCCGTAGATATGCTGTCATGGGTGGTGTGTGCCAGTCTCGGACAAAACATGCGAGGCGTCAGTAGCATGTAAGTATATGGAAAAGCAAGAAGACAGATTTATGTGAAGTGTACTTTACTGCCCTCGAGGCATCTCTTATCAACAAGTAAACATCATTACATACGGGACTCGAACGGGGTCGGCCAAATGTTTGTATTGGCTATGGTGCGCGCAATGTTGTAGCATAGAGACGAGATGGGCACGGCATCTGTTCGTTCGACGTCGAAATGGATGCATCCGCAGACTGTCGCTTTGGTTGACCGGATTTGTTACGTTCAGATCGATAGTACCTGGGCAGTGTCAACGATTTAATATTCAAATACAATTTAGTAGGGAAAATTTTAGCATGGGCTTATTATTAGTTTTTGGACTTTTACTTCCCATAGACTCTTTTATACCCGAGGAAGAATATATATATACACAAGTGGATTGGACCTCGGAGTATTGCAAACGGTCATTTCACACAATTCCAATTTCAACAATTAGTAGAGATGTCTTCATCGTAAGCTGTATAGAATGTTCCTCTCTTGAATCTGTAGCCCTTAGGTATATTACCAGTGCAGTTGTGTTTCACCCTGTACCACTGAGGTATACGTTTCGGTACTCCGTATGGGATGTATCATTGAGTTACGTACCAGAGAGACACCACCGAGGGTTTCCCCTATACCCGATTGGAAGATGGTGAAACACTGGTGCGTCTTCCGTGCGTTGAATTTCCCCGAGGCAACATAACTTCTTGTTTATTACGATTGTCCTGTCTAAACTGGACCTCGAGGAAGGGCCTCCACTCGCAGGAGGAGTGAATGTCATTGGGGAGGCGGAGAGGCTCGAATGTTGCATTCAGAAGGGAAAAGAACCCGTGAATGAGAGTGAATACGTACTTGTACATCCATTGAGATTGAGAATCTAATAATAACTACTTGGTAAATAATGAAAAAAAAAGCCACCTCAGGCCTCCTGAAATAAAAATCCACTTATTTCCACCACTCTAACTTACATTCCGAAATTAACCAAATTCTCCGGTCATTGCAATTCTTTGTTTCCATTCCTTGTTGTTATTGTTGTGAGCCACAGGCAGCGAGTGTGGTTCGCGATCCCCTTTGCGACAACCGACAACCCCCCCAGGAACTGCCATTCTTTCTCCAATTGGATCCCTCCCTTGGCTCTCCTCATTCTCTGCTGGTTACCTTATCACTGACGCTCGTTTGATCTTCTGAATCCAAATCATAGCGACCATGTCTCTCCAAGACGTGTACCAGAGATTCCTTTCTGACCCCAGGTCTGCTTCCCTGGCTTCCGATGTTGCGCTGATCTATATCACCACGACCACCAGGGTCGATGGCGCCGAGGCCGTGGTCAAGCACCTCGCCAGACAGGATCATGTCCTCAAAAGAAAGTCCCAGCAGGTGATTGATACAGTCGAGGGCTTGAACTCCCTGTCTCTAGACGTGGACACCACGGTGGAATTTGTCTCTGGCGGCGGACCGTATCTCCCCGCGCTGGACGATAACTTTCTGTCCGACCGCATTGCGACCTTCCCCACGGTATGTCCTCCACTGTTACTCTGTCGCAGTCTGATGATCTGGGGACTTGTCATCTAATTGGTTGATTTTGTTATTGCCAGGTTCACATCGTTCGATTCAACTCCCAGAACCAGATTCAGCAGGTCAAAGTCTATTGGGACCAAGCGTCACTTCTGAAACAGGTCGAGGTGATCGGCTCGCGCAGTCGCGGTTGGCCCATTCGCGATGCGAAAGATCAGGCTAAATTGATCAAGACCGCCGCCTCCTCTGCCCCGGCAATTGATACCCCAGCACCCATGCCCGCGAACAAGCCCGAAGAAAATGGTGACGCGCACAACAAAGTCGTCTCTCCTAAGAGACGCATCAAGGACCCCTATGCAGCAGAATCTCTGGAGGAACTTCTCTCTCCCGGCAAGGACCGAGCGGAACCCGTGCGTGCCCCTCGTGCCCCGGCATCCGCTAAGCCCCCCCAGCGCGATCTGACTGAGATCTTTGGAAATCACGATGACGTCGACATTCCTGAGGCATCCCCTTCCAGAGCCACGCCGGTCGCTCCCAAGGTCGGTGCAGGTAAGAACTACCGGGCTTCGCGCATCTTTGACGATGACGAGACAGTCGCTACCCAAGACAAGCCCCAGCAGATCGCTTACAAGGCTCACCCTAAGCGCTTCGATCATTTTGAACTGGGCGCGGACAACAGTGAGCGTGAGATCAAACCCAAGGTCTCGCGTCCAGTGTCGAGCCAGGGCAAGGGACCTCAGTGGAAATTCGAGGACTTCATGACCCCCGAGAAGCCTAAACGCCAGCTCCGGGGCCAAGAGCTTCGTAGCTTCGGTATCAGCGACGAGGAGCCAGAGACACCCCCAGCCAAACCTCGCGTCCAACCCCGCCGCGACGCGGAAACTCACTTCCAGTTGACAGATGATGTCGGCGATCAGAGTTCAGGCCGGATCATCAGTTCGTTCCAGAACAAGGGTCTCAGCCTTTATAAGAACCATCTGTTCGCCGATGAAGACGAGCCCGCCGAGAGCAAGCCGTCGTCCAAGGATAAGCTGCCCCTGTCCGTAGCCCAGAAAGGCCCATCCCGCAATAAGGACCTCGAGACTCACTGGACCATCACAGATGAATCGCCAGCGAAAAGCAAGGCCGACGAGAACAAGAAGCCCATCGCGGCGGACCGACAGCGGGCCGTCAAAAGTTTGGAGCCGTCATGGGAATCCTATGATCAATCTCCTCAGCCGAGCAAGACCGTTCGTCCTCCTCCACAGCGCCGCCAACTGCGAAGTGTCAACGAGAGAAGCTGGAGCCTTGGCGATAATGAGTGAAGCGATTAACAAGAAACTGGTCCTCAGTACCGTGCAACCCTCCGAACCCCGAACCCCTTGACGAAAGTACCGAATGATTCTATTCAGCAGACCATATTCACCACAGTTCGAGCCGTCATCATGGCGAGAGCCTTGCCCAATGCGACTTGGACCCATGGAAGACTTTTCTACCTTTAAATTGTGTATTTTGTTCGAACAATACTTGTATTCATTTCTTGTATCTTTCTTACCAGCCTTGTTACCACCTGTTCTGTTGTGTCCAGTTTAGCTAGCTTGATATGTTACCCAGTATGACAATCTGGATTGTGTACTATTCATAAAGATATATTCGATAATGAGACGTTAACGCTATCAATTTGATTACACGCTTATATATTCAACAAAAGAATAGCATGTCATATGGATGTAAGCCTGAAACAAAGATATCCAGATCATGTGGTTTTAACATCGCTTCCAATTGCAGTTTAACCATTCCAACTTCTCACAGTAGTAGATGGTCATTATTTTGCAGTTTATCCAACCACACTGAACTATATGTAAAACATGGTGTCCTGAACACGAGGATGGATTTGCACATCCGCATTTCCGACCTTTAGGCCTGGCCCACTACCCGTGGCCACGCTTCCCGCCGGAGAAGGTTCAAAAGCACTGCTGAGGTAGCAACGCGCCCGAGTACAGACCAGATCCGCATAGTACGCCGGCGGACAGATGCTGACAGCCTTGGTAGCTCTACCGAAGAGATAGCACATATGATGTGTTAGAGCCTCTAGAATATCCGCGGAGTTCTGGTACGGGGGGCTAGGTCGCTGTCGGCAGAAGATCTCATCCCAGACCGTGAAGTAGTGGGCGGGACGAGCGGTGCCCTTTAGCGCCGTGTGAGCCTGGAGATAGAAGTCCCAGTTGCGGGCCTCGGTGACGCCGCGGTCGACGATGGTGCCGTTGCTGGGGTTGCTCGAGCGGTCTGCGTCTCCTTCCTTAGTTGGGTAGAAGCGGGTGTTGTGGCGTTTGCCGACGATGGCGATGGCGATGTGCGGGAGACCTTGCTTTGTTGCGGTGACTGGGTAGGTCTCTTTGCAGGCATTCTTGAGGAGCGGGAGCTCCTTTTGGACAACCAGCTCGTACTGGCCTTCCGATACGCCATCTCTATACACGATGATATTGTCTGGGTAAGCGTTTTTGTGGGAGCGGGCCCAGCGCTTGAGGTGGGCTTTCAGCATGTCGCTCAGGTCTTGGATCATTTCCTCGCGCGATCTCTGTACTCTGATTTCCGCGGGCCATTGGCTTAGACTTGCGTCGACGGAGGCCACCATGCCTGCGACGCTGGGGGCGTTCGCGGATGATCCGGGGGATGGGTGAGTGACGTCCATTCCGACGAGCATTGTTTTGCCTTGTCCGATGAGGCCTAGTTCTTTTGGATCCAGGACTTGGTTGGCACCGCCTAGCTTCAGGTTGACTTTTAGTCCGACGTTCGCGAAGTACTGGGGGCTTGCCCCTCGGAATTTTTCAGCTAGGACGTTGATGTTCCGCACACCGTACGTCAAGTCGCATGCTCTCTTGATGCAGTTGTAATAATCCGCATCGCTGAATGGTAGGATCGAGAGGATCAAGGTGGGCTTCTTGTTCATGAGTCGCCCCACTGCTGCCGTGATTTCGGACTCAAAATTGTTTTTGTTAACAGTTATGGTTTCACCTTCCATGGCTCGCTGTGCTGCAACGCCCATCTCGTTCAGGTTGGCTGTGAATCCTCTCAGGGCCTTGTCGAGTTCCTCCGGGTGAGTGAAGGGTGGCTTGGGCCCATCGACGTTTACCACGAGCCAAGTCCAGGCTGAGAGGTTGGTCGACGTTGAAAACCTGATCGATCTCATGTTCCAGCTGCCGAACTGCGGCTTCACTGGCACGGTTTTTTGCGACTGTCCTGACGCATCCTTGTAGTAGACATTCGGTACTGGGAGCACCCGACCTGGGACAGTAATGAGGCTACAGTCTGGCTGTATGCCGAAGTTCTCCTACCCAGATCAATTAGTAGATGTACTGGCGGAAAGCTAAGTATTACTCGAAGCACTTACATGAGTAGGACTCTGGGGAGAGAGACCAAGCAGCCGAGTACCTGTCGTGACTATAGATGTAGCATTCTCCGGGGGAACGCGGACGGCAAAGTTCAGCATGTTTCTAGTCTGGTGTGGGGAGAGCTTTGCTTTTGCAGGCTGACCTGGCTCAACCTCACAGACTTCGACAGGCAAGTAGCTTGGATTCTCTGTTGTTCCAACATTGATCACAGGCATGTTAGGATCTGTCATTGTACCGTAATCTGCAGTCTGTTAGCTCTAAGCCCTTAGTACACCAGCAAGGAGCACCTACACTGGCGAAAGAAGTCGGCTACGCTGATGTACCTGCCGGCCTGTGCAGGGCCTGCCTTCGCAGGTTTCTTGCCCTTCTTGCCTTTGGCGCCGCTAGATGCGCTCTGGGAGGGCTGCTGGCCAGGAGCTTCTAGGAAGAATTCTACTTCCTTTGGTCCCGCACCGTGTCTGGCTACCCTCGGAGGGCTCGCCTGCGAAACACCATCATTGGTGGTCGCTAGACCGGCGATTGTTTTTATTCTTGGAACGATCTCTCCTCGTTTGTTCTTTCTCTGAATATGTGTTACTCTGACTTTCAGCTTCACCAAAAACCTCCTGAGGCTGTTGATGTCACGGTATCCGCGTTGATACTCTTTTATCACATGGCTCAGCGGTCCTTCCTGGTAACAGGCGATGTACTTGACTTGAACGTTGAGCAAAAGGCGAGCAGTAGCTGCACGAACACTAATGAAAAATCCCCGAAGGGCTTCAAGCCCAGCACCGAGGTCCCATTTCTCACACAAGTCCCCACGTATGGCATAATGCTTGTTCGCACCAACGGAAGCAATCCAATCCTGTATTTTCGGGTGGTTTCCTAGGATGATATTCATCGCTTGGAGCACTTCCGCCTTAGAGCCAAACTGGTCATCAGGATTGGTCGAGGTTAAGTAAGCTAGAAGCTCAGCAGGGTCGAGTCCTCCTGTGAACTGGCACGTAACTCGGTAGACCTTTGCATTCTCAGGATACTCGTCATCATGCTCGCCGCGATAACGAACATCGTACTGATACGTCTCTTCATTATTGAGGATCTTGAGGTTGGTGATCAAAGTAGACTTGTAATCTGTAACAATATTCTTACCCAACTCGGGGAAATTCTGCTCAATCAGGAGTTTAATGATCTGCTGGGCTTTCTTGCCTGTTGGGGCCTTCCTGGTCGCTGAATCAGGCGAGATCTCAACACGGTAGCGGAACAGTTGCGCGCTAGACGACTTCAAGTCAAGATAATTGGCATACAGCGTCACTGGCCGACCCCGAGTACCATAGCCGGGTCGCTGAGGGTACTCGGTTGGTGTGGTTTTCTTCACTGCTAGAGCTGCGGCCAAGGTATCCTCAGTCTTGGTGACCTGAGGACTTGGGGGAGGGACCTGTCCTCCAGGACTCCTACAAAAAAGATCCACCGTTAGTATGCATTTCTGCTGAAACGAGGATGGATACTTGAACAGGTACTTACGTGTATATCCTGGGGCCTTGGTCACGGCCCCCTCTAAACGAACCACGTCCTCTATCTCCTCCCCCCCGTCCCCGATCTGCTCCACGTCCTCGATCTGCTCCACGTCCTCGGTCTGCTCCACGTCCTCGATCTGCTCCACGTCCTCGATCTCCTCCACGACCACGACCTCTAAAATCTCCCCCAGGCGGACCCTGACGGATGGGTAGCTCTGTGGTGGATCCGCGACCGCCACGGCTGGCACCTCTCTCGCCTTGTCCTCTACTACCACGATCGCCTCCTCTGCCCCGCCCCCGTTGGGTATTCCCTCTTTGGGAGGACATTATCCCTTGATGTCGACCAGGGAGGTGCTCAGAAACGGACGGGTCTCATCTAAGTTTAAAAAGAAAATAAGGTACGTAGCTGTTAGCGGGTCGGTTGGAGCAAGTAAAATTGGGGATTAAAGTTGGTGGATGAGCGCCCTTAGGGGGGTTTTAGTACGTCTAATGCCCCCCACATCGAGCTGCAGCGGCGGTAGTAGCCTTGTCCATAATGTGACAACATGTTGTCCATTCACTGAGAAGGCTGTTACCGCTTTGCATGGATGGTACTACTATGTACTAGTGTCATGGCTGCCCATTCGTGGGTGCAGGTCATGTTCCAATGACAATGAAGTAATCTCCAGAAAGGAGGGGCAATGTTGTTTGGGAATGATTGTCGAGTGGTCATTTTGGAACGTTGTTTGCTCCATTCAGAAGCGCCGAAAGGAGCTGTATATCCATTACATCACTAGAAAGGGTCGGGTATTTTCCAGCAGTATTCCGTACCTCTCGGGGCAAATGACGCTTTGTTTGCTCCTCTATAAAGGTCGTTTGTGTTTGAGCTACTAGTAATTAAGTCCCATTATACTGTGATAAATTGGGGGGTTGTCGCCGCTGTTTAATATTACAGAAAAAAGGTAATTTTGAACTATAATGATTGCCTCTGAGTTATTTCGGTATGAAGGATGGAGTAGTATTGAACCAGTGGCTCCACATAACAGCTGTACCCAACTGAGCGAACCATCCATGGGAAAAGTACGGAGTCGTGAATTTCTAAAGGAACTAGGCTTACACTAACCTTCCATGATGACTCAAAACCCATCCGTCTCAGCCACATTCAAACATTTACTGGCAAATAAGATCGTTCTTTGCCCACCCAAGATCAGCCAACTTCGTAAGTCTAGATTCTGCCGAACATGGTTATTGAATTGACAGGCAATGCTTCGTATCAGACCTGCCCAATTCTTTACCTCGACTTGCACAGGGCAGTACAATGTCCTCCCAGAATCTCAAGAAATGTTCTTAGATAGGCAGAATATACGAATAGGGGTTAAAAGATAAATTCAAGTCAAAGAGTGATACTGGAGATGGGCGGCCTGTCTTTGTTTTCCCCTTTCGGCCACTGTCTGCCCCACTGGTATTACATAAGGATATCATCCAATCACAGTTCATCAATCCGGAACAGTGAGCGGACCCAACGCGTGACAGGGTGATAACGGAGATAACTTCTTGCCTACCATACATATAGTTTCATATGATTCTCTCACTAAGCAAAAGCTTAAGGTATCGACGGGAAGGGAGTTCTTGGGTTAGTACTCCGTATATCTTCCGCTTTTCTCTTAAATTTTCGAACGCCTCTACTAGGCACCCAGGGTACCTTGTACAGACTCCCTCTGGCGACTTTGTACTCACTCCGAAGGATCCTGATAAGTATCTCCTGCCCGCCCGACATCTTTGGTCCAACAAGCTTCGCGGCAGGTTGACTAGTCACCTATAAATTGGCCCCTCTTTCTCGACCGTTCTCACCCATTCCTTCTCGGGTTGCGCTCGCGATTTGTGTGAATCCCAAATTGCGGTACAGAAACCACCATCTATACCAATATTCAAAAACCGAAAAAAACTTGCGCACTTTACGTCAGTGGGCTCTGTGCTGGGTAAAACCGCGACGAGTTCCCTCCAGAATCGCCTCCTGCTTAAATCGCTTTGCGATCTGGGTTGCTAAGGATTCGACCACTGAAACGTGACCGAAGGCATCAGCAAAGCGTCGTGCACCTCGGTTCCCTCCCACAACCGTCCGGTTCAATTGCGCTGGAATTCTAGCTACACCTAATTGACCGTTGGACGTTCGTCCCTCATCTCTGGAGCTACATCATACTCAAGAGGGATACTGGGGGTGAGCTCTCACGTGGAGGATTCTACTAGTGCGATTGCCATTGAGTGGTTCAGTGACACTTTGCGCTGGAGGGAGTCCTCAACAACAGGAATTCCAAGTGTCGTTCGCAGCTCTCTCTATCACATTGTGATTCTTGCGCCAGCACCGCTTAGGGACGCTGCGTAATCGAAACAATCAACTTTGACCTAAGTTTATCATCGTGTCTGGTTTGTTGAGAAAGCGCTCATCAACATGTCTCCAACCCCGCCATCCACGACCTCGTCAAACGCTAGTGCATTTTCGCCCGAAGGACACTACAGGGTTATCCGAAAGAGAAATCGGGTGCCACTTTCCTGTGGCCCCTGCCGGCATAGGAAGTAAGATTCTTTCCTGCTCTTTCATGTCTTTTCGAGTAACTTCTGACAGTTCGTGACCAAGACTCAAGTGTAACCGTGCTCACCCATGTGAGAACTGCGTGAAACGAGGAGATGCTGCCTCGTGTACCTACGCCCAAGCAAGCGCACGGAAGAAGAACGCCCCGCAACGAGTATCGCCCAGCTCCCCAGATGATATGCAGAATAGGATAGACCGACTAGAAAGCTTGGTTTTGTCGTTGATGACAAATGGTTCACAGGCCGCGGGCCCGGCTGCGGCTATGGCAGCACTCTCTGGCAACAGCAGCAGTATTGGTTCTGCCCAACATACAACGGATGTGGATCTGGATGAAGAAACGGGTGGCCCTGAGGAGAGCGATACAGAACAAGTAACAAAATCTTTTGGGGTAATGAAGGTCGACAATAATAAATCATATTATTTCAGTGAAGCGCATTGGGCGTCTGTCCTCAATGATGTAAGTTACTCTCATCTGGTTCAACTTAGGTCCTCCGTGTTAATATCGATGGTAGATTGCTGAAGTGCGTAATTACTTTACTACGCACAAGAAACAATATGAGGAGCATGCGGAGAAGTTGAAAGCAACAAAGCTTCCGACGGACGTGCCAGGGTCCACATTGCTCTTCGGTGCTATGAAAACCACTAGTCGTGCGGAGATCATGTCTTCGCTTCCCTCCAAATATACAACAGATATCTTAGTCGCCCGGTATTTTAACAGCTATGACCCCTCAACCAGTAAGTTCACTACCCATGTGCTCTCCATCTCCATGGGGTGATTCTCACCCAGATCTCTAGATATACTACATGGACCTACATTCCAAGCGCAAGTAAGCAACGCTTCTCCTTGAATATGTGTCCATGTTTGGTGCTAACTGCTCATTAGTATAACAAACACTGGGAAGACCCGTCACAAACTTGTATAGTTTGGATTGGTATGCTGTGTGCGATTATGCGACTTGCCATGCTGTCGTATCATCGAGAGGGAGACGAACCGCCGGAGTTTCGAGGAAAGACTCTAGACATGGCAGGCACCTTCCGGAATCTAGTGGCGCAGTGTCTGACGCTGGCTGATTATACCAAACCTTATCCGTCTTTGATTGAATCCTTGATATTCCATCTGCATGGAGATTGGATTCAAACAAAAGACGCAGATGTGTCCGTTTGGGTGCTTGTGGGCGTGATTGCTAGGTTGGCTATGAGAATGGGTTACCATCGTGACTCAAAGATGTTTCCCAACATCACGCCTTTCCAAGGTGAAATGCGCCGCCGAGTATGGGCAATCGTGCGGCAGTACGATCTAATATTCTCCTTCCAAGTGGGCCTACCAAGCATGATTCGCTCCACAGATAGTGATACAGAATTTCCACGGAATTTGTATGACGATGACTTTGATGAGAACTGCAAGGAGCTTCCTCCTTCACGGCCGCCAAACGAACCCACACCAGTCTCATGCTTGATAGCCAAAGGTCGCTTAACATATGCCTTTGGCCGTGTTATCGAACATACATCTTCTATACAAAGTCCATCTTACGATCAGGTTATGGAGATTGACTCTGAACTTCGCCGAGCGAGGGACTTGGTCCCTGAACATCTTATTGTTCGCTCTGTAGAAGAGCCCCAGCTGGAGCCCCCGAAAATAGTTATGGCACGATGTGCTGTAGGTTATCCTCAGGCAAAAATAGATGCATTTTGAGTTACTGACCGTTTCCAGATAATGAGTGTGTATCACAAAGCTCAGTGTGTTCTCCATCGACGGTATCTCATTCGAGCGCGCGAAAATCCTCGATTTACATACTCCCGGAGAACATGTATAGATTCTGCCATGGAATTGCTTCGGTTTCAATCAATGCTGCACGCTGAAACCATGACGCGGATCCGGAACAAACATGACAGGCTTACTGCACTCGTCTCTACAGATTTTCTACTTGCTGCAACCATCGTTTCTCTCGACCTCTACCACGGACATCAATTCCAATCAGGAGGCCGCGCGTCCGGCGATACCTACGCCTGGGGAAGAGAGCGACGTGAGGAAATGATAGCGGCAATCCAGCGCTCTAAAGAGATCTGGGATGAACTTCGTGACGATGCCCTGGAGGCGTGGAAAGCGTCAGGAGCTCTCGGGGTGATGCTTGCCAGGCTGAACTTAGGCTACTCTGATAGCAATGCCGCTGCGCCTACCTTTGAACCTCAGGATGAGAAGCAAAGTGCCGCCATGACCTTGGGCCTTCTCAGTAGTGGAATGAGTCCCATGAACCCGGCTCCTTCCGCCTTCGGTGATGGCACCATTAAAATGGCCGAGACTCCACTCGCACCACAGGGAGGATTTGGAGCGGCAGCAGACATACTTGGAGCCCCGTCGCCTCTAAGTGCTATGTTTGGACAAATGCCAGATATGCAGCTTCCTCTGGATTGGGTATGATTACCTTGTTAATGCAAAATTTCGAAGCTCGACTGACCAATTTTTTTAGGACACCTGGGATAACTATATTCAGAATGCAGCGCTTGACGTCTCGAACCAGTGGTGGCCAACGATGGATCCGCAGCAACAGCAGCAACAACAACCACAATCCCAGAATGCGTTAGGATCAGCTGGTTTAGCGTCGGTGCAGAATAGTGCTGCAGACAAGATGCGCTCGTTGCCTTCTTTTTCCAACGTCTTTTACCCTGATGCCAATGCTTACGATAGCAATAATTCACCGCCGAACAACTCAAGCACACGTTAAACCAGTCTATGAGATACTATTTAGAGTTCACCTTTCTTCTTTGTGAGGCTAGGGAAAATTATGTTAATGTGGTCATGAAGTCTTGGTCAGTCCTGGAGTGTAAAACATAACGTTAGTGGGTTCTATTGGTTGCCATTCTTGTTCGCAATGTTCTATGTCTCTATGTCAAAATGTTTCTGGAATAGACAATAAGGGGTCATCGGCGCCAATGTATATATTCGTTATGGAATATGTAGCTCCTATCACGCTCTACTCCACTCCAAAGTTAAGGATGTAGGACTTCACGAAAGTGTGAGCTCTATAGGAGAGGGGCTCTTTACCCATTGCACAATTGCAAATTATCTCCCAGGAGTTGCTAGAAACTCTTTAATATACTTCTAATACTCCGTACTGTGCAATCGATACCGCAAATCACGTGATATTATCGCTCTCGATAAGCCGGAGGTTTTTGCGCGGAAAACCTTCGAATGGGCATATGCGCAATTCCCATTTCGGATTTGTTTTCGTGGCTTACTGATTGTCTGTCATTTAAAGATGTGAGTCACAAAATGGAAAGACGAAACACGAGCCATTTGATGAGCTAACCCATATATTTCTTAGGCATTGTTTCTGGCGCGCTGCTTCTCGGGTCCTCTCTTCGACACCACGGTCCACATGGGTTACTTCATCTAGCCCGTCTCGAATCACTATACCTCGTCAGACATCACGATTTCTGCTGCAGAGCAGATGGAATAGTCAACATGTACCAATTCAACCCAATCTTACGAGCAAAGATGCAGCAGCCACGAACGATAACGAGGAACAATTAATACAAGCCGCTGTCGGGTATATGGAAGGTACCTCTACTCCTGCGAACGAGACGGCAAACCATATTTCAAAAGAGAGCGAAGCACAGCCACAACCTACTGAAGAAGAATCTAAACGCACGAAACGCCTCCGGCTTTTGAACAAGGAAGCCGATCCCAAGGAGACAGTGTTTGTCGGCAATCTTTTCTACGATGTGACGGCGGATGATTTGCGGAAACAGATGGAGAAGTACGGAATTGTGGAGAGTGTATATATCACTTTTGATAATAGGGGAATTAGTAAAGGGTAAGTGCGGGTTCCCATCGGCACATGTGAAAGAATTACGGCTTTTTCTAACTCTGTGTGCTAGATTTGGATATGTGCAGTTCGACTCCATAGATTCGGCGAGACGTGCAATTGACGCGATGCACATGCGGGTATACGAGGGTCGCCGAGTCATCGTGGCATTCGCGCAGAACAATATCGATCAGCACCGGAACCTGAGACCTATTTCTAGAACGATATATATCGGCAACCTGCCATTTGAGATGACTGATCGGGATATCAATGAACTCTTCAGGGATATCGTCAATGTGATTGACGTTCGGGTATCTGTGGACCGTCGAACTGGCATGTTCAGAGGCTTTGCTCACGCTGAGTTCATCAACGTCGAGAGTGCACGGGCAGCATTCGAGATTCTCAGCAGGAAGGCACCATATGGTAGGAAATTACGACTTGATTACAGCCAAACGAATAGAAGAGCGGATCGTTTGGAGAACAACCCCGAGTGATTTGACAAGATCCGGTGTTTGAACGTAACGTTTTATCGTGGGGAGGGATCTCACAGATAGTGACAGGCTGTGGTTGATTTATGTATCATATACGCAACGGAGACTGTGCTGTACTTTGTACAATATTTACATAGACTTATACCAAATCTTTTGCATTTCAGCGTGTGACATAGAAGCAGTCCAGAATTCGCAATTATTATTAATCTTCATGAACCTCCGCGGCCACACGTGACTACCGGGGTGCCTCGGCATTCGCCAATCTTTCCGATCGGTTTTAGGACGGCTCCGAAACCCCACGCTTTGGACTATCAGTGTTGAATCGTGGAGATAGCACCTCCTCATTTTCCGTTCAACTTCCCCGGACATCATTCAATGACAGACGATTTATCCGACAGCTAACCACTATTTATGCCATATTGAAAAACGGTTATAACAGGCTATTTTGAAGATGTCATTCCTCGGTGGCGCTGAGTGTTCTACGGCGGGAAACCCGTTGACACAGTTTACAAAGCACGTACAAGATGACAAGTCCCTCCAGCGGGATCGGCTCGTTGGGAGGGGCCCAGGGGGCATGCAAGAAGGCATGCGGTCAAGGGGAATGATGGGTGGACAAGATCAGGTATGAACGAGCCGAACGCCACACCGTCTCATTAGTTCTCCCCCGATTCTAATGGTAGCCCGACAACGCACGCAGATGATGGACGAGTTCGCTCAACAACCTGGCCAAATCCCCGGGGCTGCACCACAACCATTTGCGATGGAACACCTGAGACGCGAGTTGGATCAATTCCAGACCACACCACCTCGGACTGGCTCTCCGGGTTGGGCGGCCGAGTTTGACCCCGGTGAGCATGCTCGCATGGAGGCTGCCTTTGCCGGGCCTCAGGGACCCATGATGAATAATGGCTCGGGATTCACACCGGCGGAGTTTGCCCGGTTCCAGCAACAGAGTAGGGCTGGCGTGCCTCAGACTGCCAATCCAGTTACTTCTGGTCCGTCGCCGATGATGTCGGGTTTCCAGCGTCCTATGGGTATGAGCTATATGGGTATGGGTGGCATGGGCGGCATGGGCATGATGCATTCTGCTTATAACCCTATGGCGATGCAGCAGCAACCGATGGATGCTACCACGCAAGATAAGGGCAAGGGACGAATGGTCGAATTAGACGACGAGAACTGGGAGGCACAGTTTGCCGAGATGGAAACCGCGGATACTCAGAAGCTGGACGATGAGGCTAATGATGCTATCGAGGCGGAACTGAACGATCTTGACAGGTCAGTCTTCACCTCCAGCACTAGTAAAGAAGCAGATTACGATGCTTTTGAAAACGTATGGCAAAAAGTTCAAGCTGAGACGGCAGCAAGCAGGAAACTGGCAGAAGAAGATACCGAATTTAATGTTACTGACAGCTTACACATGGGAGATATGGGAGAGTGGGATAACTTTGACTCTCTTAACACTCGTTTCCGGGACCCTCAGCTGGGTGATTATATGTTTGAAGAAGAGAACATGTTCAAGAATGTTAACAACCCATTTGAAGAAGGTGTGAAGATCATGCGCGAGGGTGGTAACCTCTCTTTGGCTGCATTGGCTTTCGAAGCCGCGGTACAGAAGGATCCTCAACATGTACAAGCCTGGACCATGTTGGGATCTGCTCAGGCTCAGAACGAAAAGGAACTCCCTGCCATCCGTTCTCTGGAACAGGCTCTGAAGGTGGACCCGAACAACCTGGATGCGCTTATGGGGCTCGCCGTTTCTTACACAAATGAAGGCTATGACTCCACGGCCTACCGCACACTGGAACGTTGGCTCTCTGTGAAGTATCCGCAGATCATTAACCCCAAGGATCTTTCGTCCGATGCAGACCTAGGATTCACAGATCGTCAGATCCTTCATGATAGAGTCACCGACTTCTTCATCCAGGCAGCTCAGTTGTCGCCTTCAGGAGAACAAATGGACCCAGATGTGCAGGTCGGCTTAGGTGTTCTTTTCTACTGTGCAGAGGAGTACGACAAGGCCGTTGATTGTTTCTCTGCCGCCTTGGCCTCCACTGAGTCGGGAACTGTGAACCAGCGGGAGCAGCTTCATCTGCTATGGAACCGTCTCGGAGCCACTCTGGCCAACTCGGGTCGCTCTGAGGAGGCCATCGAAGCTTATGAGCAAGCCCTGAACATTAATGCCAACTTTGTCCGCGCGAGATATAATCTGGGCGTGTCATGTATCAATATCGGTTGTTACCCAGAGGCTGCTCAGCATCTGTTGGGCGCACTTTCCATGCACCGTGTTGTCGAGCAGGAAGGCCGTGAGCGCGCCCGTGAGATCATCGGCGGAGACGGTGGTGTCGACGATGAACAGCTTGAACGGATGATTCATATCAGCCAGAACCAGAGCACTAATTTGTATGACACCCTGCGGCGTGTGTTCAGCCAGATGGGACGTCGGGATCTGGCCGACATGGTCGTGGCTGGCATGGATGTGAATGTCTTCCGGAAGGAATTTGAATTTTAAATGATGCCATTTAGTTTTCTTTGAGTTGCGTGTTTCGTTCTAGGCTGCACCTAGAATGCGGTGTCTATACGGTTTATGCCACTGTTGATATGTTGGATACCATGGTTCTCCATATATGGGTCAAAATGCAGCGCTTTCGGGTTTTAGATGAATGTAGACTACGGACCTGTGAATTACTCTATCGAGTTAAGAAATTTTTTTTTGCCGTTTTGAGTTTAAAATCCCCAGTACATCATTCTGTACGGAGTGATCTCCCCACTGTTATTCCTACATAAAAAGCTTGCCCAATCCTTTCGATCTCTTGTTTCTTGATATTGGCGGGCAGCTCTCAGTAAATATTTTGATATCAGATCAGGGATACTCTGGGAGTATCTCGATGAGAGGAATTGGTCTAAGTGTGGCTGGAGCTTGCTGGAATGGAATCTCAGCCTTGTAGGTAGGGATGTAGTTCGCCGTAGAAGATAGCATCGTCCGTGTCGATAACAGCGAACATTGTGCATTGGAAGTCGTGAGTTTCTCACTCAAATCCCTCAAATACTACATAGGCAAAGGTAGTCAAATCAGCCCATCTTTTAATCTGTGGTGTCATGATAAAAGTATGCACCTTGTGCTGAGAACCTAAAAACGTTGTATTTTGTAGGACGACAGCTGGACGATACCATGGCTGAAATAAAACTGTTGAAGAAGAGCAACCAAGGACTATAAGGAACTTCGATGGGTTAGTGCATCGGTAACACTACCGAGATATGGTTATTCAGACAAAGACCAACTTGCCTCCTTTTGGTATAGTGGGAGGTAAGGTTGAATTTTGGGACACCTTAAATAGGGTATAGAATGTAATCTGGGAATCCTCTTTTAATCTTTCTAGCAGGAGCGCATATGCAAAATGAATATCAATCTTTGTGGCCGGAAGTGGCACTTCAATATCACCTTCTACTACGAAAACAATATATTTGCGACGGCTCGCTATCTACAAGTTATGGGGAAAAGGGACCGTTTCTGGGGTCAATTTCACAGATGCTCAGATTCTGTTTGTTTGTAAAACAATGGGGACGACCTTGTGGAGCTTCTCAATATCGAAATCGAGTTAAACTGCGAAAGGGAATAAATGGGTTAAATTAGTACGGAGTAGGGCTGACGAGATCTGCCGATAGTCAGGCAGGCAACCATGAAATGAGCCTCGGAAGCTTGTCTTTGGAGCTCCGGAGCTCCTCCGCATTCTCTCGCTGTTCTCCGCTTCCCGGCTGCCAGGACTGTGAGCAGCCCAACTAACTTTCATCCATGTCGACGAACTTCATTCTATGATATCTTTTCAAATTAGTTGAATCGAGAAACAGCAACTATGGCCGTGGCAACAGGTGCTCAGCTGATCGCTCGGACGCTGCGCGATGTGGGCGTTGATGTTATCTTCGGCATTGTAGGAATTCCCGTGGTGGAGATCGCCGAGGAAGCTATCAACCTGGGCATTCGCTTTGTAGCCTTCCGCAACGAACAGGCATGCAGCTATGCGGCCAGCGTCTATGGGTATATGACGGGACGACCAGGAGTCTGTCTCGTCGTAGGAGGGCCTGGTGTTCTCCATGCATTGGCGGGGGCAAGTTCATCCCCGCAGCTAAAACCACTGTCCGGCTCGAACTGACCGTCGATACTTCGATAGATTGGCAATGCTTCCGCGAATAACTTCCCATTACTTGTTCTTGCCGGATCGGCTGAAACAACAGCTGTGACTAAGGGAGCCTTCCAAGAGATGGATGCGATCTCATTCCTGACACCTCATACTAAGTTCGCGGTGCGAACATCATCTATTGATTTCATCCCTGGTGCTGTGAAGAACGCCTATAGGACTTGTTGGTATGGTCGCCCCGGTCCAACCTTTGTCGACTTACCTGCCGATATCATTCAAGGCAAGGCAACTCCAGGGTTTCGTCTACCCGAGCCAGAAACCTTGCTGGTCCCATCCCCGCCGAAGGCGAGCGGCGATCCAACATTGATCCGCAAGGCTATCCAATTATTGAAGACGGCACGCTCGCCGCTCCTAATCATCGGTAAAGGCGCCGCATATGCGAGGGCAGAGTCCGGAATCGGCCGCTTAGTCGAGCAAACACAGATCCCTTTTTTGCCCACGCCAATGGGCAAGGGTGTCATCCCGGACTCCCATCCGCTGAATGCGTCCAGTGCACGCAGCACTGCCTTGAAACAGGCAGATGTTGTTCTGGTTCTCGGCGCACGTTTGAACTGGATCCTACATTTCGGTGAAGCGCCTAAATGGTCCCCCAAAGCAAAGATCATTCAAGTGGACATCTGTGCAGAGGAGATTGGACACAATGCTGGTACAGCAGAGCTAGGTATCGTCGGAGACATCGAGCTGGTCGTCGACCAACTTGTATCCTCTTTGTCAAATTGGCGGTACGCCCCTTCTCCCGCCGAAGGCCGGTTCCCATCGCTCCTGGCCGAGTCAGCAAAGAAGAACGAAGTCAAAGCCCAGAAAGCGGCGCTTCGACCTACGCCCCAGGATACCCCCCTGACGTATCAACGCGCCTATCATATTATTAAGTCCACACTGAACTCACTGACCCCCTTCGAAGAAGGGAACATCGTATACGTCTCGGAAGGTGCCAACACTATGGACATATCTCGTTCGATGTTCCCTCTCAACCACCCCCGTCAACGTCTTGATGCCGGTACATATGCCACTATGGGCGTTGGCATGGGGTACATCGTCGCTGCCCACGAGGCATACAACGCGTCCCCAGGCAGCAACAAGCCCAAGAAGATCGTAGCTCTGGAAGGCGACAGTGCATTCGGGTTCAGCGCCATGGAAATTGAGACTTTGGCACGTTACAAAATCCCAGCGTTGATATACGTAGTCAACAACTCTGGAATCTACCACGGAGACACCACGACAGAGCATGCCTGGAAGACCCTGCAGGATCAGACCGCAGCCAACGACACGAAATCAGACGATGGGAAGAAAGGACTACGCTCCACCAGTCTGTTGTACGAAACGCGGTACGAAATGCTGGCCACCATGTGCGGTGGAAACGGGTACTTCGTTCGTACCGAGGAAGAACTTGAAGCTGCTACGCGGGAGGGGTTCTCAAATGATACGGTCACGGTGGTGAATCTCATCGTTGAGCCTGGTATCGGGAAGAAGATTGGATTCGCATGGCAGGGAAATAGCGCCCAAGATGGCCAGGCTAAACTGTGATTTGGGGGAACTTTGTTCAGAAAATAGCCCATCTCTGATTTAGTTGGATTTATGGTTGGTTGGGCCGTGTGTACTGTATATATGATGAAGAATACAATGCCAATAAATGAGACCGGAGAATATGTTTCTCTTTTGCTTATACTTATATGCCTCCACTCGTTTCGAACACATATACAGTATCAATACATTATACCGTCATCAACATGCTGGCGTTCTTGTACCAGGTCAATAGCGGGTTCTCGCCACTTCTCGTCTCAGTGTCTTCGATGTATGCCCAGCGGCGGACAAAGTCTTCGTGGCTCATGACCTGGGTTAACTTCCCGGTAGTGGCCCGGTAAAGGTCCTCGACGACGTTAAAGTCTGTAGGAAAGAAGATATCAAAGTACCCCTGATGTACCTGTTGCGCGAAGTCTCATTAGTAAATTCTTCGCAATATACTTATAGTAAGGGTTAAGAAAGACATACAAACGGAGTGGATACCGGCACAGTCCGGCGCTTGTACCGGGTCTGCACGACAGGCGCATTGATACCCGGAACGGCATCCGGAAGACTACTGAAATCACTAGCGACGAGCCGGTGTCCCGGGAAATAAGTGTCCAGGATATCGAAGAATTGCATGAGTCGGGTGGGGATATATTCAGGGAGAGTGAAAGGACGCTGGAAGGAGATGGACTTGCGTAGACCGCGGGTGAGCCTGGGGCCTAAAGGACTAGGATATTCGCGGCGTGCAGCAGCTTGTCGCACACGGAGGAACCGCGAGGCCACGGGGTCTAACTGCGCATTGTAGTATTCGTGGAATTCGCCGTCGGCGTCGATGAGTACTCCGCCCTGCTGCGGGAGTTCCGTCGCGGTGTCATAGCGGATCGCATCGTGAGAGAAGTTGTCGATGACCTCGAGGGCAAGGAAGAAGCATGGGGAGTGCACGTATGTATCCCAATCGAAGATGGACTTGTTGATGATCTCGACGTGGTCTAGATGGCCTGCGGCGTTGATCGAGTCCATCAAATTCTTCATCTGGAGGCCTGCGAGATTGGACGAGATCTCGATGATCTTGAACTTGGTGCGCTGGTAGACTTCATAATCTGTGTCGCGAATAAAATCCAATATGTTGATCATCATGGTTCCGTTTCCGGCGCCCATCTCGTATATTATCAGATCGTGGTAGGGGTACAGTGTCAATTTGTAGTTCGATACCAAGTACCGGGCGATCGTCTCTCCGTAGTAGGGACGGAAAAGTTCTGTGGGTGTATGCCACAGCTGGCGAGCTATATCTGGTTGTGTCTCATCTAAGCGGTCCTCAAATTCTGTATACCGGTCCCCTAACATCCGATGGAACGCTGGCCCGTCCTCGATGTTATTGAAATCGAATGGTTCACCGGGACTGAAGATAGTCGCGTGCTTTGAGAAGTAACCGTAGTGGGGGTTATATAGACTATCTAGAGTGATGTTAGAAAGAATATGAGTAGCAACACTAAGCATTAGCGGTGCACTGGTGAAAACATACCATCAATGAATTCTCTCGTCAACATCTTCACCTGTCGCGGCCGCTCCCGCCGATGACGCAGGTCTTTGGCTGTAACAAGCGGGAATTCCTTCAACTCCTCTTCAATATCTTTGGGGTAGTCGCCCCGTTTATTCCAATTCATGCCATCATCGACATTCTTCCGCCTGGCTGCCGAACGTCGCGTGAGAAATGGACGGCATTGTTGATGTGGTGCGGATAATTGAAAGCATTGCGGCCTGCGGCCTGCGAGGGCAGATGAGGGCCGAAGTGACTGACAGGCAGGATGCCGGAACAGCTGCCGGAACAGCTGACTGAGGACTGGGGAGTCCATGGGCGGATGAATTGACAGCAGTGGAGAGTCGCAAGTTGCGTTGCGAGAGCAAGACGGAGAGAAACGACAACCTGCAACTGCTTAAACGTCGGGTGTGGCCCGAGCGTTTTCTCCGGCGTCCCTCCCGCGCGACCTTCAATCTAATTGCGTAACTTTTCTTCCTTGCGGTCATAGAAGGAAGGTTTACTCTATTTCCAAGTATGAATGACCATTCTCGTGTCTACATAGGCACAGCCTTCGTAGCTGGAGCCCTCTTGACGCTGGGATTCAAGGATCTTCTCTATCCGGAGCTAGAACACCGCCTCCGAGAATATCGAGCTCGACGTCATGATCAGTCTACAAGTGACATACAGGATCTTCCCGCGGATGTTCTAGCAGCTAGGCCCGGGCCTCCTGTGATAGTGGAGGGGATCGAGGGCTGTATAGGAAATACTCCCTTATTCCGAATCAAGTCCTTGTCTGACGCCACGGGATGTGAGATATTGGGCAAGGCTGAAGTATGTTTTTCTTACTACCACTTTATTTTTTATTTGATGTTCCATGTTGCAACATAGAACGCTCGCTGACCTGGAGCTAGTTTCTGAATGGAGCTGGCCAAAGCTCCAAAGACCGAGTCGCACTGAGCATGATCGAACTTGTATGTTCTGTTATCCGGTTGCATGTAAATTGTCCTAATGTTTGTCTAGGCTGAGGAACGAGAAATCTTGACACCCCATTCTGGGGATACAATTTACGAGGGCACTTCCGGTTCAACTGGGATATCGTTGGCCACTCTAGCCCGCGCAAAGGGCTATCTGGCTCATATGTGAGTAACATTGTCTATATACTTCCCACCTCTAACATGCTGTATCTTGAACTAATGATAACATAGCTGTATGCCGTCTGATCAAGCCATTGAGAAATCAAATCTGCTTCTCAAACTCGGCGCAATTGTGGATCGTGTCCCGCCTGCTCCCATTGTGGAGAAGGAAAATTTTGTCAATCGAGCACGAGCCCTCGCCAATGTTCATACAGCTACTTCTACTACAAAGTCAAGTTTGGAACCTTTGATGCCCGATCCTCCAGAGTTTTCCGGACCCAAAGCGGGGAGAGGCTTCTTTGCAGATCAATTTGAGAACGAAGCGAACTGGAGAGCGCACTTCAACGCCACAGGCCCCGAGATCTACGCTCAATGCAATGGAAGACTTGATGCGTTCGTTGCAGGAGCTGGGACCGGAGGCACAATTTCTGGTGTAGCACTCTTCCTAAAGCCGCGAATTCCTCACTTAAGTGTCGTGCTTGCCGATCCACAGGGCAGTGGGCTTTATAACAGAGTCCGCTATGGCGTAATGTTCGATTTAAAAGAGAGAGAAGGTACTAGAAGACGGCGACAAGTTGACACTATTGTCGAGGGTATTGGAATAAACCGCGTGACAGCCAATTTTGAAGCAGGAAAGGAGCTGGTTGATGATGCTGTAAGAGTGACAGATGCCCAGGCCTTAGCAATGGCCAGGTGGCTGGTAGAAAAGGATGGCATCTTCATCGGAAGCAGTAGTGCTGTTAATTGTAGGTGTTTCTTTGTCTCCTTTCCGTACACTTCGGAATACTGATTTTTGCTCTAGGTTTTGCGGCGGTCAAGACGGCAATGAAACTTGGCCCGGGCCATAGAATTGTCACAGTCCTATCTGATTCTGGCTCCAGACATCTTTCAAGATTCTGGGCTAGGGCCGGGGATGTCGGTGGGGCGGTAGACACAAAACTGGAGGACGTTTTGAACGCAAAGGATGACCAATAAAGGTTCGTCTATTGTACACTATATTATGTGCGATACAGGACTTATCACCGAGCGGCTGTGGAGCCTGAAGCACGCTTAGCACAGCCTCTTTGAAGGCGCTACTCGGGGATTTTTCTGACCTTCTGTGGCCGGTAATATTCGGTCTTATGCAGGGCAGCCGCTAGCATGCTTCACTTGCTGGGTTTCAGCTGCAGTTTGGCTTGCCCCACGACGGTCGAGACTGCAAAAAAAAACTATCCGAGTCGACTCATTCGCCTTTATACTATTTAATGAGTGACTTCCTAAGAAGGGTGTTGTGGAGCAGCCTGACGGATCTTGTGGCCCGGATCCTCGCCGCTCCTGTTGATAAGCTGTGTTGTGGCTCGGAAAAGTGGTCCTCAGGTCCATCTAATCGCTAATTCATGCCGAAAGATGCCGCAGTCCCATCCTGTTGTTCGGTGTTCCAAACATCATCACCCACCCAGAGTCTCAAAAGCTCAAATTCGATCTCCGCGATACATCGCCCAGGCAACCTTGCGCGGACTGCATGCCATGTAAGACCGCGTTGGTCCTTGAGGTCATGGAGAGTCTCTCGCTCCGTACTCGACCAAGGCTTGGACAGTGGAGGTGGGTTCGCCCGGCGCTCATGCCAGTGTAAGTGATTCCATTGGACAAGTTGCGCCAGCTTTTTCCACGGTAAATGGTCTGTAATCTCCTTCCATTTTTTCCTCTGTACTTGTCTCAAAAATACAATCAGCCTCGCTTCATCTGGTGTAATAGTCGTTCTGGTACGCTTGCTTGGGCTAGTAGAATCATGGGATTTGGATTGACCCCCAATCGGTGTAATTTTTGGGTCCAGTGTAACTTCAGGTGAGATAGCATGAATTTTAGTATCGCTCTTGGTTACAAGATGCGTATCCAAAGCCACATTGTTAAAGGTAGTTTCTGGTTGATTCATTGCTTCCGAATTGTTGCGCTGATCTTCCGCGGAGTTGAGTGAAGTCTGGCGGAGTCGAGAGACATGATCGTCTCGCAAAGGAGACACCCTGCAATCATCAACTAAGTCCTTCCTAGGACCCGGACTATCCGGTCCGACTCGTTTCCCTCTAATTTTTAGGCCCCCTTTCGGCGTAGGTGACGGCTGATAGTTTTCTTGTAAGGGGTCGTCGGATTCATTTCCATCCGGTGTCTGTGCGAAAGACCAGTCGCACGTAATTGGACTAGATTGAGGCTTCCACTTGCGCTCGTTGATTTCACATTTCTCTGCGGATCTCCTTTTCGCAACGTCGGTATTACGCCTGGACTTCCCGGGTAGTGCCCAGATAGAGCCTGCTCCGGGGGGAGATGCGGACCGTACGACATTGAAAGGAACCGTTGGTCGTGATCTGCTCAATGGAGGCGTAGAGAATTTGCCATTTATTTCAGGGACGCGCCACACTGAATCCACTGCCTCAATAGAGCTGTGTTTCTGCAGGATTTGGGATTGGGTGGATGTCTCAGCCGTAGGCTTTGCTTTTTCCGTGACGGGCTCGTCTGTATCCATCAGGCTTTTTCGCCGAACGGGATCGTCCGGGCCGTGCTGGACACTTAGTGCTGTATCCAACAAAGAATCCACACTCGACCTATCGTCGTCGATATCTGACTCGGCGATCGACGCCTCACTTTCTCTGCTCTTCCAAGGTCCATTGAGGTCTGGCCCGGCTTGAGTCTGCGTTGCTGATTGTGGGTGTTTAGGATAGGCGTTATCATCTTGCAGAAGGTTACCACAAGCCCCTGTTTCCGAATATTGAGAGATATTGTGCACCGTAGCTGCATCATCCAGTGCGGATTCTTCCGTGTCAAACAGCCAACGACCCTTTGCGCCAGTATCGTTCTCATCTTCCATCCCCTGGATATGTCCGTTATTCACCACTATCTTTCCGGTTTGTAAATCAATCTCATCCCCCACGTCCGTAAAGTCTTTGCCGTATTTTTCGAAAATACCCTCGAAGATCGATTTGAGGCGTTCATCGTTTTGTGCGCGCGCTTCTTGTAGGTCTATATCACCTGGCTCATCAGCTGCGCCGGTAGCAAAGGATAATCGAGGTCTCTTGAGTGGTCTCTCCATCATTACGTCGTTCGTATAGAAGCACGCTTTGGGTGTGAAACGCGATAGAAGGATAGAGGATTAGCTGCGGCCTCTACGAGGTTATAGAGAGAAGGGCGGGTAGGGCGATCGACACGTTACTCTACTGCGAAAGAGAAAATTAGTAATTTGAAAAGATAAACATGGCAATGCGGACGGACAGTGTCATAGGATTACCTACCGATTCATGAGCCTGGAGGGGAAGATGCGGCAAGAATTATTGTCTTCCCGGCATAAACAGTGTAACTGGAAAATAATATGGTGTTAGGAAATAGCTAGCTACCTAGATTCCAAACCTGCGACGATGCTACGGCTAGTAAGTGTGTATGTTAATTGCATGATAGCGCATCCTACAGAATTAAATTGACCATAGGTCGAGGTTTCGCCCTTTGCGGGCAGACACCAAAACACACGCCGTTGGCACGGGATCGCCGCATGACGTCTCTCCGCGAACGGATTCCCCTGCCGCACATCATTCCCAATTCTATCAAGCAAACAATCAAACATCGCTTTTCTTGACTACCTTTCTTGTCTCCATAATGAATGGAAGGACATCTTCAATCAACTACCAACATGCACTGCCAAAAATGCCGAACTCAGTTGAAGCTGGATGGCTCTCTGGAGTCGCTCAATCCAGCTGCCTTCGATCTGCTTACCAGTATAGTCTCATTTGATTTGCATAGTTTGGATTTCTTTATACAGCATAACTAATCTATTCAGGCTCTACAGGTAAAACTCTACCGGAGCAAGGGTCTTCCTCCAGAAATTCGTTTCCTCAAGAAAGGCGAGACCTGTACGACCGTGTGTCCAAGAAAGTTACGTCTCCAGTTTATCGAAGATCCATTCCTGCTCCGCGCCAAGTTGGCAGTAACCAGAACAACCCTCCTAGGCTGGGACGAGGGGACAGTGGGAACATGTCCTTCGTTATGCTTACGGAGTCTCAAGTTGGGCCACCGCATGCGACAATTGGTGTTAATGGCGACAACACTCCGAAAGGCAAACGACCCCTCAGTACTCAAAATGCTGAACGTGAAACAGACGACGGGTCATTTGCGGACCAAGTTGAGCGAACGAGCCGCCTCTTTGAAATCATCTCCTCTCGCTCTGATATTGATCATCCAATCTGCACCGAATGCACGGAAATGCTTGTGGACGGGCTCCAGAAACGACTGGTAGATACCACGAAGGAGCGAGATGCTTACATCTCATTCTTACGGAATCTAAATTCATCCGTCCCAACGGCTGAGGAACTTGAAGCGGCTGAAAAGTCCCTTAAAGAAACGTTAGAGGCAGAGGAGGCTGCGTTCGCAGAACTTGTAGCGCTGGAACAGGAAAAAGCAGCCTTGGATGAAGAGATAGCTGACCTTGAAGAGGAGGCTCGTCAGTTAGACCTGGAAGAGGAAATGTTTTGGCGCGACCGCAACACCTTTTCTCTAACATTAGCCGATTTTCAAAATGAGCGGGATGCTCTTAATATGAGATACGACCATGACTCGCGGCAGCTTGAAAGGTTACAGAGGACTAATGTTTATAACGATGCTTTCTGCATTGGCCACGACGGATACTTTGGAACTATAAACGGCTTGCGACTTGGGCGCCTTACAAACCCATCCGTAGATTGGCCGGAGATCAACGCAGCTTGGGGCCAGACAGCTTTATTGCTGGCCACCATCGCGGATAAATTGGGCTTTGAATTTCAGGGGTACCAACTCAAGCCAATGGGATCGATGTCCAAAATTGAGAAAATCGAACATCCACGGGGATCACCAGCACAGTCCACCATCGCTGGGGGTAGCGCGACTCCGTCGGCACCGCCCAAGATTACCACCCTTGACTTATTCTCCTCTGGCGACTTGCCACTCAACCTTCCTTGGCTTCACCGCCGGTTCGATGCAGGAATGGTGGCTTTCTTGGAGTGTCTACGTCAGCTTGGGGAGTTTGTGGAGAACACGCCAGCTCCGATGCCCTCGAATCGACGAGGCCATACCGAAATTACCGCTCCGGGCTTGAAGCTTCCATATGCTATCAAACGAGATAAAATCGGAGATGCGAGTATCAAATTGGGCTTTCACAATAATGACGAGACTTGGACTCGTGCTTGCAAATACACACTGACCTGTTGCAAGTTCTTGTTAGCCCATGCAAGCAATGTTGCCAGCGCTGGCTCCAATACTTCTGCTGACATTGCAGCCGCAGCTGTTGCAGCTGGTGAGCAAGCTAGGCTTGCAACAGCTGGCCCCGCAAACAAATAAGACTGTAAAATGAAGATGCCAAGGCGGTTCAACCATAGTGAACACGCGACTAACCTATCCTTCTCAACCAGCACTAGTGTCATGCTACCACTGCGGGCAGCTAATGGCCCTTATTCCGGCAACCCATATAGTGGACAGAGTTGGATAAGACGGCCCTCTTTCGGTGTTCATTTCAGAAATACAGTCGGTGAATACTGCTAAGGCGACTACAGGGCTCGGCCTTAATCGCGGGCTAACTGTATACTGTCTTCTTGAAACCATGCAGAATACTCGACGTTTCATCGCCCCTGCATCGGACTCATGCCGCTCTGCTTAAGCCGGTGGATTATTAGCGTTATCATGAAGTACTTTTGTCCTTATGTCCATCTATCTTTTTGGGTCTAAGATACGGTCGGGCCATGACATCACTATTACTATCATGAGAGTACCAGGAAGGGAGAGAGAAAAAAAGGAATAAGGTGTCAAACTAGACAAGGAAGAGTGGAGGAGACATGAAATCACAGGCATCTGGCAGAATTTGTCTTGTGACACCAACAGGACTTACCCTGATACCACTAGACAGAGTAAAGATAGCGGGAGATCATCATTTTGTCGCTCCTTCAAAAGCGACAACGTGACCTCCCGCTTTTTCGCATGACAAGAAACACAGGCTGAGGTTATCCAGATTCGTCTCTGCGCACACCGATTCTTAGCCTCTTTCGCGCTACCTAGCACAGAAGCCCTCGACTTAGGTATGTCAACGCACTTGGGGCCACAAGACACACGGAAGAGAATCTACACGGAACAGGGATGTTCATGTAATGACAACAAAGAACACTAAGGATGCAACCACCTCAAGACGGACTCAGCAGATCCACGGCGCTGGGACTGTCGATGTTGTACCGACGGTTGCGTGGATCCTATACGTCGAGCAGGAATGTTTCGGCCCGCTCCCAGGCACACAGCGCACGAGGAAGAATCCTACTACGTATAGTACCTTGCCTCTTTGTTTCTTTGTTCTCCCTGAGTCTTTTTTTTTTCATAAAAAAGAATTATAAATAAAAAAAATAAATAAAAGAAAACACCCAGACAAGTGTATGCCCAATGAAAATGCTGGCAATCGAATCCCCCCTCTGGTGGCTCTGAAGTAGCAATAGGTCATAATATCTCCGCGAGCCACAGTTACAGGAAACTTGGACTCGGCGTGACAGCAAGGATGTCACAGAATCAACGTAACTTTCAGGCTGCCTTGTTAGTTCTGTTGTTTCTTGGCCCCTACGTCTTAGTTGGGCTATACTTAGGGCGTACTTTAGCATATATTGATTAGTACTTTTGGAATAAAAGACGGCGGAAAGGAAAAAAAAAAAAAAAAGGAAAGAAAGAAGAAAGTCAGTCTTTAGTACGGTTTGGTATGGTATTAGATACAGCTTAGTCGAGTCAGGTTAGTATAATCCACTGTTCTATAGTTGCGTCGCAAGAAGATTCCGTTCACTAAACCGAATCTATGTTCGCAACCTCTGGCAGCGATAGTTGGATCACATATGCATTAGGATTGTAGGACACTATTACTACTACATATCCTTTCTGTAGGCCTTATACCCTGGTCATGATTGTCTGATATTAAGACTATGATAGATGAATTAGCACCGACGCTTAACAAAAACCTATACATCCATCTGATAGTGGGAGGCCATGCCTCATTCCCCCTTCCATATGTAGTATGCTACACACCAGGGCAATAGTTCTCGGTCTGAAACTAAAGGAACTGGTGCTATCTATATTTATAGAGGTTCACAGTGAGGCGAAAGGGGAACAACGTATCCTATGTAGTGTTCGCGCGGATGTTTCTTCCACCATGAAGAGTCTCGAGCAATTAACCATGACTCGAGAGCCTGGAGCAAACCTATACCTCCAAGCCATACTAAACGGCACCTCATCGTGAACTTCCTCCGCTTCTTGCCGTTAAGATCCACATGCCTATACTAAGGCAGGCAGAGGGAGGACTACCACTAGGCTTGATGTGAACTAAGATTTATGAAAGCTATTCTATGTCAGCCGAAGCTACCTTTTTTTTTTTATTTATTTTCCCTTTTTGCCCTCGCTCCTTACTTTCTTTGCCCTATCAGCCTTACTTTGGTTCTCCCACAACTTCAAACAATCTGCAGCAGAATCACCAAGACCCTAGGTTCTTGATCTATTAGAAATTGTGTATCGATGTACCCTAGATACCAACAATACTATGAAGCGGCCTGGTAGGTGTGTCCATCTAGATCTGGACAGAGTAGATGCTGGTCACTGTATGTTATACTATAGGCTAGTAAGTACAAAAGTCTTGCGCAGGTTGACCATTGGACATTGTGGATAGCCAGTTATACGCACTATGTCTGAATGAGTAATAGTATAATACTCTGACAAAAACAGAAAAAAGAAAAGAAAAAGAAGAAAAACAGATACCGTGACCCGTTAAGTTTCCTCATTTTCTTTCAGAAATCGTGGGATACAATTCCCTAAGACATGTCGTGACTACATCGATACTCTAGTGAAGACGAACACCGGGGGCGTAAACGACCCAATTTAGAGTAGGAAAAGGACTATTTCCAGTATGACCCTTGAATCATGTGCATACCTACGTCCTGTAGTCCGTTTCAATATTCTTTAACATACCTAAACAATAGAAATACCGCACTGCTCAAGGCAACTACTACCAAACTCACCTGTGGGAATGCTGATTCACGTGGTCTCCATCCATCGACAGTGGGATCGACCATCCCTCGCTGGATGCTGATGCTATTTATTGTCAGGTGAGTGATGGCCTCAGCACCAAGGTCAGAGGAGACACAGGGCTAATCTTTCTCTTCCTCTCCCTTCCTCGGGTACGCGTTTTCTTCCCCATGTGATCTGTCAGACAAGATGAACAACCAATTGGCGGAGGATGACGAAGGGCATAAACTTTGGAAATCTTGAGCCCCAACGGGGCGCCACATCCTATCGCACTGTGATCATTGCACATGGTGGGATAATTCGCGAATATGTCCAGAAGATTCGACAGGCTTGTTCGTTGCGTTTCATGCTGAGGGGTTTATGAGCGGCGAAAGTACCAAAGGTACAGTACTAAAAGTTCAAAGCGTGCGCTGAGTCCCTTCCGGTAGAGGCGATGCATTTGATATGGGGTATGCTATCCACATTTACCATGTTTCATGCTGCACCCACAGGAAAATCGTACCGAGTATTAGCTGCTCATTGGCCTGTTGGCACGACCTGTCTTCTATACCTAGTACGGGCCGCAGGATCTACTTGGGGACAGCGTGGTCGACCGTTTTCTCGTAGCCTAAAACAGGAGAGGTGAAATATGCAGCTAGACATCAGAGGGGAAATTGACCGGAGAGTCGAGTAGAGTTCTGAATAGCATTCTTTTCCACCCAAAAGGGTTTCACCATATGTAGAAAATGCAGAGGATTCGACAAGAATTTCTAGCGAAACTTTATAGCAAACGGATTGTCCATGTGTCAGTAATGTTGATTAATTACTACATATACTGTGAATTTGTTTTCTCTCTCTCTCTTTTTTTTTTTTCTTCCCTCTCTTTGATCACTTTTTGCTGAACTAATTCAAATCATTGTCCGACGAATATGCTATTCCGGGCCGACGTTCCTTGTACTTGACAGTTCGACTATCTCTAGCGCATCTGTCAGTAAAAACCAAACTTGGGACTACTCCTAATTCGAAAAATTTAATATACAACAATAATGGGGCCGCTATACTCTAACCTGATAGGGACGTTGACGACTCCATCACTAGGAGACTTTTGGTGGACATTTGGAGCTCAGGCCTCAGGCTATGGCCCGAACTTTGCCACACCGTCTCGAGCGTTTTTTTTTTTTTCCACTTTAGGGCTCAAATAGATGAAATGGATTTTACTCTCGTTTACTTGAAGGATGGGAAAGCTAAGTATGTAGGAAGAAGAAAGAGAATAGTGAAAGAAATGGAAAAAGGTACCAGCGATATTTTAAGTCGTCACGGGGATTTGGTAGTAGATTTTATGCACTTGTCCTTTCTATGCTTGTTTTTTCCTTTCCCTTTTGATCTTACTTCCATGATGACGACGTTCGAATATCCGATTCTAATAGTAGGAATAAAACCCCGTTCCAAGAACAATACCTGAAAGGCTCGGAGGCAAAAGAGAGAAAGAATACTAAAGCCGATCCCTGTCCGCCTCGCACATCTCGGACAATGTCAAGGCTAAAGAAGGGTCTAACCTTGGTGATCTGACAACCGACAATGATGATCCTCGAATGTTGCACCTGCAGAAAATGGCGTATGCAGATAAAGTGATCACTTTTACAGTGGTAATTGTTTTTACATGTTAGTATTTCGCTGCAGTAATTCCTCCTTAAATATTTTCTTTTTCTTTCTCTCTTTTCTTTTCTTTCCTTTTATTTGTCTGAAGATCTTGTTCCCTATTTTATTTTTATTTTTTTTATATAATTTTTCTTTTCTGTCGCCCTGCAAAATGGTTAAGAATACGTTTCCATAAAGAACGCCATGATATTTTGTTCTCTTTGTCCTGAAAACCAGTGTGAGTGGGTATTGTTAGTTATCATTAATATTTTTTTTTTCTTAACTACCCTCTACTTCTCAGAACGTTGCTATAATAGGCAAGTTGATGTTAATCATGCCTCCTTGTAGATTAAAAATACTTCTTTCACAACCTACATACATGTATGTATGTTTCGTCGACAACTGAACTGTAATTAGCATGCTGATGGTATTACCATTAATATAACCCACATAAGGCATTGTTGATTCTAGGTTTATTCCAAATCCTCTGCCATTTGTTTCATTCTTTTGTTTATTCTTTTATTCTTTCATTCTTTCTCCCCCCCTTTTTTTTTTCATCCTTCTTTGGTGCCTTTGTCTTAAAACCCGTTATATTCAAAGGTGGTAAAACCTGGGAGACCTGCCAGGGATGGGTGCTTAGCTCCTTAGACTTTGGTACTATGGACATCGTTAGCGGAAGCACAGACCGAGGTGGGCAGTACTTACATGTACATGCAGTGGTCAGAACGTGACAAAAGTACACGGACCCAAGCGGCTATTCCTCAATTGGCTCGGGGAAGCCGGGATCGAGCCTCCCGCCAGTCAGTCCTAGCAGCAAGTCGCCGCAAAGGGCAGGCGGCCCTGCCAGTCAGGAGCAGTGCTTTTGATTAGTTGGACACGCTAACCCTCAGGGAGGTTTAGCTGTTCCGTATCCGAGCGGGCGAACCACTTCGGTTGCCCCGTTGGACCGGAAGTCCTACCGTACTATGTAAAAGTATCTCTTTGTATGTATGGGGGTGGGAAGAGAGCTTCGGTATGGCCATTGTTATCTAGGTTTCGTTTGGATGTTTTATTTATTGATACTCCCATGATGCTTGGATGACTGCTGACTTAATTTCCACTTTGATGATTTGTTGGCAGGATATGGTTGGAAGGTTAAGAAGAAAGATTCAGGAGAGTGTAGTATGCGAGAGAAAAATTGCAAAAACCAGAGAAGTGAGAGAAACGAAGAGCCAAGTCCTTGGAACCAATTGTTACAGCGTATAACATACTTAGACACATGCATACTCGATTATTATTATTATTATTATTATTATTACTGTTCTCACTTCCTCAACATCGTTGTTCTGTTCTGACACTTGACGGTTTTTATCCTATTATTTTCTCTGTGCAATTTTCATATTATTAATTTTTCTCTCTCTCTCTCTCTTATTCACGGCTAACTTTAGTTAACTATGTACGTACGTACGGTCACTGACCGAACTACCTACTACTAACATACAATACATCATCGTCACCCATTATCACTTCTCATTATAATTATTACCAATTCCCACTTCCCCAAGCCTTGACTCCGGTGGACCACCTTTTTCGATCTTGTTATTGCGGCTGCTTTGACCACCCGTCAACCAACTACGACTTTCTACTACGTTCGCACTTACGCCTCTCCTATCTGCCTCTTTTTTTTGTTTTGTTTTTTTTTTGTTTCCTTTTTCTATTTCTATAACTACATAAGACTTTCTTATTTCTTCACCTCCAATACTCTTTCCGGTCCCTATCTGCTGTCCTTCTCCACACTTTCATAGTTTCAGCTCGTCCTCGACTTCCCGACATCTGCTGAGATAGTTAATTCTCACCTCGAAACGGCGCAAGATTATGAGTGACAGTGTTTTCTAAAGATCTGCTCACGATGGATGGCTCCATCCCTCCGTCATCCGCTATTTCTCCCATTTCTCCCTCGCCATCCACTTCCTCATCCATCTTTCGCCCCCGCAGATCCGACGACTGGCACGAGTACCGTCCGATCATCGAACAACTCTATCGTGACAATCAATTAAAACTCAGAGATGTTAAGAGAATCATGGAGCGTGATTATAAGTTTCATGCATCGTACTGACCTCCCATTTCCTTTTCTCTCTCACCCAGTTTCCCCTATTCCCCTCCCATTAGTGCTAGTCCCCTCCTACCTCTATTGTCATCCTTGAATCCTGGATTTACTCTATGTATACCCCCAAGGACTTTTGCACCCTGTGGATGTATTTGAAAAATTGATACAACAGTGTTCCTGTTTACCGTTGTTGCTCCTCCCGTCAGTTCGATTTTCTTTTCTTTTTCTAAAGCTCCTGTTTGTCTTGCACCTTGTTTTCTTGTTTTCTTTTTCTTCGACAGCCGAATCGGAACAATTTTAAAACACCCCTAACGCATAAGCTTCGCAGAGAAAAACAATACAAAGACCGGCTGGCAGCCTGGCATGTTCGGAAGAATATAAAAGCCAAAGAAGTTCATGTGATGATCCGAAAACAACAAAAACGAGCTGCCCGCGGAAAGCAAACTGGCTTTCGAGTCGCCGGTCAAGAAGTGGATTCGAAACGTATCGCTCGTTTCGTCCGTAGATACGGCACTCATTGGGATAACAAAGGTCGCGCCGAGTCTCAGTCCCAATCTCCACCTCAACTTCAACCTCAGTCTCAACCCGAAACCCAACCGCAGACCCATCGGTCAAGCCCAGAGCCTGGTAGGTTGCTTCTATGTGATCAAATATCTGTTGCATCAGCTGTTTATACAAAACCAGATACTCCATCTGATATGAGTTGCTATACTCCCGAGCCCGATGCTAGAGATAGAAGCTCGACTTTGTCTCCCCGGCCAGAGACGATGTCACCTCGCAGTGAGATGACCCCATCCTCTTCGCTAGCCTGTACAACTCACGGAAGCTTCACTGAGCACTATGAGTTTTGGCTTGAAAAAACAAAGAAGAAAAAAACTTTGGTTAATCAAAACGCAGGTCACGACAAGCTCAAGATAGAACAGACTCCTGCTTCAGAGATTGATGATAATCAATCTTTGCCGACGACAACTTATAGCCCCAACTTACCAAACGACGCACCCAAAACCACGGATGATGTGTCATGGAAGGATCTTGATTCCTTTCAAAATCGTCTTCTCGCTCTTCACGATACTCTTGAGGCCTCAATGGCCGGATTTATATACCCTAATGAAGATGAAAACCGCACACCCCTTTTATGAGCGGCACGGATTATCTAGAGACGAAGAGTGAGGATCTGCCGAGCCTCTGGGTTCATTCTTAGATGTTGTCAATTCGACTCCCCTGATTCCCCCCCCACCCCCACCTTTATTATTCCCCGCAGCCACTTCATCGTTAAGCACTGAACGGTCTTCACTCTGTAACACTTCATCGCCCCAATCCCTTTTAAGCGTTTGAGCCCATCTATGTTTTCTTTATTTTTCTTTATCCCTTTTTTTTCCTTTACTGTTCGGACTTTAACTATATAGAGCATCTATGGCTTGATTTAACCGGGAAACGTCTGATGTAGGTTATGGTATTCCCATGAATGAAAGAAATCAAGGTGTACGGGACTCCATGGCGAGAAAACTTGGGGTTTTGTGATGATGTACCTGCCATGCCTGTCCAAATGTTCTTTTTACTACCATCCCTACGCAGTATCGTTAAGTACCTTTCACAGCATATTGTTAAGGAGCATTAAGTTACTGCAGCTAACCCACCACGGTCTCGGAAGGACGTCAAAATTAGCCTACAAAATAAGTGGAATTCGGCTGCGTCGAACCTCCATTGCAAGGAAGATTTCGACTTACGATACATTCATCGATCAAGTATCTCTCACCGTGACCCTCTCGTGCTGTGCATTGCAGCAGAAACACACCATAACACTTTCTGTTATTCTCCACAACCCTGTCATTTTGGATTTACTCCGTACAACAGCGGCCTGGACCGTGCCGCCCTTAGAAGCTCCACGACATCACACCCATCCGGCATACAAAGGAGAACTTACACATGAAACAAATGTCGCTAACTTCGAGAGAGACTAACTAATTGGCTTCACAATGTACAAAGGCTTATGCGAGGCTTTCAGAAGGCAACCACCCCTAATGGTATATCATATTGCGCAACCCCCTTGGGTGGAATCCAAGTTTGAGGCTATCAAGTATACTCCGAGATAACGACAGACACCGCATAGGATGCACAGTCTACGCTAGATGAAACACAAGAGAGCGAGCGACACTTCCTACCCCTCCAAGTACGCGTGGTTTCCTGCAGGACTAGCCGTCAGTCGAACCATCATCCAGAGATGTCCATGAGATCAAATGAAGTAGAAGGAATCAAACGAAAAACACTCAGCGGATACCACACCGGCGTCAACCCCAGTGGAGAAGAGCCACGTCGGACAGAGGACCAGGCAAGCATCAGCGCCTCCCTGGTCCTCTCAGGCCTCTCAACATGGGCAGGGAATGGAAATGAAAAATTTGTTGGACCCTAAATTCTTTGAATTTTGTCGTCAATCATTTTGAATAACATCTGGCATGACTATAATACTACTGCGTAACAAGGCTACACTTACGACTTGATTGCCAGTTAACACAAACCTTTGCCCCAATGACAGATGCTAAGAGGAACTGACTAATAGCACCAGCCAGCAGATCAGGCCGGAAATGATATCCGCATCTGAATCAAATAAACAGCCATCCAGTCACACCGAGACAACAAGGAATGGGGCCGGATCCCACTTCCTTCCCCGATTGGACTACTGGCACTCAGCTTCCCTGTCTCGAGGACAGTCCGCCACAGTTCGTCCAGCTGTAGATCAAAGCGCCAGAGCCGGTGGTTTCAGGTCCCAACGTCACTTCTGACTGGATTGTCGATCTTTATATAAATTAACCCCGTACTTTGTCACTGGTACCTTCGGCCCCCAGGAAAATAGCATACATACCTAATATCGGAAGAGAATCCTTACAACCCCACGCGCAACGAACACCCCTCCAATTTCCCAATTTTTTCAAGATCCCAAATCATAAAAATAAACCCTCAACAAACCAGTAAAAGAAAAAAAGAAAAGAAAAAGAACCCCCGCCCCCCCCCCAATCCTGACGCTAGATATCGGGCATCAAAACCCACCACCAGAAAATGCAAACTGCAGAGACTAACTAGCATGATGTAATCCAATCACCACAAATCCCGTATCCGGAGTGATCGTCCGGAAAGAGTGACCCTAAGGTCACAAGGGTAAATAAATACCCAGATTCCTAGTCGTTTCCATGCATATCATACAATACTATCCGTATCAGTACTTTTGACCGCGTTCTAAAAGGGGAAACATGAACAGCTTCCGCCTACTAGTAGTAAGCTCACTGCCACTGCCACTGCCACTTAACTGTGTATCTCCATCTTTCATACATGGTAGTTCTGTCTTTCGCCTTATTTTTGCCACCGAGTTCTTATCAATTGCATCAGTGGCATTTCTATCCGGAGGAGAACGTTGGGGGTTGGGGGGAGTACGTGTGAAGTTCCCCCGTAGCCGTTGACGTAGGTGCTAAGACTGCTAGTATACTGTGTACACAATACTTGATCTATGTGCGGTATTTTATGTCTCTTTCTGATATGTGCTGTACCGTACCTATCTAGAAGAATTAGAGTTAATTAATATATAAGATAGATTCGAGCCTTTCTATAAAGTAAATCTTCTTGCCGAAAACAAAGTATGTACATACCTCATCAGTTCATCCCACACAACGATCAACATGAGTACTACTCGCTGTAGAACAACTTAATATAGAGTAATCGACACATATATATAACTACCACACTATCACCGGCCAAGCTAATTAGCAATAGTATTAATTATATTATCATTAAACTTACACACCTACATGCGTACATACGTTGTTGCGTACCTCCCCACAACCCCAAATACAACCGGTAAGCTAATGAATATCTTTTGGCCGCCACTGATCTTATCTAATTGAGGCAAATGGGGTCTGGACAGACCATATCGATATTCAAATGTCGCTTGGGTAAATGGTGTAGTTACACTGCAGGGTAGTGGACGGGTTGTTTTGCCGGATGGAGAATAGAGTTAGGTGATGGATGAACGGTAGTTCTTTTACGCTTTGATCTTTAATTTCTACGGATTACTAAAATTGATAAGGAACGTGAGTCGTGGAGATTTCCGGTATTGGTTAGTCTAAAGGATCATGATTCGGTTTTACTTTGATTCCATTTTTTTTCGTTTTGTTGTTTCGTTGTTTCGTTGTTGGTTTACATAGGCATTGTTCTTACTTTTGTGTGAAGTTGTGTGTGGCTTCGATCAACCGGTAAAAATTTGTCCCTGATAACAAAAAAAATAATGGTAATCTGTACACGGTATGAAGTGATAAATAATATAAATAGTCATCTGGCCGCTGAAACCGTGGAACATGAGGGAAAAAACGCGAGAAAGAAAATGGAAAACATGAAACATGCAAACGAATCCGTATACCTCTAAGCACCCAAACGCTTGAATATCCAGTAGTGAAGTAGTCATGAGGTCCCGCCCATTAGTAGTAAGATCCATGTTGCAAGGGAGTCAACCCGACATGACCTCCTGCTCGTGGACTAATGATAGAAGTAAAGAAAAAAAAAAAAAAAAGAAAGACATGGCATATCAAATCCGCTCAGGCATTACGAGTAAAATGCACTTTTCTGGAAGCTTTCTGGGGAGATGTCACCCATCTTTCCTTTAAGTTCAGGCTTCTTTTCGTTTGCCGGGATTTCATCCGAGACGCGAGCTTGCATGCTGTTGGTACGACTGCTTGCTTCGCCGCCCGATGTGATCGCCTGTTGTTGTGGCTTCCGCTGGATAGTCTCTAAATATGGCCCGGGAAGGTACCCGACACGGCCGTCCCGAGCACGGCATCGCCACCATTCCGATGCGTTGCCCGTGGGATCTGACTTGCTAAGAACAGCGACGATATCGCCCTTCTTCACGGCCAAGTCAATGCCGTTGGCCTCCTGAGTCTCAGGGGTGTAGTCGTACAGGACCCGACAGAAGTCGAGTTTCGAAGGATCCATTGGTGCCTGTTGTACGGGTTCGCCGTTTGGCCCAACCATGAGCTTCTGGCGCTCCTCTTGGGAGCGGGCAAGTGATTTGATGAGTTTACTCATTAGGTAAGGAAGTCCGAATACAGCAACGAGGAACATAATGAATGGCTTCTTCGATGGCTTAGGGGGTGCGGGAGAGCCATCCGGAAGGGTAGCCGGCGAACTCCGACCGTGTATAAATGCCGCAAAGGCGGCGGGAGTCAGAGAAGTGGCATCCGCCGGGGGAGGGCGGCCGGTAATCTTAGCAATCAACGTTTTAAACCACCGAATCATAGTGTAGATTCCGAGGGCCGAACCCAAGGTAGTACGCAGGTTACCGAGCTGCTCTGCGACAGACACCATTGCTAGAACAAGGCATTAGTAAACTGCAACTTTTCACCACCGGTGAGACTAGACGACTTCAACATACCAAAGAATGAGCTATGAGTTGCCATATAGGTGCTCTCAAGCATCTGAGCGAATCCACCGAATGCGCCCACAATACTTTCAATCATCTGAAACGTGGCTTGTGTACTTTGACTGAAAGAATTGGTCAAGCTGTTGGGGTCGTTGGGATCACCAGGCATGCCGCCGTACATCCCACCCATCCCACCCATTCCACCCATTCCACCGTACATGCCGCCATACCCTCCATACCCTCCGTACATTGACCCCATGGTGCCAAAGCGGGAATATGGCGAGGAGTATGAGCTATAGCCACCGTACCCTCCATATGGGCTAGCTCCAAGCCGGGAGGCACCATATGGCGAATAGTTCGACGCGGTGCGATTCACAACGGTATTTAGCGAATTAGGACGAGAGGGAAGGTCGGGGGCGGTAGATGTCGTTGAGGCGGTTGTAGATGTGGTCGCGGCTGGTGCCGCGGCTGTGGCAGTCATTGCAGAAGAGGCGACGGAGCCGCCAGTAGGTGATGCTGACAGTGCGTTCCCTAGTGAAATATCGCGTGAGTAAGAGTCAAGGAGAGGATGATAAATCAACAAGTTGACAATGACTTACCACCCGCTGCGGCACCTGCTCTCTCCCAAGGCTTAGGTGGCGAAACCGATGCCATATGTTTGTCGGAGGTAATCAATCAGCAGCCTGGCATCGAGATCGACCCAAGCAGAGATAGTAAGCAGGGCTCTCCGTGCTAATGGTGAGGTAGATAGTGGAAGTTTAGAGATGGGGAAGAAGAAGAGTAGAGGAGAGTCAATGGTGGAGATGGAGACGATGGGGGTCTGAGAGCGGTGGAGGCGCAAAGGAGGAGAAATCGAAAAGCCCGGTGGTGCATGTGCCCGGAAATACCGAGGCTCTACCGGAAGGCTTGCCGACGGAAAACTCCGAGCGAAGTCCGGAGTGTGGTGATTCATATGATTACGTTGGTACGAGGTTCTAGAAAACCGGTAAGAACATTAATATTCAAAAGAGATTCATTCACCCAAGCTTGGACTCTCGGTGAATAAAGCTTGAGCATCCAAAGCTGCTCACACACCCATATAATATACACCCTGAACTCCAAAGATGTGCATCCGCTGGTTGTTAAACAACGCCTAAGAAACGCCAATGAAGAGATCCTCTGTTATTATACAGTCAAATGATTCACAAACAACCTGATCACCAAATGTATATGTTGTAAAAAAAACACCCCTGATCATAGCTCATCGCGGCTCTGCATCTCCGGCTCCATTGGCCGTTTAATCCTCCACGTCCGTGGTGGCACGGGAAGTCCCAGCCAATAACTCCACAGCCGGTTGAGCTCTAGAACAGTAATTTCAGATCTGTGTGAAAACGCTATTAGTACCCACGCGTTGCAATTCACGTCGATAATTACTTACAGAGTCCTGGGAATATTGGCCCAGCTCCTTAAGACGTAGACGAATGTATTCCAAAAAACCTCAAACTCGGCACGGAGTTCGTCTAAGAAGCCGTCATTCTCGCCTCGTGGCCCCCGCTCCCATGGTAGTCTTTCGGTGAGATACTGAAAATCGTCCTCATCATTTTCATAGTAGAAAGTCGTACCACCATCCTTGATAAGACGTCTTGTTGTCTTGCCCTCGGGGTTCTTTACGGACGACACGTCGGCGGGAATTGTAAGAGTCTCTCCATCTTGCACATCCATAGCACGATGGAAACTCTTGATAGCCGCCACGCTGTGAGAGATGCGACCTAGAGTGTTGACCAAAGCCACAAGTTCTGTCCTGCGCAAAGGAGGATTCTCTCCATTCTTGGTCTCATCGTACTCAAACAGGACCTTCAAGGCGGTGCCGTATCCGTTAACCTGCAGTTTCCCCCATAGTCGGCACTTATCGCATCCAACACAGTCCATCAAGCGGCTCACGTTTCTGAAACGGTTGCGGAAGTCTTCCTTCAGGCCGATAGCACTTGGGTCCTGGAACATCAAGTTCTCATCGAAAATCTGTGGCCGGTCCGCGAGAGCCGAAGTCAAAAGGAACACTTTCTCCTTGGTGTCTGCATCCTGGACGGGATCGCTGGTGCAATATGTGTAGCCCTCAAGGTGCTTCCGTAATTTCGCGACGGCGCGGGACACCAAGGCATAGTTGAAGTACAAGTTCGAGATGCGCTCCGGATGGTCATGCAATCTTTCCTTGAAGCATTGCAAGTTCGGGTTCCATTGGCCGGTGGACTGGTTGAAATAGTCCCAGCAAAGGTGGGTCGAAATAGATGCATGCATACCGCTGATAACCCGGTGGAAGACCCGCTTCTCGAGGCACTCGTTGTCCAGCGGCAATCCCTCTGTGCGCTTCAGCTCTTTCTGGAGGACATTGCGCAAGTCATTGGCAGCCTGAAGTTCTCCAAATTGAGGATTCGGAGACAGTTCTAATTGTTCCGGCGTCGACTTCAAGAAGCAGTTCTCACGGTAAATTGCGTTCCACACCTGGTGGGCTCCCATTCCTGCATATCCCGTAAATCGCTCCGGGTTATCGAGCAAACTGACGTAGTCGCCTTTGGCGCTCGCTCCTTCGTCCTCCGGAACGCAATAGTCTCGCTGATCACACTCATCGTCGTACTCGACCACACAACTTTCTCCGACATCTTCTCCTAGCATACCCTGGAGTGGTCGATCACCAGGCCGCTCCTTCCGGACCCCGGGCCCAGGATGATCAGCTTTCGGACCCTCAAGCTTACTTAGCTCCTCTGCACGCCATGGTAGCGGGATATCCTCTTCCGACTCGATGGTAGTAACGGAGCATGCAATGTTCCCACACATGCTATTCTCGTCTGACCAGAAGGGGCAGACTTTGTTGAAGAGATTGAGCCGATAATATGAGAAGAAGTCGGTATCTTGGGTTATGGATTGGAGGAGAGGGTAGACTTTGTCGTTCAACGAATCAATGCTGCTGTAGGAGACGCAAGCGTCGGAGACCGTGGCTTTAGGGTCAATCTAGAGACAGCATAGATTAGCAAATGGGGCTCAATAAGGCAAGACTATATCTGATTTTTATATATGTGGAACTCACGGCGCATGTATTCAGGTCATGATGTTGAGACTCGGCATTGGTGAGCCTCAAGAAGGCAAACACAGCCAAATAAAATACTTTTGCTGCAGAAGGCATTTTCTTTAATCGGGAGAACAACGTGGGAAAATAACAATTTGTAATGGATGTATAGACGTATAGAAACTTAGTGTCTATCGGTTGTGTAAATCCGTTGACCCTTCACATGAAAAACACAAACAGTGGGCCTAGAAATTGTCAATCAGATCAAGGATCTAAACATGATTTTCTGTCAACAATGATCCACTGCTGTATGTATGTATGTATGTATATCGGGGTTTATGAAAACGAAAAAATTTAAAAAGATGCAACAAAATTCAACGCGACCGAAGAACTCATAAAAAGAGAATGAGCGGATTGGGCGAGTTATGAAGGAGTAGAGCGAGAGAAGTTGACAAGCTGTCCTTGGTGGCGGAGTTGCATGACAGTCATCGGATGATTATCAATAGTCCTCCTTCAATAACTTCCGCCAAGCCTTTTACGAAGCAGTTCCATTCGCTAGCGCCCCATCTATGTTTCCTCTAGTCCCCAACTTTCTATTGAAACAAAGAAGGCTGTTTCAGGTTATATGGAATAATAACAACAAGGATGATCTTGTTATAATCAGGGTAATAACAAGAGAGGCAAACGAAGTACATATGACATGACACCCTCTAAAAAACGTATGACTCGGTAAACTCGCTATATAGAAGACCTGCACTATAAACAATGCTGAATGGATAGAGATATCATAATGCAGTAGGCATACAGGGGATCCTAGCCCTGAACAAGATGATTTGACAATGTAGACAGTAACCAGGTAACATAGTGTTTAGACTACTAATTAGGTATGCTCTGCCAGTGATACCACACTAAGAATATATTATCACTCAGCTGAATCACAGAGCCCTTAAATCCCGGAGAATCCTCCTCTAGTAGTCAGCAAACGACGTGATACTTTTTCCCTCAACGGTTATGAATGGAATCCTGACTGATCCTGCTGGCCTTAGTGTCATTTTCTGGTTGCGCCAAGCATGTACGGTTCTCCCCAGATCCAACAATCTTGGCATCTCTTGGAGACAATCCAGCCCTAAGAGCTAGAGCTCAATTCTTTTTACATTGAACTGAGGGCATACACACGGCTTATATATATGTATTTGTACGCGATCTTGCTTATAGATACTTCGCTTGCTTTTACTTCAGGGCGGGATCTAAATATCATGTCATAGAACCGTAGGTGCCTGAATTGATACAAGTTTCTCTCCTCCAGGCTGGGCGTTTTTGCTCTTCTCTCTTCTCTTTTCTTTTTCTCTTTTACCAAACTCCGAAGAGACCGAGAGTGACAGAAGAAAAAACAGAAAAAGGCAAATAAGATTGGCTCAAGGCTATTGGATCCATTTTGGAGAGCGATAATTAAGGTTGGGAATGTCCATCAACTGCCCAAGCTGCTACGTAATATATTGGTGTATATGCAAGGGCGAACTGGAGCACAGAAATCCCCTCTGAGTACGCGGCAATACTGAAACTTTGTGACCGGTATTGGTACAAGTTAATCCATGATTATGATATACTGGACGTACCACTTGTCAACACTTGTACTACTAATTACTTTGCAAGGTTATACATGGCCAGTTCTTCCCATTTGATACATGATTACACCTCTTATGTATGAATTCCAATCCTAAAATGTAAATTACTCATTCCGGTGGTATACGCCTGTGTAAATGCATATAAGACTCTTCCGTTTCTACAGAGTAGAAGTTGCTACTGGTAATGTAACGTTCGTAAAATGTCACTCTATCGGATTCACGGTCAGATCCGAGAGGTAGAAGCAAGTTCATTCAATTACACTTGATTGGACTTGTGATGTTGCATCTGAGAGGCAGAAACAAGTCCAGTTGGTTCTCTGATGGGCAGTGGATACAGGAATAGCTTCAAACATCATCAAACATACCCAATCAAGACCATGACCAAGCTCAACGGCGATAGGAGAAAGCACGTTGAAATCTTGGCGGACACTTAAAGTACAGAAAACCGAGCAACATGAAAGATAATCAATCTATAACTCCGTGCCCAAAACTCCGAACAAATCCGTATATCCACCCATTCCGTGGTCAGCATGATGCTGATCTACATGAAAACAATACAAAACATGAGGTATCACACTGTGCTGTCAAATCCCTGATATCCTAGCCCTTTCTATCAACCTCAACCTTTTATATATCCTTTAAATAACGATTCGGTAGTGGAGTATCGATTTCGAGTTTACTGGGTACTCCTGCGGTTTCGGCGACGCAGGCTCAGTACCCTTCTGAGGGAGGCGAATGGCTTTGGAAGTGGCGTGTTGTAGAAAGGATCATTCTTGAAGTCCTCTTCGGTGAATTTCTGTCAAGGTGGTTAATGCTTTGTCGTGACAAGGACGACACAAGTGTGGGTACTTACCAAGCCGGGGCAGCGCATAAAGTTACCGTAGTCGTTCATCATATTGGGACCCTCCTCGTAGTTGTAAGTTTGTCCTTCCCTATCCGTAGTACCAGGTGGATAGAAAGCCACCCCGTCGAGAGGACGATGGCTGTTAATACTGTCTTTGATCTTGTCCTTTGGGGTGGCCCTCAAAGCTTCCTCATTCGTTCGTTTCACGGCTTCGATTGGGCTCAACTTGGTGTCGAAATTCCTTTCCGGGTATACTGCATCGTATGGTCCTTCATGGTGATACTGATAAAAGCTAGCACTGTCCAGGCGGTCGATAACGTCGGGATTAACGAGTTGACTGTCGCGAGAGTACCTCATTGTGCGTCGTGGGCCGCGAGAATGGCGACGGGAGTGATCGTTGTAGTAACTGGTGCACTCGCGTTTCTTCTTTGGCTCGACAGGGAGGTGCTCGAGATATCCGTCAAAGTAGATAGAAGGGATAGACGAGGAACGCTGGAGTCGAAGTGATTGGCGGCTTGGTGAAGATGAGACGAAACGACAGCAGGAGCTCTTCATGTTCAGGTCCGAATCCTGCTGGTGAGAAGGGTAGGGCGAGTAGGGTGTCATATAGATGGCTTCTCCGGTGGAGGCCATGTCCTTGAATAGACGGTGAAGGTGTCGTAGTATAAATCTGAGACCTGTCTCCTGACAGCTCAGATGGCTGGATAGAGTTGAATAGATGTATGCAGGTAAGCGATAGCACACGGACGCTATTGTGATAGTGCGTTTAATGTCACGATCTGATGTGGGGCTCGTATTGAAAGTAGAAAGTTATAGTTCAAAGGCGCTCAAAACGTTGATATCGTGGTATTTTGGTGTGAGATCTTTGGCAAAGATAAAAGTAGAGGTAGATAACAAGAGGAAGAGGAAGAATACTTCTGCCAGACAGCAATAATATAAGGAAGAGTCATCACTGCCTACCGGTGGCCGAGGGTGACGTGACGACTTGCGTATGATGATCCCGCAGGGTCCGGGGGTAGGCTTATCGATAACAGTGGCACGTCGGCCTTGTATAGGCTTAGCGGTTTCGCCACATCTAGTTTAGCGTAAGGATCTGTCCGGAGAACTAGACCCTTTTGGTTACATTCAACTGGCCTCGATGATGAAAAGATGGGAGTCTAGATGGTTGACCTCAGAGATTTCGCAGATTTCTTACTGCCCAAAGTTGTCTTCCACGGATTCGTAAAATTTCTGACCTCGTAAAAAAAGGCACTGAACCTTACGAGTAATCAGTACCAGCCAACGGTTCTTTTGAACATCTGACTGGACTATATGACTAAAGTGGATCGCAGATCACTGCTGACCAATATTTAAAAGTCACGTCATAACTGATCTCACAGTTTCCACCCGATGAGGCGTATATTCTCCTCTTATCCGACCATTACCCGAAATATTTGTATCAAAGATCTTGACATCAGAAGAGTTGATTCTTATGTTAAGCTCATCATTAGTACGATCATAGCGTCCGTGCGGATGGCATTAGAAGGGTATAGCTTGGCTAGTACAGGTACTACTCTGTGATGTCGTACTAGAGGTCTAGAAGAACCGTGGAATTTGCTTCTATGACGTTTACTGAGTTAGTCACCTCGCACGAGCCACCGGTTCCTAATAAAATTCAAGGGGCCAAACCAACTTTGCATTCTGGACTGTTCAACTTCACAACATCTAGACCAGTGTGCGCGAAGTTCCAGAAAGTAAATGCTGCTGGGAGCCTGGGGCATTTTGTAGCTTAGTCATTTAAGAGGAGACCTGGCAAAATAGAGAATTGAGAAACTAAATAGAGGCATTAATATCCGAGTCACGAGGTCAGTTTAAGTTTTCCTTCTCAGTCCATGGTCATCATCACGAGTATTTAGGTTTTTTGGCCTACAAAATGTATAGAACTGGCCTGTAATACGAGTACACGACATGGGAGGATTCAGAAAGCTTCGGGGTCCGAATAGTGTGTTTTTTTATGATTAGCAACCCGAGATGCAAGGCGTTGCCCATGTAATAGTTGGCTAGTTCAAATTTTGATATCAATAAGTTGAACGGAGCGATAATCAACTAGTATCCTTGGTGTAATAAGGTTGTTAGGATGCATATACGAAATATCTATTCCAATGTGTGATTATGGTAAGGAAAGCCGCAGGCTTGGCGCCCCAGAATACCGAAAGTTACCCACACTTTCCTGACTTGTGTGTTGAATAACAAACCATTTATTCCCAACGAGACACCCATCACCCGATGGCGTTGGTTCAATATTCTGATTCAGAGTCCGAAGAAGATGCTTCACAGAGTGAAATTTCCCCTAGGCCAGCCAAGAGACTGCGGCAAGAAAGCACTGCCACGCCGGTCTCATCTCTCCCTCCACTACCGAACGCCTTTCATGATCTATATGCATCGAGCACTCGTATTAGTGTAAAAGATGATCCAAGCCTCCATGGGGGCCGTAAAAGGGCCATTCCGCACGTTGAAGGAAACTGGCCGACTCATATCTATCTAGAGTGTAGGGTTACAGTCTCCGCTGTTACGCCTGATTAGTGAGCTAACTTGAGCAGGGTATCCGTCGAAAGGAGAGCTGTTCATCTTAAGCAGTGTGATTGCGCAGGTGGAGGGAAGGCTTAGAAAAAATAAAGTGGAGCTCAATAGCTTGCTGCGAAGTGATCTTGGCGCACAACTCCCACTGCATATCAGCCTCTCAAGGCCAGTAGTTCTTCGGACTGAGCAAAGGCAATCATTTTTGGAAACTTTTAAATCCGCCATTCAAGACTCAAACATACGAGCGTAAGTTGCCTTTCCCCCCTTGCAGGGCTATAAAAATGTTGACATAGCACAAGGTTCAATACGACAACGGAAGGCTTACATTGTGTGTCCAATTATGAAAAGACACGGTGGTTTTATGTTCTGCGAGTGAAAAAGCCAGAAAATGACGCCCTCAACTGCCTTCTGAAACTCTCAAATCGATCATTAGCTTTATTTAGCCAGCCACCGCTATACGGGGCTTCACCACATGTCTTGAAGGCAGATGCAGGTGCTAGCACCCCTATGCAATGGCAGCGAGGTGGTTTTGAAGACTATTCCCACTGCTTTCACATCTCTTTGGCTTGGAGCTTGACAGAACCTTCTCCCGATGAAAGGGACCAAATCGCGAAGATAGAACTTCGAGAACTCAGTGATTTAAGGGTCTACTTCGACCGCGTGAAGGCGAAGATTGGCAACCATATAACGAGTATACCGCTTGCTAGTCTGCTGGGGTAATTAGTTAGGAAAGAACGGAGAATTTTATTTCTCCCGTGATATATGAACATCATTGATCGACGCCTTGCATTAACACTTACAGTGCAGCTCCTGGACGAACAACTGCAGGATCAGCTGACTAGTCACTGTCCCAGTGATCCAAGCGCGAATAATAATAAGATGATTGGAGGGTAGGAGAAAAAGGCTGCTTGGTTCAGTTCAGAAGTCTACGATCGGCTGACGAGAAAGATTCTATGGAAGGCATGATGTACTACTATCAACCTGCGTGGCAGTCAAGGTATGAAAAAAAAAATTAAAAAAATTAATACCCCAGAAAAGTAAAGAAAAATCCCGCAGCTATACGTAGATCATATACAATGCCCCTAAAAAGACTGGTTCGTAGGTAACGATAGGATCACGTAACGAATATAGTGCGCAGCTCATGAAGGCTTCGACCACTGTTATTTGTGCTTATATGGTAAAGCCGGGCTTCTACAATATCAACCCTTGTTTTGTCATGAACTGTGTACCAGACGCAAGAACGCATAGTTATCATTAGACTCATGGGGTACGATTTAGAAATGCTCTCCTAAGATCCACGTTTATACGATAGGTCGGACTTGGAAATTCATTGTTTTGCCCATCGCACCTCCAAAGATCTCATCATGAAGGTAGCCACAAGAGTCTCAAGACTAGTCGTCTTGGCTCGCTTTTCTTTGGGACTTTTCCTGTGAGACAACGTTTCAATGGAATCTCTGGAGAGGGAAAAAAGTATGTGGTAATTTTGATGCCTCAGGATATGCTTAATACGGAGCCGTCATAAGATTACAGATTACACTGTCACGCCAAGAGACGCGTCCTTTTAATTTCCTCCCGTTCTCAATTTGCTGCAGTAGACAACCTACTGCCACGTCGATCAGTGATACTGCATTCACGCATGATTTGGATCGTGTGAGTAGGTTTGTACTTCAGAATAGGATCAAAATGTCTACGCTGCAAATCCCACATGTAACGATAGTGAGTTTTGTTGTATACTGTCCTCAACCTATTTACTGACTCTATTCGCCATAGGAAGACCTACAAGCATTTCAAGCTAAACACTTTCCCGGAAGTGCCCAGCCCCTTGTATCTGAGTATGCATACAATGAAAATGTAACAAACGAGCTCGCAGACGATGATGACGGCCTTGGATATTACCCCGATGGTGTGAAGCGCACCCTGACGGAGGAGCAGATCAAAATATTCAGACATAGTGAGATACACTCACTTTTACGCGAAAGACAACTTAGGGAAGAGGAGGAAGAGAATCGGAAAGCTTCTGAATTCAATGAATCTAAGGATGATCAAGTACATGATAAAGACACTGCTGCGATGCGATCTAGTGTTGTCGTCGGTGGGACTGATCAATCAACAGGCGGCGATCAACAAGCGAGAACTCTGCAGTCCGATACCAGGCAGTCCGTGTCCAGAAGTCTGACCGTAGATAACGGTTCGGACCCTACGCTGGACTATGATGAAGACGCTTCTGGATATACCAGCAGGCCCGCTCCATCAAATTATTGTTCTCACTTGGCTCGTCGCAGGATCGTTTCGTATGAAGATTAGCTGCTGGATTCTTCGATGGAATCACAGAATGGAGAATTAGTGGCCATAATGAACTTTCGGCATTATCTAACCCAACTACGGTAGGGGTTCTGAAACCCTATTTAGTGTTCCGTGAGTCTCCTCCCCTTGACCCTGGTTCTTCAGCTAGTATGATGAAACTCTTCGTATCAGTCATCCTTAGTCGGATCGCCATACCATCTGCGGATGTGTAAGGCTATGACGACTTAATCTTCTCTCTGAGCTATTTTTCACTAAGTTATAAAATTTCATCAATGCGGGACCCGTAATGCTAATTGTTCATGTGAGGCAGGGCTCGATTGCCGGCGGTTCGAGAAATCGCGCGGCTAGTGTACTAGCTTATACGTAACTCGAAGTTGTATCAATGCCCGAGCGACGTGGGGCCATCGCCTAGATATCTATCGTGTGTCTCGACATAGTGAGCCATCGAGGTTGAGTATATCTGGCCACAACCCCAAACAATTCAAAAGCTTCGCTACGCAGGCTATTGACATGGGATATCAACCTTATTGCAAATTGCCCAGCAATTTGAGGTAAATCCGCTCCTTAAGGAACCAACTACTGCGGCGACGGAAACGTGTCCCGTTACTTCAGTAGCCCCGGTCTTTCTTCATGAACTTCCATCTCGTACGAGGCATAGAGTAATTCTGGACAGTCTAATCATAACAAAACATTCTATCAATAAATGCAGGAAATTTTTTAAAGGGGCAAAATCCAGAACCGAATTTGTATCAGCCATATCAACGAGAACGTCACTTGTTTATCTTAGTTTATAAGTCGACCGTTATCATCGTCGTCATGCTCGAGTCTTATGGTTCCCTGTTTCGGAATAAAGGCCCAGAATATGCCGATGCCGATAAGCAAGCCGACCATGATCGGTTGCAAGACTTGAACACCTGCTTTCGAGGCTATGGCACCCGTCATAAAGGGGAAAGCGGCCGAACCAGCTTGTCCTAGACTCGCAGTGAAGCCTGTTCCAGAGAGTTAGCAAAGCGGAACTGAGCCTGTAAGATGTGCAAGAAAGACGATGTTCGGTCGACATACCTATGGCCCCAACATGAAGCTCTTGTGGCACGATTTCAGTAAGAACATACAGTCCAACAGGGTAGAACGGCCCTATGAAGAAGCCTATTCGGATTGTCAGCATTCTATCAATTTCTGCTGCGGGTGTCCAGAGTACATACCCAAGAGGAAAACCGCGACAGCATTTACGGGAATACTCGGAACGATCCAGAACATAAGCTGCATCGCCAGGGCCAGCACGAGATAGACAAAGACCATTCGGCGCTCACCAAATTTGTGTGTGATGTCCGCGAGAAGAACCCGGCCTACGGTAAAGCCAGTCCAAAACCCGGAGGCGATATAACCTACTTTCTTCGGGTCACCATGTCTTACTGAGATGATAAATTGAACAATCCATCCTGGCCAGATTAGCTGAAAGTGAAAGACATATATCGGCTTGTGTTTTTGGCATCTTACCGCCAGAAGCCACCTCCGCACCGGCATAGAGGAAGAAGAACCCATTCAGGATCCACACCGACCGATTGGCCAGTGTAGCCTTCAATTCACTGCCAGCGGTATCCTTAGCATCTTGCACATTCGGTCGGAAAAGACCTCGCCTGAAGGTCCAAGCGAGGAGCAAGATATTCACAATGCCCACACAGAACACGATCAAGTAGTAATGGTGCCATTCTGGCGTCCGCGAGGCGATTGTGTTAGCAATCAGTGGAGCAATGATAGTTCCCAATCCATAAACAGCATGGAGTATGCCCAGCCATCTATGAGCGTTTTTCACAGTGATAGTGAACGCGTTTGCCTGCGCATCCTGGAAAGCGACACCCATACCCGTGAAAAAGAAGGCGGCCATAAAGAGAGGATAAGGCGGATGCCAGAACATGAGTGCATACCCGAGGCATTGTACCGTTGCGCCCAGAAGTAGCGTGCCTCCCGTTCCTAGCCTGGAGCAGACATGAATATTGGCAAAGCAGGCGCAGAGCCAGCCAGTAAAATTAACGAGATATATGAATGAGACTTGCAGCAAACCTATCTCGTAAGTTGGCTGGATGTAGGGTATCAGGACACCCGTGGCAGCGTCTACACTCGGTCAGTTCAGAGTTCTCCATTAGCCTGCATAATCAGAAATACAGACCATTCAGTCCAGCTACCATGACCGCAAAATTTGTACTAATTATTCTGCCCAGAACCTGGCGAGCATCCTTCTGATCGTAGAAGGATGGCTCGGGTGTCGAGCTTTCGTTATCTCGCGCGACATGGTTATTTCCCGTCTCGGTAGCCATGGCTGCAAATTCTCGCCGCCGAGGTCGCAGAGGGAGGAGCGGCGAAGAGCAGATGATGCTTCGATATCTTTTAATGTTGGGCTCCCGAGTCACGATGGGTCTATGCCAGGCTACGACGACTCGGTCGCACGAATGACATGGTGGAGGGGTAAATTTATTACGAAGGTCCAAGCGAGCTGACTCAAGCCTTGGCGATGTGAGGGGTGACCTTGATTCAGAAGGCTTATGCTTGCCTCAGTTTGTATTCCCGGGCGAAGTCTCATGGTCTCATCCAGTTTGGGTGAAGATATTGGCATCTCAGCCAAAAACATCCCGGTTTAGTAGTTGAAATGTTGGACGGCCCAATCGTTGTCTGAGTTTCCAATCGCTGATCTAGGGCTGGCCAATCGGTGCCCTGTACGTATTCGGCCAAGTACTTACTGTCCGACCTTTGCTTTGCTCGCTCCTCCCGTTCATTCCAAATGAGATCCCGCACGCCCGGCAGGATTTCGGTCTCGCCTGAGGCGGAAAAGCTAAATCTGAGGTCGAAAGGCTGAGCCTCTTGAGGCACTTCAATTCAAATTGAGCACCAACTTTTTCAAGCCTACATACAAGTGCCTTAAATAAGCTTATTCTTGGCCCGTCACGGACGAGAAAGACTCAATTGAACCATACCAGTTCGGTCAAATCCCATAAACATTGACAGGTGGAAACCGGAACCGAAAAATAGGATAGGTCCTTAGATGAGTCCTTGGGTCCTCGAACCGTGTCGCAGATAAAATCTGCGACACCACGGTCAATTGCCACTGTCAGACACAATCTTTTAATCTACAGTTTAATTCTCCAATTGCCTCAGAGGACGTATCCTCTGGATTTATGGCAATGCGAGATACGATCTTGATTTATCTACTAGTAGTTCCCCGGAATGAGGACGGAACCACCTGTGGACCGAACCAGAACACATTAACCGGAACAATGACTAACAGAAACTTCCCCAGAAAAAGATAACCATTGGATACTAGAAATCACGAAATCCCCATTCGTCCGGGATAGTGATAAATCGCGCATCAATCACTGGGCGGCTACCCCGGACCCCAGACCGTGAACAAGGAACCGGATGTTTTCCTGGTGGAAATACCCGCAATTTAATTTATGAAAGCCGTGTCGGTTGAGGCGGTACTCACCGCAACCGATCCACAATCGGGCACCGCGGGAGAGCTTGTTCGAGATACCTCGGAATAACTATTTGGTAATGATTATTACTTCGTCCATTCACGGGGGATTCTGTTAACTAATTACCGGGGAAAAGACCCCATTGAGTAGTATCCGGTGCATTTTAGGCTGTCTTGGAGATGCAGCGGGGGGTTGGTATCTGGGGTTGAGCCGATCTGGGGTACGCGTTCCTTGGTGAGATTGAGCACGTTCGGAATATCAATGATTACGGTGAAGCCCAAATTCCGCTGATCAGGGTATTATACATATGTACGTACATACTTTTGGCGGAACCTCAGGAACTTTCTTTCGGAATCGGGATCAATGTTTTCGTGTTCCTTGCGGGACATTTCCGAGGCCGAGGGTAGCCGAGCAGTGTATACGAGTACTTCACTTGGCTTAAACCTTCAAACATCATTGCAGGAAATTATCCGCTGACGTGAAAAGTTTTCCTTTCCTTTCTTTTTAGGTTTATCCTTCTAGAAGAAGGTTGAGCATTTGAACTCAAGACGAACCTAGAGGCATATTTGCTCGAGACGAAACCAATTAGTTCCTAACAATAGATACTCTCTTTAGACCGTTAACCTTCAGCAAGGCTGTACACTCAGTGGGCACCTAGGTGTGTTGTACCTAGAGCAGCGCAGGGTTGGCTGTGTCTCCATAGATAAACAATGTGGCATAGAACGCTGATAATGTTTGCTTGGTTTACATTTTCATTTGTAGAGAAGTATAGAACAGTTGCATAACCGCACCTTATCAAAGAGGCTATGCTATCTCTCTGTACATTTACATAACGAAGCAATTATGTCACGGTGCTCATGCAATGACGGCAGATCTGCATATACACTACTTGAGTCTGAATGATTGGATACAATGCGGATATTAAGGGACCGTCCGCATTCGTCCACGACGCCATGCCAAAGCTTATACCGCTCTGGGCGGAATTAAACCATCTATCGAGAGTATGGAGAACAACTAGGCATCAGAGGAACGTTAGTTACGCTCTCTACGTGTAGTATCTGCCTTGAGATACTTAGATCGATTTCTCAGTCCCCCTTGCATCAAACAGCTGACAACGTGTTCAACATGCATCAATGGTTATCAGCCACTACCTCGCTCCATCTTTCCCCAGATCCACACCAGAATGTGACTGCGGGCCTCCAACAGCCCAGACTGGGTACTGGCAATTTCTATTACATCGCATATTCATGATTCGTTCTGGCCAGGCAGCGACCCACTGAAACCAAGCGATCTTTGCCACCGATGACAGGTGAACTGAGACGGGCTACTACGCTGGTGGAGACTGGGGTTAGTGCCAGGATACGGGGTTGGTATGGCTCGTTCTTGATTCGAAACAGATAAGCTTGGAAGCCAAAGATAGGTTGAGCTGCGAGATTTACAGCCTCTTAGTGTTCCCCTTTCTCCCGATCCCCCCTCTGCCAATTTCCTCATCAGGCAGCTCTTCTGCTCGTCCTCGCCTTCTAAGTTCCTTCATATATCTGAGCGGGAATCCCTTCTCTCTCTTTCTTTTCTCGCTCTCACGCAAGCTCCACTTGCTATAATTTTTCTTTAGTAAAATTATTCATTCCTTACATAGCAAAAAGGTGGTCATTATGAGTCCTCCTCAGATTGTCTCTTTATCCCCCGCTGCGAACCATGTGGAGCAGGTTGAGGAGCAGGAGAAGCGTATGCCCACCGACCAGGAATCATTCAACATAGATGAGAAGAAACAAGATATACCCCCATATATGCAAGATGCCTTCGGTGACGAGGAGTTTGCCGAAGTCAAGTACAAGGTTCTGAAGTGGTGGTGTGTACTGGGGAATCTCAACGACTACTGAGCAACATCTCTGACAATTCATTCTTCCCATAGGCAATGCGGTTTGCTCATGGTCGCCGAGACAGTCTCTTTGGGTGTCCTTTCCTTACCAGCGGCCGTCGCCGGCTTAGGCTTAGTCCCGTACGCACACTCATGGAGACGATGCTACATTGACTGACATTATATCGACAGCGCTCTCATTATCCTAGTTTTCTTTGGAGCCCTGGCCACATATACTGGCTACGTGATTGGACAATTTAAATGGAAATATCCTCACATCTCGAACATGGCTGATGCGGGCGAGGTGCTTGCGGGCAAGTTTGGGCGTGAACTACTAGGGATAACCCAGACATTGTTCCTAGTGTTTATCATGGCCAGCCATATACTCACGTTCGTTATTGCTATGAACACCCTCACTGAGCATGGTACCTGCTCCATTGTCTTTGGTGTGGTAGGTGCGGTGGTATCCTTTGTGCTGTCCTTGCCTCGGACGCTAGCCAAGATGTCCTGGCTATCGCTTGTTTGTAAGGGACCCTCGATCGTACACTCTAGAGCGAATACTAACAAGCAACAGCATTCATCAGTATTCTGTCCGCTGTTATCATCACCATGATCGGTGTTGGCATCTTAGCTCCCGGCGGCGGGAGCATGCAGGTTACGGTTAAGACTGACCTGGTCCACGGGTTTACATCTGTCACGAACATTGTTTTTGCTTTCGGTGCGTTATAATTCACTTCAGCTAGATCAGCAATCTCTTCTAACGAAATCAGCTGGACATGCCGCCTTCTTCGGTTTTGCCGCCGAGTTGAAGGATCCCCGGGACTTCCCCAAAGCTCTGTGTTTACTACAGAGCATCGACATCTCCCTATACATCATTGCAGCTGTAGTCATCTACCGCTACGGCGGTGTTGACGTCGCCTCCCCTGCCCTGGGGTCAGCAAGCCCTGTCGTCTCGAAAGTTGCCTACGGCATTGCTTTGCCAACTGTAAGTCACAGCTCTACCTAGCCGATCACAATGACTAATAAAACTAGATCATCATCGCCGGTGTCATCAACGGCCACATCGCCTTCAAATACATCTATATCCGTATCTTCCGTGGCACTGACCGCATGCACAAGCGTGACTGGGTCGCCGTCAGCTCCTGGGTCGGTATTGCCGCGAGTTTGTGGATCCTCGCCTGGATCATCGCCGAAGCTATTCCTGTCTTCAGTAACCTTCTCAGCTTGATTGTATGTGGACTATATTCTCAACCTTAGTGACTATCGTTCATACACTAACAGCAATAACAGACTTCGCTTTTCGCGAGCTGGTTCACCTTCGGCCTAAGCGGAATGTTCTGGCTGTATATGAACAAAGGTCTCTGGTTCTCCTCTCCCAAGAAAATCCTTCTTACCTTCGTGAACCTGATGGCTATTGCTGTCGCTGCCATACTTGTGAGTTAGCTTACTATCCTATGCCCCAACCCCCGTACCCATTTTCGACAGGTCAGTAACTCATGAATATACAGTGTGGCCTCGGCCTTTATGTCTCTGGTAAAGCCATCCATGATGACCCGAGTAGCGCAAGTTTCTCTTGCGCGAATAATGCGTAGAGTTTCGGAGTTTTGGGTCTTGACTTGTTTTGATGCGATACAGCGTGCGTATATATATCCGGTGGATATGGGATTGGGTCCAACGGCGTTTGTAACTATGTGATGGTATGACTACTGTATATATGTACCTATCTTATACCAGATTTTCTAGAACGACTGTGGGTTTTCTCTCTTGGACACTGCCACTTTAGTAAGGGTACTCAGGAATTTGCTCAGTGAGTCTTCCACACATCACAGATCACCGCTTCCTGAGCCACTCACCCGCCATTTATTCTCTGGGTGCATATTCGATTTGCATGCCTGATGAACACCCCACCCTAAATATCTCTCAAAGCTTCACGCGCAAGCCCACTTCAATATAATTACACTAGTACCGACTTGCTCCAAGGCCACTCATA